GTCGTCGTTGTGAGATAGTTCGCACGGTCCATACGCTATCAGAACTTACAAATAAACTAAGCGAGCTGGGATTTAATATTTCACGAAGTGCTACTTATATTCGACTGTTGCCTAGACGGGCAAATACACGAGAAGCTAAGCGCCATGTAGTGACTGTGCCGGTGAAGCTGAGTCGTCCTGAAGCTGACCATCATAAGGCACACCAAGACCAATACTTTTCTGTGGCCTCCATAAGGTCGCTGGAAACGATAGCCTCGGTACTTGGTCCTGACTCCGTAATTTTTTTATCTCAGGATGACAAAGCCCGCGTCCCCATCGGCCTGACAGCGGCAAACAAGCAGGCGCCATTATTAATGCACGTTGCATATAAAGTGTCGTTACCAGACCACGACTTTGTGATTGCTTCGAGGCACAAATTAATTCCAAGCGTGTATGCTTTGTGTGAAGTGAGACCCAATGAGATGGGACGACCAGAAGCTGTTTCATATAGTGGACCAACTTACATAGCAATACGAAGTGGCAAGCACTCTTCGTCAACTGCAACTAGTCACGCTCAAGATTTGGACACTCTTTTAACAATTGAGCCTTTTTCCAAATTTACAAAAAATATAGACAGAAAAGTTAAACCTGTTCTTATAATTTCAAGCGACGGTGGGCCTGACGAAAATCCGCGATATCACAAAGTGATCGCACACGCCATAGCGCATTTTAAACTATATGATTTGGACGCAGTATTTATTGTGACTAATGCCCCTGGCCGGAGCGCATTCAACAGAGTAGAGAGACGCATGGCTCCACTCAGTCGAGAACTAACAGGCGTTGTTCTTCCCCATGATTCTTTTGGGACACATCTTGACTCCAGCGGCAGAACATTAAACGAAAGTCTGGAAAAGGATAATTTCAAAAGGCAGGGGATATTTTGGCTGAAATATGGTCTGCAGTGTGCATTGACGGACACGAAGTAGTCGCTGAATATATAGAGCCGAATAATGAAACTTCTAGCGTTCCAGACCTGCCAGCCGAAGAATGGTACACTGAGCACGTTAGAGAAAGCCAATATTTACTCCAGGTACATTAGCAGTTGGTTCATATCAAATTTCTATACGTGCCTAATTTTTTTTTAAACGAGCACGAATATCAACAAATTTTTATTAAGAGTTATTAATTTTTTTTTTAGGTTGTAAAATGCGATGACCAGAAGTGCTGCAGCCCACGCCGGAGTGATCTGCATATGATTCTTCACGACCGTTTTCTGCCGCCTCCATACCCTATCACTCAAGTTGATGGACATTTGACAATTCCGGACTTTAAAGAGCATGACGGAAAGTCATTTGTTCCATTTTTAATACGCCACTGCCTACCGATTCAACCGCTGAATGCCTTCATCAGCACGCCTTATGATCTCTATTGCCCAAGTGTTCGTGATGATTTAGAGAAAAGATGCTGCAGTACATGCGGTATTTACTTTGCATCTAGCAAAAGAGCTACAGAGCACAGGCGATCAGCCCACATTGCACCAGCTAAGCAAGCGCGTATGTTCCGCAAGGTCCGACCCTCACGGATTGTCACAAGACGAGCTAATGAGTTACTGTGTGCAAGTGCCAATGGTTTAGAGTGGCTAGATCAGAACGAAGTTGAAGGAGCAGATGATTTTACTGAAAATCATATGGACATGTTGGTTCCAATAGTCTCTCTTGAGACCGCGCATGATTATCCATGGACTGAATTAGAGTAGATATTCTTTTTTTAATCACAGTAGTTACGATTTAAGTATTCTATTGTTAAATTTTTATTACACTTATAATTAAACTCTCAGCAATATTGATTACTAGTCTTAAATAAAAGCACGAAGCAAACTTTTTTTTCTTTTTACAATAACAATCCAACGCGTTTACGTAAGAAACCCACATTTTGAAAAACTCACGTGAGATTGGGGGATGGGGAGGGGGTTGAACAAAATCTCACGACATCTCACCAGGGGGGAGGGAGGGTCAGAAAATTATAAAAAACACCTCACGTAATTTATGGACGCCCCTTGGATACTGAAAAATGTTACGGCGAGTTACATGGGGGGTCAATAATCTCCAAAAATTGCGTTACGTAATACTTGAATGATAAGAGAGTAATACGTGAAAGATAAGATAGTCTGTGGTCATTTTAATTTATAACTACCGGACCAAACGTTGTTCTGTACACAGGTATCTATCACTTATATCCACTTGAACACATAATAATTTTACTAAAATCGCTTTAGTAGTCAATAAAAATCTTAAAGATATTTGCAAATCAATCTTCTATCTACACTCGCGAGCAAACAAATCGACTCAAGCGCTACCTCTGCATTCAAAGATTGTTTTAAGTGAAAGTATACAACATTTTAATAAAAATAATATGTCATTTGAAAGCTTAAAATTTCAGCTTTTATGAGATGTTATTATTATTAATATCCATGTATCCTTTTTTATTATTGGTGTCTGAACTTAAATGGGAGAAAAATGGGATTTTGGGTAAAGGAGTTGTGTTCAGAATTGACAAATAAAACACGTTTTTTTTCTTAAAGAGTATAACATTTATTGGTTCACTAATTGGTATTGCCCCCTAGCCCAAATTACAGCCCGTATTCGGTTCTTCATCAACCTTATTCATTTTTTGACGGTGTCTTGAGGAATACCTTCCCACTCCTCTAACAAAGCTGCTTTCAATTCTTCAAGGCTCGAATGGGCTGGATTTCTTGCTCGTACCCTTTGTTTGAGCTCATCCCATAAATGCTCGACGGGATTTATGTCTGAACTGAGCGCAGGCCAGTCCATTGTGCGCAAATCGACTTCTCGAAGAAACTGCTGAGTAACGCGCGCTGTGTAGCATCGAGCATTGTCATGCATTAGGATGAAGTCTTCGTCAACAAATCCTGCGTAGGGCACAACATGTTCCAGGAGAATATTTGTGATGTACCCATCAGCTGTCAGTCCTGCTCTTCGGCCTACTCCAGGCACGAAAACGAGCTGGGTTTAACCCTCCAACGAGATATCAGCGCACATCATGCAAGAACCGCCACCATAGGCAACGATTTCTGCTAATCAGCATTAGTAAAATCGCTCTCCCGGACGCCTGTAGACCCGGCCTCTCCTGTCACTGCCATGCAGACACATCCTGCACTCGTCAGTCAACAGGATCGACCGCCATTACCCAATGCTCCAGTTAAGATGCTCTCGAGCAAACTGTAGCCGAGCTTGCCGGTGGCCTGCAGTCAATTTGGGGCCCGTTGCAGGCCTTTTTGGAGTCAGGTTGGCTTCCTTTAGACCTTTCTTGCTATCCACTCGCTGACAGCTATACCTCGAACACGTCTCAGCTCGCCCTGCACGTCGACACCCGTAAGGTGCCGATTTCGCAGGGAGGTTGAGACAATGAAACGGTCGTCTCGTTCAGAAGTACAACGGTTGCGGCTGGTTGTTGGTCTCCGAGTGAATGCTCCAGTCTCTTGTCTATCGTCTGTATACTCGGGATACAGCAGATCGACTCAAGTGAAGCTGGGAAGCGACTACTCGCTGACTGAGTCCTTGTTGCAATAAGGCAAAAACTTGAGCGGCTTCTTGAGGTGTGGTATCCATGGTTTCTTGAAAACAAAGAATGCAGGTTGCGGAGATGTGTATCGGTCAACTGTTTATAAGCAACTCATAAAGGTTGAAGGGTAACGGGGGTTTTATAGGGGTAGAGGGTAGCGCAACTTGCTGGTAGCGTAGTGAGTAATTTGTCCCATACGCACTAATTGCGCAAATTAACATGTTGGTAGTCGTTTTATTTAATCGTGTTGATGTTTTTTTAAAGCTTAGGTTTCAAGCTTTCAAATGACATATTATTTTTATTAAAATGTTGTATACTTTCACTTAAAACAATCTTCGAATGCAGAGGTAGCGCTTGAGTCGATTTGTTTGCTCGCGAGTGTATATTTAAAGAAAACGCTTTTTTTACCGGATTGAAGTTATGTATTATTATAAATTTACAATTATTTTTAATACTTTATTGGTATTCGAAGCCATTGAAATCAAAAAACACCCCAATTTCAATAGAGAAGACGGCTTAAAGTTGTCAAACACCTGGGATCCAATAATATCCAAATTAAAATCTCAAGATAAACAATTCGCGAAAATAGAGGACACCGTGAGCCATTTCTGCCAAAACCCTCCATCTTTTAGTCGATACCAACTCCGGGGAAATAAATACAGATAACAAAACTTTTTCTACAGCTGTGATACTTTTTGACATTCAACACCTTTTGTCTTCAGTCACCGTGACCACGCACGGTGTAAAGCACGCGAAACGTCGGAAAATTATGTAAAATAATTGTAAATTTATAATAATACATAACTTCAATCCGGTAAAAAAAGTGTTTTCTTTAAATGTGTAAAATTTATGTCAATAAAAGACAAAACTTCTATCTATATTATTTTTTACAGCATATATTATACATTTTTAAAATATATTAGAATTTATTTATACATTCTAAAACAATGTGTATGCCTAAAAACACAAGAAAATATGACATCACATATTTAACACACATACGCATCAATTACATTAGAACATAAGAAATATCAAAGGAATTAAACAAACAACCACAAAAAAGTAAATAAAACAAAACAAACAATACTGATAATAACTAAAAATTAATAATAATAACTAAAACTAAAAAGATAAAAAATTTCAATAACGTAGTAAACAAAACTAAATGAAAACTTAAACCACATTAAGAGCTTGCAAAACAAAATTACGGTAAGTTGGTAGACTGTTGTAAGAGCGAGATAGCCTATTCACTGGACCATTAAAATAATGTAAAGCTTTCGTGACATTCTCGAGTTTTAGCAAGACAAAAGAACAGCACTTCATTTTATATATAAATATGGGTAATATTATTTTTGCAGACCGAAACCAGCCAACCAGAAGACTGACTATGCAACTAAGCCACATTCCACAAAAAAGCATGCGTACGAGCAAGTGACAATATGGCAACACCAGCGATACGGCAAGAGGAGGTGAGCGATGAGGCGCAGGAGAAGTTGTTGGTCACTCCTGTCGTCCAGGATGAAGGTCTACTATCTGTCAAGTCTTCAAAGAAAGGTGGGTGTAACGTCAAAATAATTCTTAGGAATAATTGTCTATGTCATGTCACTGTCTTATTCATATTTATAAATAAATTCATTAAAATAAGCACAGTAGTTGCTTACGTATTTTTGATTGTATTCGGACACTTTAAAATTATTTTCAATATATGATTACATAAATTAAAATAGATAGTCTACACTTTGTAATATCTGTGATATTTTTAAAACTACCCTCAATTTTAAATAAACTTTAATAATTTCATGTAGGTGGGGTAGTTAGTGTCAGTCCTGTATTGTGTGCCATTTAACTGTGATATTTATTCAAATCAGGTTATTAAATATAAATAATATCGTGTGAAATGACAAAATACCAAAAATTAATAAATAAATCAAATAAACTCGGTAAGTGAGTTGACTTAGTGATATATATAAGTGATTTTAATGTACCTAATGCGCATGGGGTCTGGGTTTTGCTTCTCGTAAAAAGATTTAACATTTCAATGCCATAACTACGATAGCCTTGCTTTATAGAACTACACATATAGGTATCTGTAATCTCTCGTATGAATGGACTCAAAACTGTCTATTAAGTTTTGAGTCCATTCCGACATATCGTGGAATAGGCAAATTTATTAGCTTTGATGCCAAACAATAATTATAATATACTATGACGTACATTATAGCTACATATATTTATGTCAAAACTTAATATATTTTTTTAAATAAACCAAAGAGATCGAGTGTATCCTACAGCCATGAAACACAAATTTCTGAATCTATAAATGTACTAGCGGACTCGACAGATGTTGTCCTGTCTTAACTATGAATATTGATTTCGAATTGGTGTAATTAACTAAAAAAATATTTCAAAATCTAAGTGTTTATTATTTTAATGCTTTATGATATACAACATTCTTTGTTTGTTTTTCTGCCGCGTATATAATTAGTTTTGTTGGTATTCCGACACGGGAACAGATGTATTTTATCAATATAATAAATCCGATCGAAGCATTTGTTTTAAACGATATTCATTGTTTTACATCCTCTTTGACGATATTTGCAGCACGCATTCTGGCAATTTTCTGTACGCCATAAGGTTACTTTAAAAAATGCCAGGATTACTTAATATGGTAATTAAATTTTCTAATTTTCCGCGCAATTTTCTTAATTTTTCCTTTCATAAGAAACTTCTGATAATAACAAACACAACAATACATAATTAGCGAAATCGGTCCAGCCGTTCACGCGTGATGAATAGGGATTCATCTTTATATATATGTCAAGAAATAATTATATATCTTAAATTAGATTATTCATTATCTATTTTGTTTTTATAAATGTTCACTAGTTTTGTTTGTCTATGTATGTGTCATTTTTAATTTGAATATGAAGTGTTTGTTATGAGTACATTTTTAATAGATTATAAAAGAAATCGGATAAAAGTACAACTGAAATACTGTTGTTTCTTATAATAAATATTTTTGCAACACATATTTTGAGTTTAACTCCCTTATATATATACACATGACAAATAAGTGACAATTTAGTTTTTCTAAAAAGACGTAAGACATCAAATATTTCTCAGTTATGAACAGTTTTTATTGGATAATTAAATTGTCGTTTTTAGTATTTCTTCTCATTATTTATATTTTAACCTTCCCTGAACTTCCACAAATACTTCAGTATCATTAGCCAAATTCCTATTTTTACAGTAGCTTAATACTAATACAATAGAAAACTTATTAATATACAAATTAAACTAAAAACATAATATGTGTAATCCTTTTTATAAGTAATTATATATGCAACTAAATTTTTATATAAAAGAAACTTTTTAAATTTGTTTTAATTTTCTTTTTAATAACTTTTATTATTACTTTGTAGGTTAATACAATAATTGTAAATACAAATTATACATATGTATCATGATTAAATGATTCAATTATAATTAAAAAAAATACCTATATCCGTCTCACATTCAATAATATTCAGGATGCGCAAGACACGCGTAAATGGCGATTTTCTGTGTAAATTTGTCGAGGGACAGAAGTGTTGGATTTTGATATTCGCCATAGTTCGCGCTAAATCTCGTTTCTGAATGACCTAACCTCATTTTGACGCGCGTATAATTTGTTTTTTGCCCTGGCAAGTCTCGAAGAATCTAAGCCATAGAGTTTATCAACTTTGCAGCAAAACAAAATTTGAATTGTTCAATAGCAAGTATATTTGAATTACATTTGTATAATGTTTCCGTTGTCTATGATTCAGTGTTAACGACCGATTTGGTACTAGATAAATTTCAATTTTTTTAATGTTTATTAAGCACGGAACACATGCAAAGTATGAAAGTACTTTAAACAAAATTTATATCAACTGTATCTGTCTAATAACCTAGGATTATTTATTTATTTTATTGTTCTATATTAAAATACACATGGTTCACTTAATTCGCTTAAAACAGAAAGGAATTCATTTGGTACGTTATAATTAAACGCACCCAAACATACAAATCGGTCAAACAGACTGAGTTTTTCACAATATTTTTGTACGTAAACTATAAAATATACAAACGAAAATATAATGAAATTGGATGACCGTGGCAAGAAATAAATGAGATAAAAGAAAGAAAAAAGGAAGAAATTGGATGACGGTGGCAAGAAATAAATGAGATAAAAGAAAGAAAAAAGGAAGAAATTGGATGACGGTGGCAAGAAATAAATGAGATATAAAAGAAAGAAAAAAGGAAGAAATTGGATGACGGTGGCAAGAAATAAATGAGATAAAAGAAAGAAAAAAGGAAGAAATTGGATGACGGTGGCAAGAAATAAATGAGATATAAAAGAAAGAAAAAAGGAAGAAATTGGATGACGGTGGCAAGAAACGAAAATTAAATTACATTATTTAGATGGCTAAGGGTCTGTTTCACAATGTATGGATAAAGTACCAAAAGCTATGCAATGCAACACATAAATTATTTGGAAGATAAATTGTGCTATTTGACACTTCATCGGACTCTTAACTTATGATGTACGTTATGTGACGAATAGCGCCGCAGTCGTGAAACGCAACAATAGTGTTTATCCTACCAATAAGTAATAAATAGCTAATTTGGAACTTATGTAGAACTTATCCGTACATTGTGAAACAGACCCTAAGTGTCGTTTTAAATACTCGCAATGATAAAGAATTTAAAGTATTATAATTTCTATTTTGGTAATTAATGGGCTGGTCACATAATAAGAGGTATAAATAAATTGTGCGTGTACTAGGTGTACACACGTAAGAAGTGAAACTTCTTTATGATCTTATTTTTCGAAAAATGATCTACTAAGTATATGCAACTTTACAGAAGTTCGTTAAATTAGATAAAGTTTAACAAAAGGCTTTTATTATCATAGACATGAATACAAATATTTCATTTTACCTTATTACTACGAAGATTATTATAGAATTTCATTAATTGTAATAGAAATATTACTATCATTGAAAAACGTGACGATTTGCTACAAAATTTCTCCCATACGTCGATAAAGAAGTTTCATTCCAACGCCGATAAAGAAGTTTGACTTCAAAAAGCAACATGGCGCGTAACCGAAAAATGTTACACTAAATTTTTTTCCAACCTCGATAAAGAAGTTTTACTTCAAAAATTGGAACAAAAAGATCATATATTCTCAAGAAATAAGAAAAGAAAACGAGGTAGACAGTTTCGAAGGTAAGGCGAAATAAAATCCGTAACTGGGAAAATTTGGACCAGGAAAGCACAGAACAGAGCAGAGTGTTGTTGTCGATGTCACCGACTCACTAGTGATAATAGTTTAAGTTTAAAATTATGTAAAATTTTCTATCTAAATAAAGGCTTTTATTATTATTATTAATTTCTATTTTTATTTATTTATTACATCACATAACATATATTATTTTTCTACATGATATATCAGTTACAGGATATCTATTCTAAAATACATGACAATAACGATGAACATACATGTTACACAAAATAAAAATATTACACTTCAAATTTTAGCTTTTACTATAGTAAAGATCCCGATATACAACGACCTTCACCGAGATGCTTATTTAATGAAACGTATTTTATATTTAATTTAATATGTCAATAAATATATTCCATATGGGTTGCCTAGCAAATTTCAGTCCAGAGTATGTTTAATTAATATTTAAAAAAAAATATTTTTTTATAATTTGCATGTAGTACATTTTTTTAATTTTTTTCAATCAATATTTTTAATCAGGGTAGAATTATATATGTATCACTATAACTTTCTTTTTTACTAAACATGTATATATACTTTAGTGTCACATAAATAATTAATAGATTAAAAACAACCTAACGTTTGCATATTCTATGGGCTTCATACTTTCGATTGGTATAGAATTTATCTAATAATCATACCGGAGAAATGTTTAATTTACTTTTTTTTAATATTAATTAAAATACTCTGGACTGAAATTTGCTAGGCATCCCATATGGATTATATTTATTGACATATTAAATTAAATATAAAATACGTTTCATTAAATAAGCATCTCGGTGAAGGTCGTTGTATATCGGGATCTTAGGCCACTATTCATTTCCTATTTATAACAATGCGGATTAGGTACCGGATAACGCTGAACAATTTTCGGCGATTTTTTATTTAATTTACTTATTATGTTGCAGTGAAACTACCCGAGGATGAAGAGGGAAAAGTTGGACGTTTTACGATCGGGCCGGCTCCTGAACGAGATTGGGAGATGGTGCCACCGGACGGCAGATGGGGCTGGTGCGTGCTAGTAGGTGAGTGAAGTTTTGGGGTCAAATTGTGAGACTTTCAAATCTATTCTTTTTTTGTATATTTTTTAGTGAACATTATTTAGTCATTGTAATTGGTAATAATGACCTCGGTTCGATTCTTGTAAAAGAATTAAGGTTTATACATAAACTTGTAAAGCGATGATTTATTTCGTAATCAATTATACATTATACATAATATATACAAAAAGGTTCAAACATTTACGAAAGGAAAACAATACATATTTAAACTAAGTAATTCGGATGTGATGGAAAAAGATACTGGATGTAGATTTTTTCGAATTTTAATAAGAATTAGTTAAAGGTTATAAAATTCTCGTGTCGCGGTGTTTGTAGTTAAACTCCTCCGAAACGGCTTGACCGATTCTCATGAAATTTTGTGTGCATATTGGGTATGTCTGAGAATCGGACAACATCTATTTTTCATCCCCCTAAATGTTAAGGGTAGTGCACCCCTAAATTATTTTGTTTTAATTTTTAGATATTTTTTTTATATTTTTTTATGCAGCATTAAAAAATACATACAACCCCTAATTTTCACCCCTCTACGACCAACCCCTATTTTTTATTATAAATGATATACATGGCAAAACGACGTTTGCCCGGTCAGCTAGTTTTCTTATAAAATGCAAAATAAATTATAACTCTGCAGGGTTTGAATTAGTTAGAATCCCGTAGAACAATTTTATGCAGCTGATGACCTCATCTATCCCCTAGTTGCGTTTGATCCACGACTTTTTTTGCCACCTTGTATAAATCTTCTGTACGTCATTACTCCCAAAGTGGACAGATTTTGATGATTTTTATGTTTCGAGAATGTTTTAGATTGTTTTTTAAGACGTATTTCAGCAACATCTTCTAAACCTGTAATATGCTTAAAAAGTATTCTTCTTGTGCAACGGTACTTTAAGGGTCTGTTTCACAATGTACGGATAAGTTCTACATAAGTTCCAAATTACCAATTTATTACTTATTGGTAGGATAAACACTATTGTTGCGTTTCACGACTGTCAGATAGCGCTATTCGTCACAAAAAGTCCATCATAAGGTTTGAGTCCGATGAATGTCAAATAGCACAATTTATCTAATTTGTGCTATTTGACATTAATGACAAAATATAAAGGCCTATTCAAACCTGAGCGATATTCGCTGCCACTGTGGGTAGAGGTACATACCGCGCGGGTTTCGCTCAGGTATTTAGTATCAAGTACCGCGGCTAGAGCGACCTGAGCGATATTCGCTGCCGCTGTGGGCATACTCACTGGGTTTTCCCTGCCGCAGACGGTAGCAAATACCGCTTAGGTCTGAACAGTAATATTACCGCATACCCACTGGGTTTTCTCTGCCGCAGACGGTAGCGAATACCGCTTAGGTCTAAACAGGCCTTTAAAAATAATTTGTGTTGCATAGCTATTTGGTACTTTATCCATACATTGTGAAACAGACCCTTATTATAATAAGCGTTATGTAGAATTTATTCAGTACCAATAATCATATGTGAAATGAAAGAGACCAGCTCCCACGACACAGGCTAATAATTTGTTTCTTGTTTTTATTTGTATCTTAATATATATAAATTACGTGTCACGTTGTTTGTCCGCTATGGACTCCTAAACTACCGAACCGATATCAATCAAATTTGCACACCGTGTGCAGTTTGAACTTAAAAGATAGGATAGCTTACATCTTCATTTATACCCGTAATATTATTGCAAATTATTTGTTTATTATTTGACAGTCACAATTCTAACAGATGGCGCTGTGTTGAAAGTACCAACGTTTCACATAAGCTACAATTTAATGGCATAACCACCAAGAAAGCATGGTGGTCCCCATGACTGGTGTTCTCCTACCGTTTCCCTTGAATAGGTTACTAGTATGTAATATAACAAAAACCTTAGCCACAGCAACGCTTGGCCGAGTCTGCTAGTATATTTATACGTTTTAATAATCCTACTAAATATAAACGCGAAAGTTTGTACAAGTAGCGGCCGTTATTGCGCAGAAGTAAAAAATAAGGTACCTGAGGGGGGCTAGCGGAATGAAGAGCGTCGATTGGCTCTCCAGTCGCATTTTGTCCCCCGCGCGACAGTACACATGCGCAGCAATCCCCTCCACGTATCGGCCAGCGCTAGACTTACGTGCCGCTGCCTATAAGTTTGGATGTTTGTTTCTCTTTCATGTAAGTGAAATTTTACAATAGTATAGCTTATACATCAGAATAACATATAGGCTACAATTTATAAAGATATTGTGTGAATTGTCCAAAACATCAAGTAAGTGGGAAAAAATTAACCATCTGCGAGCTATTCTGGCCTGCGCTGCCAAAACCGCTAGAGTTACCGCTGTAATATATGATGGAAATCTTTAATAGTCCTACAAAAAAGCCCGCCACAGTATATATCTATGTCGTATGTGTATGCCATTATAGCCAAAATAGTGAACCATAACTACTACAAACCTTGGGGGCCCTTTTTGAAAACGATGTGGGGCGGGGAGTGAATTACGCGTTATTATATTTGTAACTTTTAGGTATTAAGAGTCAGATAAACGTTACGGCGCGTTACATTGGAGGGGGTGGGGGGAGTCAATAATCTCCAAAAAATGCGTGACGTAATTCTACGTTTTTAGTTTTATTATAACGCATTATCTAGTTAAATAAAGTTTATTTAAATATTACAACACATAAATCATTTGAGCAAATATTATTTTAATCCTGCGCAGTCGAAGTCGTGGTCACTTGCTCGTTTGTACATAAAAATAGCGTAACCATGGTAACAACTTGTTTTATGATAAGAAAATTGACCTTATAACTTGTACGGACTGACGAATAATAATCTTAAGCGGTTTGTGCTAATTGTTCTAGCGGTGACTCATTTTATAAGTAATGGGGGCAAGGCGATACTGTCTGACACTGAGGACATTACTATAATATAAAAAATAATATATAGAATATAAATATATAATGGGTATAAAGAAACTAGCTGCCCTTGCGAACTTCGTTTCTCCTTAATGTGATTTTAATTAGCCTATCTTTTTAGTACATACCAACATGGAACATTTTGCTGTGCTACCCCAGAGACTGTTCCGTTTCATGGAATGAAATCTTTTTAGGTTTTTCTGTGAATTTTTCACTATATAAACCTCAGAGTTCAAGTCATAAGATTTTAATTAACAAAGAAAAAATAGGGGTTGATCGGAGAGAGGTGAAAATTATATGTATGTATTTTTGTATGATGTATCATAAAAAAATAAAAACAAAGAATTTGTCTAAAAAATCAAAAATATTTTTTTGGGGGGACACCCCTTATCACTTAGGGGTTTGAAAGATAGATAGTAGCCGATTATCAGACTTAATGAATATGCATAAAAAAATTCATAAGAATCGGCCGAGCCGTTTCGGAGGAGTATGGGAACGAACATTGTGACACGAGAATTTTATATATTAGATAACGTTGCAGTAGAAACTTTATACATGACAAATACGGGTGTGACACAATTGATCTGACGCTAGTCCCCACAATTATTCCGTAGTACATGATGCATGATTAAAACATAATTAATTAACAAAGAAGTTTGACTTCTGACATGTGTACTTTGTACGCACGCTTTTTTAAGAGGTTCAAAGTCATGCGTCTCCTTAATATTACTTGTGGTACATACATACAAGTCGTAAAGAACGATAGAAATAAAAATAGGTAAAAAAACTTTTTAAGTTAAACGGTTTTATGTTAAACATACATTGCAATGTTTAAGATAAATGTACTAAAAACCAAAAAATAATAAAATAGATACAGTCGTGGGAATTATAAACATATGCATAGACTAGACTAAAATAAAACCGTGGGGCACGTCAATTGTCTACAAATTATCGACTTAATGTGCGATAGAAGAATCGTTTAATTCGTCGTTAAAATAGGCAGTTGGCCCGCAGACGTCCTGAAATTACTTACTATTTTCTTGCTCATGGAAATTCCAATAGTCATACACTCCATGTAAATAAAAGAGATGTTTCAACTAGTTTATCGTTGGACATTCACACTGCTGGCTGGCGAGGAATCGTTTCAACAGACAATTGACATGCCCCACGGTTTTATTTTAGTCTAGTCTATGCATATGTTTATAATTCCCACGACTGTATCTATTTTATTATTTTTTGGTTTTTAGTACATTTATCTTAAACATTGCAATGTATGTTTAACATAAAACCGTTTAACTTAAAAAGTTTTTTTTACCTATTTTTATTTTCTAGTTTTTAGTTTTTATTTCGCATTCTGTTTAATTCATTTAGTGCTTCATTATTGCAAGGTTCCTTGCCCGTTAGTTTATATAAATAAATCAATTCTATAATATAAATATAATATATATTTAATTAATAAAATAGATACAGTTTTTAATATAATGTTATATATTATATAATATTTATTTATTTATTTAGTTTATTGTATTGTCACCAAAATCCAAAGTGTATACAAAATTTCAGATTAATCGGTTGACAGGAAGAGGGTGAAATTTGAATTACTAAATTTGACCCAAGAATAAAACAAACGGGGTGAGCTAAATAAAACCATTTAAAAAAGCTGGAGCTTGAAGCTGTTTTAAGCCAAACAAATTTACCGAAATTGTATATTTTTGCCGATATTTTTATTTTTTACGTATTTATCGATGGAACTGATGGAATAGATAAGGTTTAGAGGTGTTTATGTAGAAGCAATCATTCTTATAAAAAAATAAATCAGTGGCGCTACAACCTCTTTAGGTCTTGGCCTCAGATTTCTGAATCTGTTTCATGATCATTTTTAAATCTAATAGGCAAGTAGGTGATCAGCCTCCAGTGCCTGACACACGCCGTCGACTTTTTGGGTCTAAGACATGTCGGTTGCCTCACGATGTTTTCTTCACCGTTCGAGCAAATGTTAAATGCGCACATAGAAAGAAATTCCATTGGGGCACAGCCGGGGATCGAACCTACGACCTCAGGTATGAGAGTCCAAAGGCCAACACTGCTCAATCATTCTTATAGAAAGGATAAGTTTGATAGTGAATCGTTTGAAACGATCATAACCACGTCCTGTTCGATCTGTTTTTAGATTTTAATTGCCATATCCTTTGAATTGTCAATACTCGTCAACATCCGTTGTGGAATATTTTTATTTTATTGAAGTGAAACTTCTTTATCGGCGTTGGAATGAAACTTCTTTATCGACGTATGGGAGAAATTTTGTAGCAAATCGTCACGTTTTTCAATGATAGTAATAATTCTATTACAATTAATGAAATTCTATAATAATTTTCGTAGTAATAAGGTAAAATGAAATATTTGTATTCATGTCTATGATAATAAAAGCCTTTTGTTAAACTTTATCTAATTTAACGAATTTCTGTAAATTTGCATATAGTAGATCATTTTTCGAAAAATAAGATCATAAAGAAGTTTCACTTCTTACGTGTGTACACCTAGTACACGCACAATTTATTTTCCACCTAGCTATATCTGTATATTTTAAACTTAAGAAATAGTTTTTAATATAAATAAAAATAATTAATCAATAAAGCTTTTTATAAATTTGACGAATATTTAAATGATATCCTTGGGATTGATTTGCTCCAGTTCAAACAATTTGTATGACTCAAAACTTAGCGATTAAAAACAGTGGCGGAAAGTTACTTGCCCGCTCTTCGCCCTTGACTTGCAAACTTGTAAATGTAAATTTATAATTAATTGCACGCCTTAGCGGAGCGGAGGCAGTGCTCTACTCTCGACATGTCAAAAAACCCAGTCTTTCGAAACTTGAATGACTTTTTTCTCACTACTATAACACTTACAGGATAATATGAGTGCACTAAAATCGAGTTAAATAATTAATCTATCAAGCACATATGGTATTTTTTATGAACAATTATTTTGTTTTACATAGTAAATATTAACATTAAAATCAATCATTCTTGGACGTCACTCTGTGTTTATGGATAGAGAAATTGGTCGAAAAATTTATCGTACCAGAATATTTATTTCTTATTATATAAAGTTATACCCTGGTCTGATTCCTAGTTAATATTAGCGTTCTAAGTACTGTCGTTTAATTATAATTTGTAAAAAACTAAAATACGACTGTGTATTTGTATATCTATATATACATTTATTTTAGTTTATTTTTTTTCCTCACCTTAGAGTTATGGCGCCACTATATATTTTTTTATTATATTATTTTTTTTTTTTTCAATCATTTATTTTTTAATTTTTTTGTTATTTAGTTTTTTTGTTATTTAGTTTTAAAAAACTTGAGTTTTTATTTTAGATTTTTTTTTATGTGAATGACCGCTATGAGGCGTGCACTTTTGGATTTTCCAAACTTTTTAACTTCATTTCTGACATTCATAAGTGTACTTGTTTACCTACATGAATAAAGTTATTTGACTTTGACCAAGAGGCTAGATAGGATTTATATTATACTACATCGTAACAAGCGTCACATCAATTTCAATAAGGTCATATAACTCTAGCTTTAAACACTATTACTAGATGGCGCTACGTACACTAGTTTTTTTATAAATAAGATATATTATTTAAATGTAGCTTTAACAAATAATGGGGACAAATCCGTATATTTTTGTAGATATATATGTCACCGTAAAATTGTAAACACCGTTAGATTGTAATCTATCTCGCGAGATTGTAATCTGTCGAAAGATTGTGAACTCAACGTACTGCTTACAATTTAACGTATTATTATTCGGTAGATTGTAATCTATCGAAGTGAAATCGTTAAATTATTAAAAAAGTAACCAAAACCGAAAATTTTTCGGAACCATACACTAATTGAAACATGAAGTTAATGTAATGTATGTACATTTGACAAGTAATGGTTAAATTAGGTTTAACTTTAAAATTAACAAATGAGGAAATAATCGATTCGATTAGGTTCAACTTTAAAATTAACAAATGAGGAAATAATCGATTCCATTAATTTACCGAGAATGTCACATCACTTATAACCAATAGAAAAGTAGGAAATGGCCGTTTCACAATTTGACGGTTTCACTTCGATAGATTACAATCTACCGAATAATAATACGTTAAATTGTAAGCAGTACGTTGAGGTTCACAATCTTTCGACAGTTGACAAGTGTACATTGTGTTACCTATATGAATAAATGATTTTTACTTTGACCTTTTGACGGAAAACGGGCACGGGGCTCATCTAATGTTAAGTGATAGGCGGTATGGACACTCACATTGCCAGAAGGCTCGCAAGTGCGTTGCTGACCTTTAAGAATTGGAACGCTCTTTGAGCGTAAGTCGAATTGGTTCGCAAATACTTCAGTAGACAGCTGGTTCCACATAGTAGTGGTGCGCGTAAACTGCCCTAATGAAGATAAGATAAATATATGCCCTATAAGATACACTCGCTTGTGAACTACGGACGTCGAGGTGATAAGACTATACAAAAATCCTATAACGATTTAATCAATCACCATCAATTTCACTTTATCACCACAAAAGCTAATTTAAAATGTCTTGAAATTCCAGGTGCGACGCTGGTGAATATCCTGATCCCGGGCACAATCAAGTCATTCGGAGTGCTTCAACTTGAGTTCAAAGAATTATTCCAGTCGAGTGCCTCTGCATCATCAGGGATAGTAGCTTTATGCTACTTCTTGTACAGTAGTCTGGGTAAGTCGTAAAGTGTTATTGTTTAAGGAATTGAGAGTGATATTTTTATTCGTATTTATTTGTGGAAGACTCATAGAAATTACGAATGGTTTAAGGTCAGTACTCACATACGGTATTACTCGATCGAGCTAAACTGTCGAGTAAAACCCATGGCATGGGCTTTCGTCCACACATTGAGCATTGATCTATCGAATGAGGCGCGCCGTTCTGTATTCACCGAACCCTTCGAGTCAAAGGATGTCTGTGCAACAAAGGAGACGGTGGCTGTATTTAGCAAGTCTCACAGTGCTTTATATTAGTACCCCAGACTGCGAATCCATGGGTCCCGGGATCGATCCCCGGCTGAGACGAACATCGTTAGGTCTTGGGTGTTTAAATATGTATTTATATGTCTATCTATCTATAATATGTATGAAGATCCGTTGCGTAGTACCCATAACACAAGCTTCACCAGCTTAGGATGGGACTAGGTCAATTGGTGTGGGAAAAAAAATCTTACTAACCTAAGAAATTCAATGACATTCTGTGTTGTCATCCGAAAGTTTTACAAATTCAATTATCTTCTTTCATTAGCCAGACTCTAGGCACAATTGCCCTATGATGCTGGGCTGATCTCCTATTGGACTAAAGAAAAAATCAAACAGAGGCAAATATGTACTCATTGTTATAATAAATTTCAGGTCCACTATCGTCAATTCTATCTGTAAGATGGTCGTATCGGACAGTTACTTTAATTGGAGGCAGTTTTGCAGCCTTCGGAATGATTTTCAGCAGTATGGCGTATTCAATAGGTTATTTGTATATTAGGTAAGGGAATTTATATAATTTGTTTTGACAGCTCCAAAGGTAGTATTGTCTTTGATTAACATAACCTTTACACATTTAAAGAAAAACGCTTTTTACCGGATTAAAGTTATGTTTATTATTATAAATTTACAACTATTTGACATAATTTTAAATTTATCCGACGTTTCGCGTGCTTTACAGCGTGCGTGGTCACGGTGACTATCAAAAGTCAAAGCCAAAGGTATCTGTCAAAAGTTTTTGGTACACTGAATACAAATGTTTGGTTAGCCAAGATTTTTTTACTAATTTTTTAGAAAATAATAGTATTTCTGAAGTTATTTGTTATGTTTAACATTGGTAACAAAAATAGGTATATTTTTTTAAATCAATAACGTGGTGGTATAAACATAGATCACAAAAAAATAAACGAGTCCAATCTGGATTTTTTTTATAAAAAAAATAGTAAATTTTAAGAAAGTCAAAAATATCGCAATTGACGGTAAAATAGAATAGAAATAGAAAAACAAATAGCATAATACATAGGACTTATAAGGGGATGCAACGGGCGGCCTTATCGCTAACAAGCGATCTCTTCCAGGCAACCCTAGTAAGGAAAAAAGAAAAAAAAAGAAATATGATGGGTACTTTACCTATCATAAGCTTCAGCAGAAGTGCATAACCTAAATCTTATAAAAAAAAATCTAAAAAGCTAATCTCACGGATCATGAATTGTTATGCAATACAAAAGAATAATAAATAAAATAATTACAAAAATCACGATTGAGCAAGATATCATATGGTTAAGAAATGTTTATTTAGAAGAGTTTTAAAAGATATTTCACTAACATACTACAAAAAAAAATTTTTTTTTTTTTTTTTAGTTTTGGCCTCATGGTGGGTACAGGAGCCGGGCTGGCCTTCCCCCCCACAGTATACATCGTGACGTCATATTTCGTTCGTCTCCGGGGATTAGCAAACGGGATTTGCATGTCTGGTTCTGCGTTTGGCAGTATCATAATACCACCAGTATTGAGATACTTATTGGAGACGTATGGTTATACGTGAGTATTTTATTATTGGTTCGAGTTATGTAACATTAATTAAGTTACATATACATATGTACTAGCGGACCCCACAAACATTGTCCTGCATGATATTTCAAGCAATTAGAATATTAACCAAAGTATGAAAGTACCGACTGTAATGCCATCTGTCGGGCTGATTTGTGAATCTAAACCATCCAGGGCTCTACCCCAACGCATACAAAAAAAAACATTCAAATCGGTCCAGCTGTTTAAGAGAAGTTCAGTGACATACACACGTACAGTAGAATTATATGTATATACTAGTGGACCCCACAGACGTTGTCCTGCATGATATTTAAAGCGATTAGGATATTAAGCAAAGTATGAAAGTACCGACTGCAGTGCCATCTGCCGGGCTGATTTGTGAATCTAAACCATTCCCAGATCGCCTTGAACACACACAAAAAATTTCATCAAAATCGGTCCAGTCGTTTGAGAGAAGTTCAGTGACATACACACTCACAGAAGAATTATATATATAAAGATATATATATATATATATAGATTTTGTTAATTAAAATGTTGCAGCCGATACCGACTGCTCTAAGTTTCCATACTAAATTCATATTCGCAATACACGGACCGCTCGAGCATATTGCAGTCGGTCTTGACTGCAACATGCGGTCCGTCTATGGCCCGTTTTAGCCAAGTAAGTTTTTGTTAGCAACCCCACTACCCGGGGGGCCTCATAGCCTTGCGGTCTTATTAAGTGGCAGCTAGGTGAGGGGTACCGGGTTCGATTCCCGGTTCGAGGGCAAGTTTTAATTTAATTTAAATTTGTTCTCGGCCTTTGGGAGGGTTGTGCGGTACCGGGCGAGTGCTTAAACCGTACATGGAGGACACGGTCGAATTTCTAAAGACAAGCACGAATTATAAAAAATCCTATACTTGACGCTGGCTAATGCACAAATCGTGCCAGAGCCATAAATAAAAATATAAAAAAACCCACTACCCCTACTCTTATGTTAGTTATAAGCTCATGTTTTAAACGATTAAAGCCAGTCAGCTCAGCAAACAAAGTGTTTAATTTAACATAATATATCTGAACATATCCATACAACAACCGCTACCGAACTTAACTCTCGTATGAGTATTTTTTATGAACTAATTTTCTTTTGACAATTCTTTGGTTACATATGAAAAAATCGCAAGTTTTTTTTAATTATTTAATATTGTTTTAATAATCCTCTGTTTTTTTTGCGCTGCTAAGCAAATTATTATGTGTGTACCAATAATTAAATTCATAAGTAATGCTTCGCCTAAGTTTTGTTTAAACAATGATTAGAAGTTCTTCGTACAGTGGAAGAGTCGTTACGCTTGCGTTGATTTTAAACTTTTTTTTACTTTCAAATGAACTTTTTTTTCTCTGAAAGTTCCGACAATTTGACGTATGTTTCAGGGGTGCAGTGCTGATCCTCGGTGGTATTACGCTTAATGTGTGGGCTGCTGCGTTACTCTTTCAACCGGTGGAAGAGCATATGGTGAAGAAATTCAAGGAACCCGAGGAGGATGAAGAAGGGCCGCAGGTAAGAAAAAAATGTGTCTCGAAATTACGAATTTATACCAACTATTATTTCCTTAAAACAGTTGTTTATTAAAATCGTCATAGCCAATTATTAAAAGACCCGTGGCTATTGTTTTAACGGAATCTCTGTTAGCCTTAAGGGCCTTTCCAGGACGTTTCTTGCGAGACTCGGACCTCGGCTTGGGCCGTCGCGGGGTGGTCATTTTTTTAACGAAAATATATTTTTTTTATCGGCAAAATACATGCTACGGGCTCTCGCTAGTTAGCGATATCTTCCAGTAATACAATAACAAATAACAGTAGTACAATAATTAATACTATTTGTAGTTTTAACTATTCGTTTTTAAGTACTATTCGTAAGATTATGTTTGTTTTAAATCATAACTGATGTTATGCGAATAAGAAAAAATTGACACGACCACAATTTATTTAATACTTTCTATCTCTGAACGAAATTTGGCAAGATTCGTTAGATGCGCAGGAGTTCTTGCCAAGTTGCGATTTGTTTTAAAAAGGTGTTTTGAAAATGAAACGAACATAAGGAATGGTGATTTCTTCTCATAAAGTAAGATATTTCATTTTTTATTCATGTCAAGTTGTCGAAAAGGTATTTTTGACAATTTACATTTTTACGCTAATATTGCTTCATTGTGTTTGTGTGGTGGCAGTCTAAAATCATTTATGTAATAAAAATTCACCGAAATACTAATCCATATAGAATATGTTTGTTTATTCTGTCAGCAAATGTGTAGTCTGCACGCACGTAAAAAAAGGGTGCGTGTACTTATGTACGCGCGTAAGAAGTTATACTTCTTTGGCATTATTAAAAATAGTTTTTGATTGCATGCAAATAATTAATTACAATTAAATAATCACAGACTGGAAAAGGAGTCAATAAAGTTCAGTTTACATTTGAAAAATTAAATAAATAAATATTAATATTCTCTTACAATAAGTGTAACATAAATTCTATTATTATTCGAATGTTGTTTTTAAATTATGTCCAATGCCGTAGCATCTTCCGTGGGCAACTTCATTCTGTTAATTTTGTGTCACGGTGCGCGCGCCTCGTAAAATTTCACTCTCATCTATTTTTCATAACGCGCCTAAAGAAGCATAACTTCAAAAATTGTCTTTGGTTTACAAATACTATTGGTTTAATAACGGAAAGAAACGAATCACAATATTTAACTCGACATTTTGAAAGCATTACCCACAACTTCGTTATATCATCATCAGCCTCTTTATTTGGTCCATTTATGGACGCAGGCTCCATCTTCCTGCAGTACGCCCTAAACTGGCATATCTGCATCCACTAGGAGCCAACCTCCTCCAGTCCACTTAGTCAGTGGGCGGACCGCGGTCTTTTGTTCTGTCGAGGTCTCCTTTCAAGCCTGTGGATCCATCGGTTCTTGCCCATGCGCGCTATGTGGCATGCCCGCCGTTGAAAGGTTGCGACAGCCCTTACTGCGTCGCTCAGGTCTTTTCAGGTTATATATAATATAGTAACACCGTTAAATAGTAAATTTGTTTTAGTAAAACAAACTATATCTATTCTTTTATATATTTTTTAATAAGGAAGTCACTATGGTCTATGTCCTATGACATTATTAGACTTTGACGTTAGTGTGACATATAATGCTGTTGATTTAAAAATGTACTTTAAAAAAAATTATGGATAGAAAAATGGTTTCTGGTAATTTTATTAAACTCACTTAAGCAACGCTTTGACATATGTATATTATAATAAATTAATAAAAATACAGAACCCCCTTATAACGCATTTTCATATTACGCGATTTCAATCCCTAGTATAACGAGTATTCCCCCAAATAACGCGGGGATTTACACGTTATATTTCTGTCCTGTGACATGATTTGTACGCTAAGTGCGTACAAAGTCCGTTCATAAATGTTTTTCTTGATATTCGATTTAAATACCCTTTAACGAGAAAATTTAAACGTAATTCTTTTGAATATAACGCGTTATATGGGTCATACAAGCGCGTTATGCGTGAACACTCCTACAACGCGGAACCAATCTACCGTGTTATAGGAGGGATAACTGTAGCATTCCTAGTCTAACGTGTTGACGCGCCGTCATACATCATATTACGTTGACCAATCACAACGCAACGATTCGTCCAAAGTTTTACGTTTTCACTTCAATGCTTTCAAAATGTCAATTAAATATATACTAATAATATATTAAAGTTATAAACTCATTAACTAATTAAGTTTAAAACAATTTCTTACTAAAACTGTTTAATTTCGAGACTGTCACTTACATTCTTATCACAGCTTTGCACGACACTAACGCATATCGGTTCCAATATTTAACTACAACTACTTTAACGAATGGTTTAAATATAGGAACCGGCCATTAATAATCACTTTCCCTAACGTGTGAAGTTTCATTTTCAAAGGGCATTTTTTACGCTTAGTTATAAAGTTAGTTAAGAAAGTGATTATGGGCGGATAGCGCCGGCTTTTGGTATAGATTTAACATGTTTGGGAGTGGCAATGTAACCAAATTTTACAAGAATATGTATAGATACCGGCAAATATCTTGAACAAATTTCCTTGCCTGCACAGAAGCTATGTTTAGGACGGGAGGAGGCGGGCAGTGGTGCGCGGCGGCGGGAGAGTGACGTGTCGATCGCGTGATTGGTAAATCAGTTGACGTTTGTGTCCCGCGCTGCGCAAATTTCCCCCACTCCCTTGTTTAATGCTCAAGAAGTTTGCCGGTATCTGTACTTTAAGTTTAGGTGTATTTTGGGATGATGTCCAACTTGAGGCTCTATGTGGAAACGTTTCTAACTTGACTTAGTACAGTAAATATTGCACATCGGATCGCATTCGGAAGTGGTGATTCCCATGTCCAATTATTAGATTTATTGTATCAGAATTTCAATTCAAAACTAGGTGTTTATAGATTTGAAACATTGTGAAGCATGATTTAAGGGTCAAAATCGAGATTTAAACCTAACTAATAAATAATAATATGTTAAAATCTTGTACTTAAGTCTTTGGAACGAAATGATATGCCATTTTTGAGTAACAAAAAACAGCTTAAATCTGTGGTACTAATTTTGTGTGTCAACCTTTGACTTTGACATTTTATCAAGATCTTTCAGAAATTTTGACACATCAAAACACGCGATCTGAGGCCACTATTAATCAAACCTAGGTATATATAATTTCAAGAGCTATTAAACCGTTTTTTTCTATTTGACACATTTGACAGCGCTATAGATGAGAGAACTAGAATATAGAGCTGAAGTTTCCAATTTCATAGATGATTAATATCTAATAGAGCAAAAAACAGTACTACAGATAAAGAAAACACTTTTTTACCGGATTGAAGTTATGTATTATTATAAACTTATAATTATTTTACATAATTAAATGATTTTCCGCTGTTTCGCGTGCTTTACAGCGTGCGTGGTCACGGTGTCTGAAGACAAAAAGTATCACAGCTGTAGAAAAAGTTGTATTATCTGTATTTATTTCCCCGCAGTTGATATCGACTAAAAGATGGAGGGTTTTGACAGAAATGACTCACGTGACGCGTGGTCATGTCAATAAGTTTATAATAATACACAACTTCAATCTGGTAAAAAAGTGTTTTCTTTAAATGTGTAAAAGTTATGTTAATAAAAGACAATACTAAGTACTACAGATTCTAGCGATTTTTTTCTTTGCAGGACGACATATTGTTCGAAGAAGAGGAACCAATTGAGACGTTCAATCTACGTACAGAAAAACAAAATGGCGAACCTAGCAAGGAGACCTCTGAGAGGACCCTTTCACAAGTTCAAATACACTCGCCACGCACAAATTCCACACAAAACCTTCGTAATAACGCTTCCAAACGGAAGCTTTCGTACACCCGTCCCATCCCAAAACCCACTAGTACAGCTTCCATGGCCCTCGATGGCGTACCCGATAGCAGAAAACTCGGCTCCACTGAAACGTTCAGCAGACGGCTCAGTACTACCAAAAGGAACATGTCCACCACCAGTTTCGCGTATGTCTCCACACCGTTCCACGGTTCTACTCTATCAGCCTTCGATCAGCCCAACGAATTCGCCTCCCAATTTTCCCTAAAGTCCATAACGGACAGCGTGGCAGATGTCGCATACTGCTGCTTCTGTTGCAAGCGGAAGAAACGGAAGGAGCCAAATAAATTTTTTGACGTTTCCCTTTTGAGCGATCCGACGTATTTAGTTATTTTGATTTCCAGCAGCACAGTCGCCATTTCCGTTACGAATTTTATTATCCTCCTACCGTCATACGCGCAAAACATCGGGTTCGATAAGTCGCAGGGCGCGTTATTACTCAGTACTGTGTCGGCGCTCGACTTGGTCGGACGTATCGGCGGCTCCGCGTTGTGCGACCTGAATATTGTACCGAAAACCGTGTATTTTGTCGGCGGTCTATTCTTTTCCGGTATTATATTAGCCATTATACCGTTTTTGCATTCCTATACAACGCTGAGTATTTTCTGCGCGCTGTTCGGTTTAACTTCGGGTGTAAATAACGGTGTTACAACTTTAGTAATGGCCGAAATTTTGGGAGTTGATCGGTTAATGTCGACTTACGGTATTAGTTTATTTGTCAACGGTCTGTTGCAGTTGATAGGACCGCCAGTCTGTGGTCTATGGTTCGAGCACGATAGAAACTTTGTCAATATGTTTGTTACTTTTGGGTTTATTTTCATAGCGGGGTCGTCTCTATGGTTGTTTATGCCCATAATTAATAGACGTAAAAAGAAGATGGAGGGCCAACATGTGTAGCGTACAAATTAATTTTTAGGGTTTTTTATACTTTTAGTACTAATGAAATTTTACGCGCAAATGTATTTAGCACAATTTTGAATTATATCTATTAAGATATTTACGAATTTAATATAAAGTTTATTAGATACATTCGTTTACATCGAGGCTTCAATTAGTTTTTGCCAAAAAATACTTTTATAATGGGTCACGTGATATCCACAAAATTCTTGCAAAATGAAATAGGAAACTTCAAGCGTGAGATTCATAGTCAAGCCTGGCGTGAACTATACTCGTATGCCAAAAACTTGCATTTGACATACTGAAGTCATACTTAGCGCTAGGTATCGACTCCGAATATCACCATTATATGAGAGTTACCTTTGTGTATCCTAAGTAGTGATGTCGAACTTAATTTAATCTAACGAATTTTTAACAAGTATTTTATATATAGTTACCTTTTCTAGTTTTAAAGCGAGTTACTATATATTAAAACTCAATTATTTTTATATGATAGACCCTTAATAACATATACACCCGAAACAGTCAATAGCAAGTATATATTTCGTAAATTATAAATTCAAGTATCAAAATTCGTCAGTCCTTATACGTTTCAATATTTTTAACATAATTAAATTTCTGACAAAAATTATGTAATTATTTGACCAATAATTTACTACAAACTTTTACGTTTCGAGAACTGTCAAACGTCAGTGAAACTTGACACATGGCTGTCTTTGGTTGACGCGAGCAAATTTAAATAATTTTTTTACACAGATAAAGGCGAATTTATAACGTTTTGACGTTTCGAGTGCCAATTGAGGTTACACGAGGCAGTCTTGATTTATAATTCCTATTAGTATTTTTACGAGAGATGTGATTAAGCAATATATTCATACTTGTTACAGCACAATGTATGTTACTGATTAGGTGATTTGTATGGTTATGTAAATAAATATTTTGATATTTTTAATGTGTTTTTATTTACAACATTATAACGTTAGTACAATCCTAGAATTAAAGTAAGATTGAAACAATATTGCTAATACAGGTATTTTTTTATGTAATAGGAGACGAATGGGCAGGAGGCTCACACGTGATATTATGTGATACCACCGCCCATGGGCACTCACATTGCTTTACAATACATACATCATATAGGATTCAAACAATTTTTAATTTAGCTTAATCTCTCAGATTAGTATATGTTCAAAATAGATTTCAGTACTAGATAATATAAAATGTAAGACAATCAAACAAATTGCTGTGAATAATTATCAAGCTGATTGTTTTTAAACCTCTTAGATAAATAAATTAATACTTTTTCAGCTGGAACCTTTCATGGAAGAAGACCCTAGTGACTTGAATCTCTCAAATCCAAAACTGGTCTTAACCTCTGAGGATGATCAAGAAAAGCAGCCGAACGGATCCCTGCTAACACACAAGCCAAAATCTAACACACACTTAGACGAGAGAAATGATGTCGGAAGGTCTGTGAGCTCCGCCCAAATCAACGAAAGGATTCGTAAAGTATCAACCTCCAAGGGCCTACAGCATATATCCAGCAAGGCTTCCAATCTTCCAAGCAATCCATCCTTTCTAGAATCCGTGCCAGAGGGAAGGGCCAGTCGCGTCAATTCTCAAGAGGGTTTCGGCAAGAAGTTGTTGCCGAAAACGCCCAAACGTAGCCCTTCCACCTCAAGTTTCCAGTATATGTCTACGCCATTCCATGGTTCCACTTTATCCGCGTTTGAGAAACCAAGCGAATTCGCCTCGCAGTTTAGCCTAAAATCCGTCACAGATAGCTTAGCCCCCATAACCTACTGTTGCGGCTGTAGAAAACGTAAAGACGACGGAACGAAGAAGGAGCCAAACAAATATTTCGATTTAAATTTATTAAAAGATCCAATTTATTTAGTGATATTAATATCGAACTGTACTAACGCAATATCATACACAAATTTCCTCATTTTAGTTCCGGCTTACGCGCAAGAATGCGGTTTTGACAAGTCTTTAGGCGCGTATTTGTTGTCTATAATATCGCTGCTCGATTTGGTTGGCAGAATTGGAGGATCTGCGCTGTCAGATGTGGTGACAACACCGAAGTGTTACTTTTTTATCACCGGTCTATTACTCTCTGGCATAAGTTTGTCTATGATCCCGTTAGTTTCTAGTTACACGGCGATCAGCGCGTTCTGTTCTGTTTTTGGGCTTGCATCGGGGATAAATACTGGTATCACCGCTCTAGTTATGACGGAGATGTTGGGTACAGAAAGATTGATGTCTTCTTATGGTATAAGTTTGTTTGTAAATGGTATATTGCAGCTGATCGGTCCGCCCGTTTGTGGAATATGGTTTGAACGTACAAAATCTTACAAGTCGTTATTTGTTACTCTCGGGTTTATATTAAGTTTCGGCGCGTCTCTGTGGATCTTTGTACCGTTCATTCAAAGGCGTAGGAAGAGGTTGGAAAATGCTGAAAAGGCGTAATTTAGCGAGGAAAATGGGTTTTAATCTTAGGTGTAAAGAATCATTGTGATAATTCAACTTTAAATGCATTCGTTTTACACTCAGTATTTAATGAAAAACATAAATGTTAAAGTAATCATGTGATATACCTTTCCCTCGAATAAATAATAATAATTCGCACAGAGCATGTACAGCCAATTTATGTTTGTATAGCGCCATGTTTTATAATGCTACTAAATTAAAGAGTCAATAACCCACTCAAATACTTATAATTGGTGCTAAATTACTATGAGTAATTAGTACGAGATTTGGGAGATAATCTGAAATGTCACAATTATATTGAATTTCACTTTAATAATTAGTTAAATATATATTAATATTATATAGTTTCTAAACAATATTTAAATTCCTAATAGATGGCGCTAAATTAAAATATTATTGGGACATTGTAATCTGTCAATTTATATTTAAACTGCCTTAATAGATTAACTTTAACCAAATAATATAATTAAACGTTTTCCATGTTACTCATTAAAATATTTTGTAATTTGTTTGAACCAAAAATATTTGCGTGTTTATGTTTTTGCATAAATACTAGACTTGTTTTTCCATTGCTAATAATTAAATCATCACAATTCGAGATTAAAGGGTTCTTTGAACAGTTATTGTAGAAAAGTATCGTTATTAATGTTCCTGAAGTGTTGCCAAGTTTTTTATTATACTTATTTAGATAATTTTACATCACCTGGCGAAAATCAACAAACAGTTTGTCTATTATTGTTGATATTGACGTTTATGTTTTAGAAAACGACGAACAAAATGATTAAGTACTATGCATTAATTTTAGTTTACGATTTTTATATTAGCGTAATTTTATATGTTAACTCATAGAATTGCTTTTACAAATAAATGTCTAATAATAGGATTTCTTATAATTATTTCAAAGTATTTTTCATATATTATTTCTTAATATGTAAATCAACTTATACAGGTTTTGGAACTTTTAAATATATTTTTTAATCGATAAACATTGTTTTATTTCTGGTACAATAAAACCCCTGTCGCTGTCCACATCTGTGTTTCTACGTTCATCAAAATGCGTTACTTTAAAAACATAATGAAACAAATTTGCGTTTATATTTGCGTCAAAGAACTTTTACTTACTAATATTATTTGCAGATAGTATCCACTAATAATTTGAAGCTTGGGAATAAATAAAACAAAATAATTCTTATTAACATAATATATTGATCACAATGTTAGAGATATGTATACAATAGTGTAAAATACAAAATATCAAAGACATAAATTATTTAAATTCGAAATTGGTCGTAAATTTTGACAATTACAGCTAAAAACTCTATTTTGTTTAACCAAAAAGTTATGTATGAGAATCGAACCTCAGCCACAGAAATAGGCCGTTGGACTACGTTTCTTATTATACAGTGTTATTTCGTAGAATATAATTATGTAAATGGACATTTTCTTGTGTTTAAACAATGAATATAACAAATGTAAATTGTTGGTAATGGGTTAATAACTCTACATTAATTGAGAAAGCTGCTTAAAAGACACGGGCACAAGATACAAAATACAAATAAAATGGAAATAAAATAGATTAAAGCACCCGGCACAAACTTCGTACTAAAAAGTATAAAATGTAAATATTCCACAGAACTATTTTACTAATAACTTACAGACTCTAGTATTTTTAGCAGAATTTCTTCGTGCGCGACGATGCAGTTGTTTAAAGAGGTGTGTAAAGTTCGTATGTACTTAGTGAAATACCTAAAACATGGCTTCTCTCTTACCATCTAACATTATTCACATTTTATCACATCTATTCAAAAAGAGTTTGTTTATCCTAGTGATTTGAATTTGGAATGTGGATTATGTTTCAATCACCAAAGAGTATCGAACGCTGTATAAAAACGATACTGGCTGTCAAAAAGGTATCTCTATGAAAAAGAAAAAATAAAAGCGCGTGAAACGTTCTTTTGTTATTATACTGATTTAAAAATTGTGTCTGCTTTAAGTATAGTAATAAATTTTACTTCACAAGTTACATTTATTTTGTGATAGAGGTGATAAAAAGAGTTCATCTCGGAGCTAAGTAAAAATGACACAATTTAAATCCCTCGCAATCTAGATATAAATCCTAAAAATTGTGCTCCCTTCGAAATAATATTCTATTTTTAATCAACTGGAGTAGTTTTTTTCAAACCCCTAATTTAAGTTAAAATTTAAGTAAATATTTCCAAAATTTCCATAAAAACATATCATTTGGTACTTTTACATTACACCTAATAATTTTACATAATATACAGTCGCGGTATATTTAAGATCAAACTAAATAGTTGCCTATGGTACAACATCTCTAAATCAGACGATTTATATTTTTGTACATTTCTTAGTCAAGGGTTTGCAAACCATTATGGCCAAAATTTTCAAAAACGGGTGAAAATGGACGTGAAAACCGTGCGTTCTGTTTGTTTGTGATTGGTCACGATAATTATTGGAATAGAGATTTTGACAAGATTTATATTACCTCCAGTTGTCCAATCACAATAAAACGGAACGTTTTGTCACTTCGCCGTGTCGCTATTATATTATATTATATTTGATTTCTCTTAAATTGATAATATTGCTGCCTTACGCGCCTTTGGGTTCAATGACCGATCGGACATTGACCCCTGACTATTAAGTTCAACCCATTCATTTAAAAAATCTGATGAAAGATGCCTTCAGTTAAAACGGATTTTTTTATGAATGAGCTAATTTCAATCATTTCTTATATTAGTGTAGATATATTTCGAAAATCACAATTAAATATTATCTTAAAGCCAACAAGGGTCTGCCTTTCACAGCTGCACGCAATTTTTTCACTAACGCAGTCGGCTGAATGAGAATCGATACCTCTGTCCCTCTCGCACTCAGTCTATTCATCTCTTCTTCTCCCCCCTAAAATAATTTTCATACACACCACAATTTAAAACACCAATTCACAAAAATAAATTTCAATTAGCTTCCAGGAATTTTTAGGAGAAAAATTATTTTTAAAAGATTTATTCTCGTTTTATATTTAAATAAATCGCAATTTTAACTAATAATTAAAACACACACAGAACAGCTGCGTCAAGGAAAGCTATAGACTGTTTAAAGTGGAAAAAAATCACTATAAACAGATACCTTACAGGGTTACCCTTCAGCAATAGAGAATATGACTCGGAAGAAGAAGTTTTAAGGCATTTACCAGACTCTAGACCAGACCAGACTCTAGATCAGACCAGATTTCTAAATAAACCTGTTTATAACAGACAATCAAATCGGAAATATGATCAGTTAACTCTCTTACGGCTTGAATGAAATGCAAATGGACAAAGAGGGTAACAAAGTGGAAAGGGCCACCAGGAATAAGAAAGAGAGGTCGCTCTCTTGCATGTTGGGCTGACGAGCTTAAGGCCCTGTCCCAGCACGAATTGCTGTGTCTCGGGGCGCAGTGGAGAGCTGGAGCACTGAGGCTCGCCGGCCCGTAATAACAATTAGTTTTGTAAAACATTTAATTAATATAATTTTATCTGAAATGGATTACTTGGCTTGCGATAAAATATATCGTGTAAATTTCAAAATCATGTTATATACATTTTTGTGAATCAATTCAAAGTGTCAAAAATTGGCTATGTTTGGATTTCTTTTCTATCGAGCGAAGTTATTTAAATCGTGTCTCAACTCCACCACATATTTTTTACTTCAAGAAACGATGACGAAAAATGGAAAGACACAATGTATTTTTTTTGGAGTTTGGCGACCAGATAGGTCCTTAAGGGAGTTGGTGGAGAGGATTGGGAGCAAAATGCTCAAAACAGAGAGAGATAGAGCCAATTGGAGGAGGCCTATACTCAATAAGAGGTCCTTGAAAAAAAAAATATTTAAAGTGTGTGTATATTTTTAAAGCAATTATTATTACCTCTCTTTAATCAATTAAAGCATGAAGACTATTAAAACAGAAGAAGTAGACTTACCTTAAGTAAGTTAACAGGCCGGTTATTGACTTCAGTGACCGCCCACTTACCGGGCGGTAGACCGACCCGAGAGGCAGGGCTATCACTATCCACTGATTGAATCGTACATTCACTGTCTAGTTTTATACCTAAAAATCAAGATAATATTCAAAATAAATAAATCAGTGGCGCTACAACCTCTTTAGGTCTCGGCCTCAGATTTCTGAATCTGTTTCATGATCGTTTTTAAATATAATAAGTAGGTGTTCAGCCTCCAGTGCCTGACACACGCCGTCGACTTTTTGGGTGTAAGACATGTCGGTTTCCTCACGATATTTTCCTTCACCATTCGAAAGAAAGAAAGTCCATTGGTGCACGGGAATCGACCCTACGACCTCAGGGATGAGGGCCGGCGTGTATCGCAGGAGACTGATCACCTACATACCTATTAGAATGACAAATGATCATGAAACAGAAATCTTGTTTGAAAAAAAAAATTTTTTAATTTATTTAACCAAATGTCATTTCAGATCACCCCAATGCGGAATTATTTTCACTTATTACATAAACACAACAAAATCTAGGACATTTAATAATAAAATATTAAAATATGCCTATTGTTAGCACTGCAGGAACATATATAATATAGTAAATGAAAGGAGAACTTACCTAAACTCTCGTGGTCCTTTTTGGTTATAACATAAATTTTTCCTAATGGCACCCGATGAAATAGAAAGTCTACCTGTGAATGGAAATTAAAATAATAATTATTAATAAATTATGTCATTATAATACCCTAATTTTCACTAAAAGCTTTATACTCAGCAGCAGATACCCCACTATCTGCTGCTATCTAACAGGTGGCTCATTTAATGTTAAGTGACAGCCGCCGATAAACACTCAAATTTCCATGGACATGCGTTGTCGGCCTTTTAATAATTGGTATCCTCTTTTGAAGGACACTTAGTCGAATTGATTCGGAAATACTTCAGTGGGCTGCGCGGCAAAAACTGCTTTAAAAACGCTCAGTTGTGGAACGACGGAGACCGATTACGTTTCGTAGTCTCCGACGTTCGATGATGAATCTCAGCTGAAGGTTTAAATTCGAACAACTCCTCTGAACACTCTCCATGATAAATGCGGTAGAAGATGCAGAGAAACCCCACATCTCTACGCAACGCCATCTAATTAATTTTTTCCCAAAAATGATATTAATTACTGTCGTACTATGACGTAACAACCTAACGACAACGAACGAAGACAATTCTCTTATAATGAATGAATTAAAAAAGTATAACTCACCATATGTCTATTAGAGCCTTTCATGAGTTGCCTCGCGTGTTGCGCCGACGTAGGCTGAGTGCCCCCCACCGCTGCCAATCTGTCCCCCACGCGGCCCCCACAACGCACTCCGGCCCCTCCCCAACGTGCCACCCTGGATAACACAAATTTACAGACTCAAATACAAAAAAGTTAAGACCAAACAAAACACGACTTCAAACGTCAAAGGAAAAGAGAACAAAAGAAGAAAAAAGGGGGGAAAAGATAATGAGGATTTTGATAAGTTTTTTTATTTTTTGTATAATTTTAAGTATGTCAAGGATTCTGTACTCATATATATCCTATATGTTGATTGTCATGCTTCATGAATTTAATACACATAATATATACAGATACCGGCAAACTTCTTGAGCATTAAACAAGGGAGTGGGGCGCATCGTACACATAAACGTCAACTGATTTACCAATCACACGATCGACACTCTCGCCGCTTCGCTTCTGCTGATGTTTGCCGGTATCTGTATGTTCATATATGTGATAAAATGTATGTATTCATTTAGAATTATATCATTTTCTATCTGATATTAGAAGTCAATTAATTGTCTACATTTGAGTTCCAATAACAAAAATTTATATGGATACAACGGCAGAAATAATTCGCGCTGAGAAGAAGTGAGAAGAAGCTGACTCATCTACCGATTTGTGGAGGTTGAGAATGGAGAATAAGACGTTGGTGGGTTCCATTTGATTAGGATTTTTATTTATTTATTTTCCTTACTTCCTATTTTTAAAGTAACTTAATACTAATACAATAGAAAACTAAATTAAAAACTTAAAAACCTAAACCATTTTATAACTAATTATAAATAATGCAATATGTACTTGTGAATTCAGCGAGTGTTTGAATTGATTATATATAGTCTAGTTATTATAAAACCTTACTATAAAACATGGACTAGTACTTTTCATATTTAATTTAATTTTTTTACATCAAGGACATACTAGACAACTCTATTGTGTTCTTTATGAGATGTGGACCCGTTATTATCAATTTATGTAGTTTTTTTACAAATATTTAAAGTACGGTAAATATATATCGATATTTCAAGTTATTTTATCGATATTTCAAGTTATTTTAAAAGCTCGGTTTATCGATTTTCGAGTTAAAAATCTTACCAAATCTGCTTTTCATAATCACAGAACAATGGTGGATCTCTAACTGGAACTGTGGTCGCTACGCACGCCCCGCGGCGTTGCTCAGCCAGCAGGGAGGCTGCTTGACGCGCCCGAAGGGGGAGGAGCGTGGGGGGAGATTGAGGTATCCTTGGGGCTTGACCTGCGAATGTGAATATATCATATAGAGGATATCTTCATATGATATTTAACTTTTAATCACAGCAAATCAATAATCATTAGTATTCAATTAAATATTTCTATAAATTTTTAAGGTTATGTCTAAAAATATTGATAGAATCTGTTATATTTATTTAAATTATCACACCTTTTTCCCGAAGAAGTGGTACATGGTGTAATGGTTGTAGCTGCTTACAAACGTTGTGGAAAAAAAACTTGGCGATTAAAAAGAGTAGCGGAGAGTTTATTGCCAGTTCTTCTCTTCCGTTCTACGCCCTTGATTTGAGAACTGGCACTAAATGTAAAATTAGAAGCATTTTATGTACATTTCTTTTTTTGACGATCATACAAAATGATCACTTCACAAATGTTAGCTATATGATTAAATGATTTTTGACTTTAAACGAAGACCACGGATCTCCACATGCTACGGTCCTGCCATTCCTCTCTCGCTTCATTGATAACTATTCTATTATTATAAAATAAAATATGATTATCTAATCCCTTACATGTGTTATCAAACAGTTTAACAAATTCACTTAATTATAATTAAATGTAAATAAATTCTTACTTTGAAAATTAAACTCACCATTGCTAAGAGAGTTACTTCTTCTCCTACTGCTGTCCACTCTTGTTTCTCCTCTCGAGCGATGGACCACTTTCACTGAAGATGTTACAGATCTGAAATGTATTTTAATACTATTGTGAACGGCGAGAATTAAGTGTTTTTTATCCACGTAAACTTCTTTAATTTCTTCCGGAGTGATATAATACAATAAAAAAAATGGTGCGTGTACTTATGTACGCGCGTAAGAAGTTATACTTCTTTGGCTTACTTTATTTTTTAAATATTAAATAAATAATAATAAATATTTAACGTTAATAATTTAATAATATTTAATATTTAGTATATTATTCAATTAATAATTAATATTAATTATTATTTATTATTTTATTATATTATTAATTCAATTTAATAACTAGGTATGTTTCATAACCTTTTAACTAAGTAACAATAGGTCTTTGTGAAAAAGCATTGCTAAATTTCTTTGAAAAAATAATTAAAACTCCTTTATTTGTTTAAAAGGTAAATGTCAATATGGTCATTCAAAATTCTTGGCATAGCTGCTAACTTCACGCATATTCTATTTCTTTTTACTTGTAGATTGTCTTATTCTCATCTCGCTCGCGCACGCTCGGCGCACGACTGGTTTAAAAAGAATTCGTTTGTGGGCAACTTCATTCTGTTAATTTTGTGTCACGGTGCGCGCGCATCGTACAATTTCACTCTCATCAATTTTTCATAACGCGCCTTAAGAAGTATAACTTCAAAAATAAACATTAACGGGCGGACGGAGTGCGATACGCAAAAAGGGCGTGGTTAGGGATAAAATCGTGATTATCCTTCATGGTATAAAACCAACCTTTAGTTTATACTATAAATGAATTCATAATAAATGGGAGTGAAGGATTTGGATAAAATACCTGTCATTTTCATTATTCTGTCTCGAGGGACTCTCTTGACGTTTTAGGCTGATACTTTTCAATCTTGTCAATAATGACAGCTCGGTCAAACCGCGCCGCCATATCGGTTTTTGATGTGTCGTTTCCGGTTTGTCTGAAATTTAAAATTATTCGATAAAATCCAGCAGGAAATATTAATTGCTATTAACAGAAAATGAAATGTAACATCACTCACCATTTTTTGTCTCCGTCTTAGGAATGTTATTCAGCAATCTCCGTCTCTCTCTAACACCAGGTGCAACATCATATGCATTCTGACTATGTGACCTTTCAATATTAGACCTTAACCCTCTTACATTAGAGTCTATGATCGGTCTAGCTGCGTTATTCGAATTTCGAACATTCGAAACAAAGGAGTTTAAATTTGGAACAGTTGAATTAGATATTGAAATAGGACCGGATACATTCGAGCTGGGAATGCAATTTGAAATTGGAACAACAGAACCGCCATTTGTGTTTATGTTTGAATTTAAAATTGGAACACTTGAAACGTTTGTACTCGGCCTCGAAATTGGTATTATAGACTTATTAGACGAATTTTGATCATTTTTAGAATTCAACTCCGCATTATTTAAACTATTGATTTGACTAGGAAATAAGCATTCATATGTGGACTCCGACAAATCTAAATTGGGTAATGACGATTTTCGGACTTTATCGACGTTTTGTAAGCGCCTTACAGGTAAAGGGGAGGCGTTCGACGTGGACGCCATACACAGCCTCTCATAGACAGCATTTGGCTCGTTGTCACCATTGACATTGGTCACAGAACAGCCATTGGTGACAGCGCTGACAACCGCACTGACATTTGTAACAGAAGTGACATCTGTCAATGAAACATCAGGCCTAGTGACATTGACAGTTGTTGTCAAGCTTATATGACCATATTCCGAGTCGGATTTTTCAAAAACCGTTCCATAATCATTTTGTTCCGTGTTGACTATGTTAACGAAATCGGGTTTAATTTGTAGATTTTGTTTAAAATTAAAGTCGAAAACATTTCTTTCGTGGCCTAGTACAGGTATGGCGGTGTGTGGAGGACCCTTGTTTGAAACTTGTATAACTGTGATATTAGAACGTTGTTGGCTGAAATATAAAAAAAACTTGTGAGGAAAGATCCAGAGTCATAACAGTTTTGCCTATTAAAAAGTTTGGCAACACTTACACAATTAGTTTCATAATCCTATAGCTAACATCTTAATATATATAAATTACGTGTCTACACCTAAAAACTACCGAACCGATATCAATCAAATTTTCACACCGTGTGTAGTTTGATCCAACTTAAAAGATAGGACATTACATCTCTATTTATACCCGCAATATTATTTTTTTGCAAAATATTTGTTTATTATTTGATAGTCACAATTCTAACAGATGGCGCTGTGTTGAAAGTACCAACGTTTCACATAAGCTACAATTTAATGGCATTACCACCAAAAAAGCTTGGTGGTCCCCATGACTGGTGTTCTACCGTATCCCTTGAATAGGTTACTACTATGTAGTATAACTAAAACCTTAGCCACGGCAACGCTTGGCCGGTCTGCTAGTAAATTATATAAAACAAAAAATAATTATACTAAATATAAAGCTAAACATGGAATACATAATATAAAAAAAGGTTCAAAAATTTACAAAAGGAAAAAACCAATAAAAATTATTATATACTTTTAACTAAGTAATACCTAACTTAGCTGCGTTGTGTGATGATGTGAGGGTGTATATATGTATAATGATTATATATATTTAAATATGCTAGCTCGAATGCCAGGTAGATGGATATTGAAATAAAAATATATAAGAAAGAGATACATGTTATAATTACACTGTATCGAAGATATATACAAGATTTTTATTAAGCTATTGCATAGATTTTATCGCGGGCTTTGAGCGCGGCGACCGAATCAAGAAATTCCGTAACGAAATAAACCTAATACGCGATGTCGTAATATAGGTGCGGCCAATACGCGTTAGAGCGGGACAGAACGCATACTGCGTCTCACATCGGTTTAGCGTGATCGGATAGGCGTGTTAGTCTGAGTCTGGTAGAGTGGTAGATTGAATAAATATCAAAGATAAAACTTGAATTAATATCAAAGAAAAAAAATACTGCGAAAAATAAATATATAATTATATTGCATAAGTTTATAACAATTGCTATGCAATAGCTTTACCCGGGCAGTCCCCGAGTGCCACACGTATTTTTTTTTATTGTAATGAGGTCTTTATGTATTAAGTTCTATTTACCCTAGTTTTGTGACATCTTAATATATATATTTCTTCTGTGCGTGTGTATGTGACTGAACTCCTCTCAAACGACTGGACCGATTTTGATGAAATTTTTTGTGTGTGTTCAAGGGGATCTGGGAATGGTTTAGATTCACAAATCAGCCCGGCAGATGGCACTGCAGTCGGTACTTTCATACTTTGCTTAATATCCTAATCGCTTTAAATATCATGCAGGACAACGTCTGTGGGGTCCACTAGTAGCTACATAAAAAGCTACAGTTTTGTAGCATTTTTCACACATATATATATTTAATGATTATTATTATAACTATGTAGTTTAAGAAAATTGTAAATTGTATAGATATTTTGTCTTGGAAATAAATATGAATTTAATTTATCAAAGTACTTATAATACTATAATATGCCTACAGTATGTTACAACCGATCTTTTGTAACATATATCATTCTTAACAATAAGCAAAAAATTACTAGTAAAATAGCGGATTAGGTATATAATCGGCACATAACTATGCTTTTTTATAATTTATCAGCCCACTACCGAGTATACCAACAGAGGTGAGGTGGTGATATATTAGTGATTACAGACGGAATTTGGAAAATTCTGCTGATTTTAAACCTTGGAAATAAATAAGGGAATACGAGGTTTTTATTTGTATAAGAATGATAATGTTAGAAAGAATAGTGTTGGCCCAGTGGCTTCAGCGTGCGACTCTCATACCTGAGGTCGTAGGTTCGATCCCCGGCTGTGCACCAATGGACTTTCTTTCTATGTGCGCATTTAACATTCGCTCGGACAGTGAAAGAAAACATCGTGAGGAAACTGACATGTCTTAAACCTAAGAAGTCGACGGCGTGTGTCAGGCTGATCACCTACATTACTATTAGATTTTTTAAAAATGAGCATGAAACAGATTCAGAGCTCTGAGGCCAAGACCTAAAGGAGTTATAGAGCCACTGATTTATTTATTTTATAAGAATGTTACACCGGCTAGAGATCTCTGATCGTACAGTGGCTAATAATAATAAAATACATACCTATCTGAACTATCAGGAATTTCATCATCATTGATTCTCAATCTTTGTGTATATGTAAAATCGTCATCATCAACAGAGTCACTGATCCTATCAAGCTCAGCAAAAAATTCATCATCACTACCCCGAGATGTCCTTTTCAATATTGAATCATCCAAACAGACATTTTGACCACAGATCTTGGCAACGCTTTTGGACTCAATTTTATCACGTGTTTTATTATCTGTTTCTCTACTTGTACTTGGTGTAGCATCCCAATTCGAAATGTCAATGTCAGACGTCACTATACTGTTTAGTGCGTTTCTGACATTTGTCAGTGACGTTGTGACATTAATGTCATTTAGTGTGGAATTGACATTGGTCGTGTTGACTGTGAGTAGATTTCTCGCATTTGTCAATGTTTCCCTTGTTGCTTCACTCTGTGCTGATGTGTTTGTGGCATTTGTAACATTATCTGTCACTGATGTGACATTATTTATACATCTGTGATTCTCTGGTTCTGGGTTTATATGTGTAGTAGTTGTTATGCTATTTGTGGTAGTATTTTCTGTACTACTTTCGGTTACTGGACGGACATTTGGCCCCAACTCTATGCCTGGTACCCTGAAAATCAAATATAATATTAAGATCTTATGACCATAGCAATTTTTTCATAGATTGACATATTTTTTTTTTTTTAGATTGGACAATTCACACCAATTGACCTAGTCCCATGCTAAGCTGGTGAAGCTTGTGTTATGGGTACTAGGCAACGGATATACATACATATTTTAGATAGACATATAAATACATATTTAAACACCCAAGACCTAAGCAGAACACCAAATGCTCATCACATCGATGTTTGTCTCAGCCGGGGATCGAACCCGGGACCCATGGATCCGCAGTCAGGGGTACTAACCACTAGACCAATGAGCCGAAACCATACCAACCAGCCGTATACCAAGTTCATAAGAAAGTTGTGGGAAGTTGTATTCACTGAGACATCATTTGAACATTATGATCTGACCTTAAGACTAATTAATTATTTAAAACTACTAAAATGGATATTTAACATAGGAAAGTGTCTAATAACACTACTTACAGGCTTTATTAAAGGGAAGACACTCTCGTGTACCATTTTTTCACTTCCCACAGTTTAGCACAAACTAAAACATGTACTAACACTAATTTAAATGGTTTTGTCCTTTTCTATCTTATCACTAGACCTGTGGTGTGAAGAAGCTGAATAGCCTCGACATTCACGTAGTGTGAAAGATGCAAATATGTTTCTATTTCGGCAAACGGGCAGGAGGGTCACCTGATGTTAAGAGATACCCATAGACACAAACATTGCCAGAGGGCTCGCAAGTGCTTTGCCGGCCTTTTAAGAGTCGGTACGCTCTTTTCTTGAAGGACCCTAAGCCATACATTTATTAAAATTATATTTTATTGTAGTATTATTATAATTATATAGTAATCATGCACGATGAAGTTTACAAGATGTAATTGCAAGTGATGACGTGACCTGGTAGCCAGTGTCGTAACTATACCATCTGGGGCCTGTGACAAATTCTTTTGATGGGGCCCTATCAATAAAAATCGTCACGTTGTACTCAGTTTAATTTTAATAAACTTCGAGATTTTTAGTACTCAATTACACGTTGTATATGTCCCACTAATGGCCATAGGCCTCCTCCTCTTAGGCGACTGGTCTGTAGTCCCCACGCTAGCCTAATGCGTATTGGAGACTTCACATCCATGCATAAAACATAGTATCTCTTGGGCAGGGGCCCTCTTGGGTCGGGGGTCCGTGGCATTTTGCCAGCCCTACCACCCTATTGTTACGCCACTGCTGGTAGCAGGCATTTCATATAATCGTAATTGATTAGTTGTGATTATTATTGAACCCTCAGTTGTAGTCAAAAAGAGAAACATATTAAAACATGGAACCAGATATATAAGTTAGTTAATAGTTACTCACCTATCAACTGGTACGGGCGGAGTAGGGGGCAAAGGTGAATTGGGATCACGTGCTGCGGCACGGGGCATGGGGGCAACTGGCGGCGCCCCATACACATTCTCGCCGCGAGAGAGTATTCGTAACTCGTGCAATTTATTTCTTAGTGTCGTTACCCAGTCTTGCATTGCGTCCCTGTAATATACATATTTGTTCTTTACTTTCTAACTCAATTCTATTTTAGTGATTAAGAGTCATATTAGACCCAATAGATGACACTATGAGGCAAAACAAATTTTAGTTTAAACTGCAACAGTTTTAATTTTTTCCTTAAAAGGTAAGTAGGTTCAAGTGTTACGTAACGGATTTAGAGGGGGGGTCCTTTTGTAAAACGTTACGATGCCGGGCGGGGATTGAATTACGCGTTATTGTTAATATTATTTTCGACTTTCCACTACTTTACACCACATAATGGTAACTTTTAGGTATAAAGAGTCACTGAGTGGTCACGAAACCTATTATGTACAGAAATACGTTACGGCGCGTTACATGGGGAAGGGGTCCAATAATCTCCAAAAATTGCGTAACCTAATACTTGAACGTTCCCTTAGGCAGTAATGCTAAATTGGGGGATTTCCCCCAAATTAGGGGTAATCAATGAGGGTTAGGGCGTACATTTATTTATGGGGATTTTTAAGGAGTACTTTATTAAAGAAATCGATTTCTGTTTCTTAAAAAAACGCACAATTCTTTACAATTTATATTAAGCCGAAATATGTCCAAGCGTGCCTATAACTGAAATATCAAAAATCTATAAACTCCAAGATCGAAATAACAGCTATTTAATACTTCTTGAAAGTTAATTGATGCATATTTGAATACACCTCTCAAACCAAGTGTACAAACAAAAACTTTAGAGGTATTTAATCAATATTTAGATGTCCAAGGAGCATTCACTGCTTTTGGGTAAAACAGTAGAAGCCGTACCATAATGTGATGTTACCGCGACGAATCGTGAGCTGATGTCATCCCCATACAATTCCTTTGCGTTAGTGCGCCGCAAAGTGATTTTATCTCATCCCATCTCTCATTAATTAAGAACAATACAGAGGCCGGAAAGTTCAAAGTTCATGTTTTTAATTGAGAGACAAAATACTGAGCTCGCTACAGACAACTCAACAGGAATGTATTTTCAAACCATTTGTGATCCAAACAATTATGAAACAATTACTGTTTATGTTTATACACTGTTTACATTAAGATGTTTTAAAAGAAAGATTCCGAGTCGAGATTAAGAACGAATTTTTTATACATATGGCATTGTGATCGGAACATGTATTTCATAATAATGATAAAATAGGTACACTGTAATACTTTATAAACATAGTAATACTTTATAAACATAGTAATACTTTATAAAACATAGTAATACTTTATAAAACATAGTAATACTTTTTATTGTGTATGTTTTTTGAACTAATATAATAATAATTAATTTAATAATAATTGTATTTAAAAAAAATCAGTGGCGCTACAACCTCTTTTAGGTCTTGGCCTCAGGTTTCTCAATTTGTTTCATGATCATTTTTAAATCTAATAGGCAAGTAGGTGATCAGCCTCCAGTGCCTGACACACGCCGTCGACTTTTTGGGTCAAAGACATGTCGATTTCCTCACGATGTTTTCCTTCACCATTCGAGCAAGTGTTAAATGCGCACATAGAAAGAAAGTCCATTGGTGCACAGCCAGGGATCGAACCTACGACCTCAGGTATGAGAGTCGCACGCTGAAGCCACTAGACAACACTGCTCTTATTGTATTACTAAACCTAAGACCTAAAGTCTATTGCAATGTAAAGAAATATTTTGAAGGCCGTTGACCTTGAATTACGTTAGTTATCTTAAATGAAAATATTTAAATTTTGATTGCTTGCTTCCTTACATTTCTGTAAGAGAGTGGTTAGAAATTGGTGGAAGTCTATACACACTGAATTTTAGACTGCTTTATTCAGTGTATTTGTGTTGTTTTTTAGTGTTCCTATGAATTATAAACAAACATACCAATCTGGTGCGAGCATTCTAACTGGTCCAACATCTGTGTCAATCAAAAAATCATACTCCTGCCCACAGAGGGGCTTCACACTTGCTGTCACGTGTCTTGTGGTTTTAAGACAGGCTCTCCATAGTGGTCTATGCGCGTGAGTTGATGAACAGTCCTGCTGTGGATACTGTTCGAGATATGGTATTTTGCCATTGTGCACACAGAATAACGTCCACATAGGCTTAAGAGGCGGCTTCTGAAAGTGAAATAATAATGGTTGGATAGGAATTCTACATTTTTTTTACAATATAACTAGCTGACCCGGCGAACATCGTTTTGCCATGTATATTATTGCTAGGAAACATCTTTTTAGTTCAATAAAAATAACTATTTACTAAATAATAGGGGTTGATCGTAGAGGGGTGAAAACTAAGGGTTGTATGTATAGAAATACATACAGAAGTAAGTTGTATCATAAAGAAATAAAAACAAACAAAAAAATTTGTTGTCTTATCACTTAAGGGTTTGAAAGATAATAGTAGCCGATTCTCAGACTTACTGAATATGCATACAAAATTTCATAAGAATCGGTCGAGCCATTTCGGAGGAGTATCGGAACGAACATTGTGACACGAGAATTTTATATATATAGAGATAAAACTCTTAATAGTATTCGTACAATGCTTTTTAAAAAATATTAAGAGAAAGTTTTATATTTAACATAAAAAATTTACTTCTATGTAAATGTATTAACTTCGCACAACGGACCAAATGGGTGTCTGAGTGTAGAAACTAAATCCACACTACACATGGGTTAACTTATATATATATATATATATATATATATATATAAATTTTTGTACAATAAGTGTTCTGTTTGTATATTATTAAATTTAAATAAATAGCCCCAGAGATCTTACACCGGCTTGACTTAGTTTTATCAACAATTATCATATAAAACAAAATCAATATTTTACTATACACACACAACTATAATACACAACACAACTATAATGTTAGTAATATACATTCTTAATTATTATACATTTGCTAAAAGTGAAAACCTATATCCCTAGGGGCAGTGGCTAACAATTATGCATTTGTTTTACTGATTACTTTTCTTTTAGGCAAGTAGGTAAACAACTTATGTTTTCTGAATTTACTAGATGGAACCTTTACATTTGATTAAATAGAAGAAAAAGAGGTATCATGCATTATTATTAGCAAATAATTCATATCACATATTCAAAATTTTAATTTTGGAAAGTGTCTGTTTGCCAATTGGCAACAGGCCTAACTAACATTTTATAGACATACATACACAATTGCAAAATAATATGGCTTCTCTATACTCATTAACATCTTATAGGACTGACAATACATGTTTTTTTTTTCAATTTACCTTATGCACCAATGGTCGCAGCTTTCCACCGTTGAAGTCATCTGGTATTCTTTTAAGATATGCATTTTTCTGTATCTCACGGTAGTACACAGGCCCTTCCTCTCGACTTGATGACATTTCAAGTACATTCAGGAGCTAAAAATATGAAGGAACAGTTACAAAAAAAAAAGGAAATACAATATTCCTGCGATTTAAATAACGTTTTCCAGCTTTATATAATTTTTAAAACTGTTTTTGTGCATCATTTACTTAAAAAGTCACTAGCATTAAAGCCTTAATCTAATTGTTTTAAAATCACTAGCACACAGTTAGTTTGATGTTCAACAGATCTAAGGGTATATATTAATACCTACAATCTATAAATACAAATAATGCATGTTCCTTCTAGTCGCTAATACTACAGTTAATTACAAAATGTTATTTTATAAGCATGTGGAAAGATAATGCATAAATTACTCCATATCCAAGTTTAAATCAAACATGATTGCAAAATATCTTGACCAATTTAGGTATTGCGAACAATTAAATGAACTTGACGCCACCATTAATAAAGAATAAATTAGGGTCTCGGTGAGTCAATAGAAAAAAATGCGAATGCCGTTTAGGGAAGTAGAAAAATAAGAGAAAGTATATTGCAACATAACATTGTTTATAACAAGGATTAAAATAGTTTAGGTCATAAATATAACAATTATTTTTAATCAATTTTAGTGTATAGTAAAAATATTCTATACAAATAGCAATTATGTTAAAATACAAAATGAAATTAGCAATAAAGTTACCTTTTCAAAGCGCGCATGAACGGTTTCACTAGTTAAATATTCATTTAATACGCTCGACCTTCATTATTCTAACGATACATATCCTTGTTTCAAATAGTGCATAGCATTAATTAATAATGGATTATAATATGTATATCACCAATGACAAGGGACTTCACTGAACAAACATTAGATTGGCACAAGTCGAAGCCATATTTGTTTATCTGGTTTGTTTTTTTTAAACATGATTAATATTCACTGAATACAAGCCATTTTGCAAAAATTTCAAGATGTGCGTTAAAGAACTTTAAATTAATTTAATGATTTTATTTCAATTTTCACAAAATATTTAGTATAAAAACAAATTTTTTTATCAGGTAATTTAATACACGTGAAACATTAATAATTTAGGCAATAGTTGTATACCACAAAAGCTTGTAAAAACCTTATAAATATTTTTAAATAGATTTGTTTCTATTTTAGTGCTTATATATACATATAGTAATCATAACGAAGTTTATCAATAAAAATTATTTGTTATCATTTATTTGTCAAAAAGACTAGTATCTAAACATAATATTTTATCAGTATAATTTTGGTTTTGACATCTACTTGACGTTTAAGTTTTGACAGTGCCTTGTTGTTGTTCAAGAAGAAACAGGCGGTTAAATTGAAGAAAATCTTAGGTAAATAGAACTTAAATTGATTCCTTATTAGTTAATCGCATAAAATATGTATTTACTTTTCGTTATTTCCACAAAACCGTAGTAAAATTTGCTTTTAATTTATCAAACAGAGCCAATTATAAAAATCCGAAGCGATATCTCATGATTGTCAAAATTGGAATGACGTATTTTGATCACGTGATAAAGTAAAATAACCGCCAAAATGCTTGTCACTGTCATTTTCAGCAGATCGGCATTTTTCTGAATCTCTTTTTGTAACGTATTTCTTTCTGTTAACAATTAAACGTGTTATAACTTTTACAACAAACTTTAAATAACTTTCTACCACGAGCATATTGATTTTTATAAAGAACCGTAACATTCGTAATGGCTAAGGTGCATATTACCAATGTTGTAGTACTTGACAATCCTAGTCCTTTCTTAAACCCTTTCCAATTCGAACTAACATTCGAATGCATAGAAGAGCTAAAGGAAGACTTAGAATGGAAGATGATATACGTCGGATCAGCTGAAACAGAGGAGCACGATCAAGTTTTAGACACAATTTACGTTGGTCCCATACCAGAAGGGCGCCACATGTTTGTCTTCCAAGCACCACCACCAGACGTTAACCGAATTCCAGAAAACGACGCGTTAGGCGTAACAGTTGTACTTTTAACATGTTCATATAGAGGCCAGGAATTTGTGCGCGTCGGTTATTTTATTAATAATGAATACAGTGAATCAGAACCCGAATTACGTGAAAATCCTCCAGCAAAACCGCAATTCGACAAAGTATTAAGAAATATTCTAGCTTCAGAACCGAGAGTGACACGATTTAAGATCAATTGGGCAGAACCAGATGCAGTACCAACAGATTCTGGTGATGGAAACATAGAATCAACTCATGCACCTAGCAATGATTCATATGGGGCATCTTTCAATGCAGATAGTCAAATAAGTGGTATAGAATTTCAAGGAAGCCTTAGTGGATATGGTGATAACTCAAATTCTATTGCTCCTATGGAGTGCTGAGGTAAGTTTAACACTTTTGTAGACTAATATTAATAATTAGTATTGAAATTAACTCTCATCTTTATTGGCTTTATCTAGATAATTTAAAAGAATTTAACAAGGATAATTTAATGTTAGTAATCTAAGGCAATGTATATTATTATGCATATCTACACTAGCAGCTTAATAAGCTGATGCATGCGTCTTGGGAATTTGGAGTAATTATTCAACCATTTTCGTGGCTTTTCTATGAAACCTTTTAAGCATATGAATATACTTAATGAAATAAGTATCCTAAATGCTATAGGCATAAGTCTAATGTAACATTTATATATCTTTAAGAGCGTTCTTGGTGTTAGGAATTTGAATAATTTTCTCACTACATAGAGCATGGAATTAGCCTTTTTGTACAATATGCTTGATGACATTCCCATTTCTAATCATAACAGATAGAAACACCCAAGTCTTTGTGCATGCATACTGGCAGTAACTGCTGTTGACGTAGACAATAAGTATTGTGCGGATTTGCCGATGTGCAAGTTTTTGCACTTATTTACATTTAATGACAGTAGCCACTGCTTGGTCCAATCAAAAATATCAAACTAACCCTGTATTGCTTGAGATTGGGAGAGTGGATTTCCAAAATTTGGTGTTGTCGGTAAAGATTGAATGTCTAACATGCCTTTGCACTAGTTGCCTTGAGTCAAATTAAGAATAGCCATTAAAAGAAATTAGTGAAAGAATGAATCTGTCTACAGGAAAGATAATTTGATTTTTTTTTCCAGATTGTATATAATAGATAATGAAGATTTAATTTGAGCAAGTGGATCTAAAACTAAAGGACTGTTGTGATAATGTTTGTGAAATAATTGGAGGTATTACTATTGAGCGGGGACTGAAATTATTTTGTATCTTAACCGTAATGTGCTAATGAAGTTGATGTTATTTCAAATGGTTAATACATTCATGACACATAAAGCAATTGAGTGGGTTAAGTTTTTTGGTAAAAGAGGATATGTTAATGTTATTTTTTGAGATAAAATATATGATTATAAGTTCAAATCATAAAAGTTTTTAATTGTTAGCTTATCAGAGAAATTAAATTTTTCACTGCTATTATAATTTATTTTCCAATATTACAAATGTGGCTTAAGTCAGGGTTCTGTACCTAATTCGTATTGTAGTTGCTAATTATATACAAGTTTATGAATCATGAATTTTTTAATAGTTTAATATAACTACAGTCTGTGTATCTGGAGGCCAGGCTTTCATTAATATGTAATTAGGAGGATACATCAATAATAATAGATAATGGTTGATTGATGGACCTCCTTTTTTTCAAATTCTTACATGCATGCTCTGCTTCCATGATATGCTTAGGAAATTTTTATTTATTATATCGATAATATATCCAATGACAGTCACATACAACTTTTGATATTATCGTCTATATCATTAAACCACCCTAAACCAAACACACCAAGTTATTAAATCATCACAAAACGTATGGTAACGGTTTATTCTAAATCTTATTGCAATTGATTGATTATGTATAGCATCAGTTGACATCATATGGTCACACTACTCTCTAATATACATTTAAAATAGGCCTAATTAAAGTCAACTTTCATTTAATGCTATCAAAAGTAATGCCTTTCATTATTATCATATGAATAAAAACAAATTTCAGTGTATTTAAGTATGTAACAAATTGTAGATATGTTATTTTTTAATATTAGGCTAATAAAAATATAATATGAATGTGCTTTTTTTTTTAATTACACACTTTAAATTTGTCTAATACAACATCTATTCATACATTTCGTGTTCAATTGAATTTTTAAGATGTAATGCGCAATCAAAAACGTAATGAAAACATGTGTTCAAAAAACTTTTTGTACCCTACACCTCAAGAACCCTTATGTCAACAATGTATAGATTCATCTAATATGTGGTCAAAATCCTCACTATATTAAATACAGGACTGGCTACTGAATCATACCCTAAATATTGTTATTTTACAATTTATCTCTAGTTACTATTCTTAGATAAATAGTCAATCTTTAAAGGTGTTGTACTAAAAATTCCTTGATTAGACCTCCTTGGTTGCTGGATGTCATCAATAATACTTCTAATTGTGAATAGTAATAGTTCTTATTACATTGTATTAAAATATATTTTAATCAACATGAAAATTAATGTATTATGCTACGGTCATGGTAAACCAGGTCTACATAATCTGCTCATTTGCTTCAAACCATGAGAATAATGTTTAGTACTTATTTTAAGTCAAACAGTAAATATGTACTTGGAAAGGTCAATTCATAATGCCAAGTCAACCATAAAATTTGCCCTTATGAGAATAGACTGTATAATAATTTTAGGTTTTATTATTAGACAAGTGGGATTATAAGATCTAAAATATTTAGGTTGACAAGCTTTTGCTTGAGCTTTATGGATGGAATATGAGGGGTTACCGTGCTACCGCGCACCACCAGCTGCCCACTGAAGTATATCCGAACCAATTTGACTTAGGGTCCTTCAAGAAAAGAGCGTAAAAATTCTTAAACGGCTGGCAACGCACTTGCGGCCCTATGGCGTTGAGAGTATCCATGGGCGGCGGTATCACTTAACATCAGGTGCGCCTCCTGTCCGTTTGCCCCCTATTCTATAAAAAAAAAACAACCTTCAATCAATAGCGGCGTCCCTGTACTTTGACTAGATATTAACCATAAAATTTATATATATTTTGTCTCTTTCTGTCAAATTGTGGTTACACTGTGATTAAAAGATACAGACGAGCGCTTATATTAAAACGGTGCTATTAGATTTAGTTTTTATGAATAAAGTAAGCATCGAATTAGTAGCTAAGTTTTTCTTACTTTATACGCAATTAACCAGATGAATAAACCACTTAAAGAAATAAATATCGCGAGGAAATCCTCATGATCTAAAAGTCGACTTGAGTCCCGTGTCGATGGCTGATCAGTCACCCACTTGTTTTAAGGGCCGATTTACATTATCTTAGTGTTTAGGCGAGTATTTTAGTACAACTTGAAAGGCAAGTGCTTTAGTGCGTTGCGAGTGAACGTTTACATTTCTTCCAGTAGAGTATCATGTTACAGGGCTACAATGAACGCGCAACGACGTCGGCAAATAAGCTCTATTCTACGCAAAATACTAACTGTAGTTATGAAACAAATAGAAGACGAGATTTTATTCGAAATAAATAATAAAATAGCTTCTTTTAAGGCAGTGTATGCCGAATGCCTAGCCTCTTTGTTTTTGTATAAATTGTTTTTATCGTTCCACAAACATTCGTGAACAACATATTCAGACACAAATTTGATAGTTGTATCTTAGCCATCTTTAAAAATCAAAAAACACGCACGCGTTTCACGGCACTTGTGCACTCTCCTAAAGATTTTACTAAATTACGTGTTTACACACAACGAGGGAAGATCTCGGGGGTTGCGCGGGCGCGGGAGGGGTATCACTTGAAACAAAAATAAAAAGCGATTCTATTTTTATTCAACTTGAAAGTCAAGTAGAACCGTACTAAAGCAAGTAGCGTTTACATGTTTCAACTAAAGTACTATCCTAAAGCACTCTGCTAAACACTAAGATAATGTAAATCGGCCCTAAGCTATAGCGTAACGTGACGTCTCACATCGGGTGCAGCCGGTACGCGTTAGAGAGAGACAGACTATATAGGCGTGTTAGTCTGAGTCTGGGAGAGTGGTAGATTATGGAATTAATATCAAAGAAAAAACTTGAATTAATATCGAAGAAAAAAATACTGCATAAATAATAATAATTATAATTGCATAAGTTGATAAAAAATGCTATGCAATAGCTTTACCGCGGCAGTCCCCGAGTACCTACCACACATTTTATTTTTATATAAATAAGTTATCTCTTGAGTGAGTTGAAAGTAAGTACGTAACATATTGAAATAATGGGTGTAAAACACGTAGTTTTACGAAGAGATAATATGTAAATACATTCGTTTTAACCTTCAATATAGGTACGTACAAGATAAAGAAAACTCAAGGTAAAATTTTCTTTTTGTAAGCGGATCATAACCGTAAAGGTACGATTCCAGCAATGTGCTGAAGTGTGCGTCACAGTGACGCACAGCGTAAGGCCCAAATGTTTGCTTTGGTCGACTGACTCAACGAGCAACAAATTTCGCGCACAACTGTGCACTTGTGTGCGCGCACCAGTGTTCACAACCTGAGGCCAGGCAGCTATCGTACCAGGGCCGTAAAATTATCGTATTTGGATCAAAATTATCGTACACGTCAGGAAAATGGCTAAAAATACTTTAAAAATCATATGTAACGTGACAATAATATGTTGCAAATGGTTTATAGTTTAAATCTTGTAAACTTGTGTTTTTTTAAATAGAAAAAATAAAAAAAATATCAAACTGTATGCGCATTTCGCCTTGTGACAGCATGTGTTCCTAATAAAAAAATGAGCCAATAGATGGCACTGACACCAAGAACTGTAATTGTTATTGGGCTTTTGGCTATCTGTGTAATCATCAAATTTTTCATCAGAATGGAAATTATCGTACAATCTGCGTACGATAGTCATGTGCCATCGTACATCGTACGTAGATATGAAATTATCGCACATGTACTATAATTATCGTACGGTTCCGAACGCTGGCGCGCACCCGGTACAAAACGGCTGGGATGTATTATTAATAAATATATTCTTTCATTTATTCCTGGTATGGCTTGAATCGCACTTGGCCGGTTTTCATATTTTAGAAGGTAGTTAAAATTATATTTAACAACTCACAATAATATCTGATCTAACAATGTACAAAAATTAAAACTAACTATTTTTAAAAGTTGTCTACGTAAAAAGTATTCTACAGTTAAAATAAATAGTTAGACACTTTGCTCGTATGTGTACGATGCGCAAACTTTCCCCCACTCCCTTAGTTTACTGCTCAAGAAGTTTGCCGGTATATGTACAAGTAGTGGACTCGTCGCGCACACACTCGTTCGCGATCGCAGTCTTGATTCCTCTACCAAAGCGAACACATTTAATTGTGCTCGCACTATGCCCGTCCATATTAGCAACTTTCGGCAGAAAATCTTCTCTGTGAACAAGTTCGTGTACTGTAACGTGTAACTTTTGTGCGTGCGACACTGAGCACAAAAGTTACACACAGCATTGCCGGTGGAGACAGCTACTGCTATTCTTATGCACTAAATGTTTGTAAACAAATTTGCCGCACGCTATTTTGGTGGAATCGTACCTTAAAATATCTCGAATATAATTTTTTTGGGTGGGGGCGTTACTATCCTAAAAAATAGAACTCCATCCTATTAAAAACTATCCAGGCTTGTAAACTAGCTCAGCTCAGCAATGAAGCTAGTTTTGTGTACACGAAGCCAGGAGTACGAGCTTGCTAGCTTACTGACACTAGCTTGCTATCCTAGCTTGAAATACTAGCCTCGTGTATCCCGGGCATTAAGGCTGCTCCAAATTTCTGTTTCATACTTTTTGTATATACATATTTTAATTCTCCATAATATCAACTTCTGGTTCACGGACTGTAAACGGTTGTCCAGCGTATATAACAAGCCTGATCGACTTACTCCGTGGCGACCTACATACATACATACAACATACAAATAATGATCATTCTCTGTTCTACATTATTGCTAATGTTACGTATGTGTGTGTAAACAATTGTTACTCAAATTATGTAAAAATTATCTATTTTATTCCAAATTAGACGACGAATAGATATATTTAAGTACTTTAAATTGTGAAAATGTGTTTTTTTTGGATTCTTATGTAAGTAGTTTTGCTTTGATTCGCTTAAATTTGCTTGAATTCTTAGATAAAGCGTCATATTAGTATTAGCTGACGTGTGATGTTTCAATTTTAAACATGATAGTATTATGCAATCACGAATATTTCGTCATGATCATAGAACAATGTCGGATTTGAAAAAAAAAAAACAAAATTCACTTTTTATCATATTTGGATACTACATTGACTAAATATTTCGGCTACATTAAAAAAAAATCCATGTGTTAAATTTCAAATTAATCAGTCGGTAAAGTGACGTATTTGATAGTAGCGTATGTGATTTTTCTAGAAAATTGTGTAATTTAATTTTATTAAACAAACCCTTTTGTTTGCTTGTATGGCAATTTTCATAATAACAGAATTTGAATTAAAATAGTTATGACAAAAACTAACATGATTATATTATTTTGAAATGGCTGCCCCGTAAAGTTTACTATTTGTCAGATCCGTCACTATTCTACGACTATGACGATTTGTCTATGCAGGCTTATTTTTAGGTACGGTCTGGGCGTTTATTACCTGTTTCGCTTACAAACGGTAACCTCTCATCCTGGGGAAAGGGATGGATGCAATAATACGGGAATGGCTACGAAATAGTTATAAATTCATTAAGGAAAATGTTCATATGTATATCTTTAAAAAGGATCTGCCAACGGGCATTAAATGAAAGTCTTACATCTAGAACGAACTAAATATAATAGCACAACTTTTGAGAGGCAAGCATAGCATACTTTGACTTAATAACTAATACTAACTAAAATACTAGATATTTTTAGTTATTTTAGTTAGCTTATTAAACTTCAGTAGTTATCAAGTTATTGCATTTTTAAATATACAGTGTAAACAGTGTTGCCTTTTTTATTGTTAACAATCACAGACTAATGCGCATTCAAATCTATGTTAAATGAAACTCTTATTTTGATCTGTGAGGTCGTAGGTTCGATCCCCGGTTGTGCACCAACGGACTTTCTTTCTATATGCGCATTGAACATTCACTCGAACGGTGAGGAAACCGACATGTGTTAGACCCAAAAGGTTGACGGCGTGTGTCAGGCACTGGAGGCTGATCACCTACTTGCCTATTTTCATCTAATAGGTAAATAATGATCATGAAACAAGTTCAAAAATCTGAGGCTCAGGCCTTTTTTAGGTTGTAGCGCCACTGATTTATTTATTTATTTTATTTAAATCTAAGTGAGACTTCAATACAAGTGTGTTCGACCTTTTGAACATTATCGGATACAAGAATGTTATATTACAATTTATGAGTATATACATATAAACTAAAGGGCTCGTTTTGGCGATAATTGCTAACACTTGGTTGCGTTTCTAATTTTTAACTAAAATATATATGTATATGTAACTTAACATTAGGTTTCATAACTCGCGGCTAGATATTCTTTAAATATTTTAGGAAATAAATTTACCGAGTTACGAACTCAGGAATGAAGCATTCTAATGGTAAAAGATTTTTTTTGCTGTAGTAGTTTTTAACAAAAATACAAATATTTCCCCTTTGTGACCATGCAAAATGCATGATTATATATTCATATGGCGCCATTTCCTTAATAATTATTATTCCGCAGCTGGAATGCGCAATGCCAAAAGTTTAGTTTAAATGAAGCACCACAGCTTAAGCTTCGTTAGTGCTTCTATTAGTTATTTTACACGCATAGTCCATTAAAGCAAAGAGCTTTTATCGAAGATAGTTTTTTTAATCGATGTAAATGAGGCTTAGCGGTCTCGCAAAGGGTCCTAAAGCGGCGCGAATTACGCAGTGACACGGAAAATTTATTAGATGTAGGATTTATAATAGGTAGATTCGGATATATAATTTTTATACTGTGCGAAAAAAAGCATAGACAAATGTTCTATATTGCATCTGTAGACGCGGTTCTATAGTTTATATTTTAGAAATATGAAATGTGGGTAGCATTCAAATACTACCGACATTTTACATAATTGACAACAATTTTTCAAAAACGTGTTCTTATTTTAGTTATTAATTTCAATATTCCTCATTTTTAACTTATTTTATAGTATTTCATGGTGAATTATAATAGGTGTAACGGTATAAAAACTTTTGCTTGAATCGTGCTCAGTGTATATCGTGTAATTGCGTATATGGGTAACGTATGATTTTTAAATCTTCCTCATTAAAAGTATGTATATTATATATATAACTGTTTAGCACAGTACAGCGCTCGTGGTCAGAATCATTCATTATGTCTAAAGGGATTGGATTTAGAATTACGTCGCCCGAATTTGATGATACTGATTATGTAGGTGTCTCGGGGACCTCGATTGGAACACCTCCAAGTGATTTTTGCTGCCGAAGTTCGGAAAACAAAATGATTTAAAATTTTGTGAAATGTATTAAAATTCGTAAACAAACCATACGTTTTCTAATTTTCTATTGGTTTGAGATGTGACATTCTGCATAAAAATCGGTTTTTTAATTTAATCGATTGTTTTTTAGCAAAAAATAATCTATTTTTTTTATTATTAAACTTTTTTGATTAAATTTTTTTAAAAGTACCGTTTAAGAGTTACCGTACGAATATAAGTTCGTAGGTAAGATTCAGAAACGACAGTGCGATCATCGTCTTCCGTATGTCAAAAGCAATTTTTTTTACCTACCGTTATTGTTACAGAGTCATCCCGCATGTGGCGTGCGTAGACAAGATGGCTTTACAACGTTTAACAACGCTGCGGGCGTTAATGGCCAGTCAGCCGACTGCGCTGTCAGCTTACATTGTGCCCACAGCAGACCCTCATAGTGTGAGTTTAAAACTCTTGAACTTATATTTAGTATTGTCTTTTACATTTCTGCCAAAACCCTCCATCTTTTAGTCGATACCAACTACGGGGAAATAAATACAGATAACACAACTTTTTCTACAGCTGTGATACTTTTTGACATTCAACACCTTTTGTCTTCAGTCACCATGACCACGAAAGCACGCGAAACGTCGGTTAAAATTATGTAAAATAATTGTAAATTTGTAATAAAACATAACTTTAATCCGGTTAAAAAGTTTTTTCTTTATATGATAATTTTTTTATTGAATCTGTGTTCTATGTATAGTCTATGAGCTGTTGAATTATTTACAAAAAAAAACATATTGGCATAAACAGAAACACCAACGTGCAGCTTTGAACAGCAAGTTATAGCTATGTTAATAGGTATTTTTTGCAAACCTGGAATGAGATTGTTTGGCTCCATAAATTTTAAAAATGTTTTTTCTCCCTGTTGTAATATTTTCGTTTCGTTTTTTGTATTTTTTTAACTCTATATGGAATTTAAACAATTTAGTACTCTGGTGTAACTGTTCAGGCACCAAGGCAACCCCTTAGTTATTATTAGGTGTTTTCAGTACTTTAAGTTGTTTTTAAATTATGTTTTAACAGAATTCATATTTTGAAATACACAAATTATTTTATCACAGCTGTCACTGTCAGACGTGTATTGAGAGTTGCCAAGTCTACATGTCGTATAACAGTATTATATAAGTGTGTATATTCAAAGCAGACCTTTCGTTAATCTAATAAATATATATTCTTAATAACTAACTCAATATATTCTATCTAACCGTTTTTATTACAGTCAGAGTACATAGCAGATATAGATGCGAGGCGGTCCTGGTTGACAGGATTCACTGGATCGGCTGGTACAGCCGTGGTGACAAATGACAAAGCACTGGTATGGACTGATGGGCGATACTACACACAATTTGAAAAGGAAGTCGATTTGAATCTGTGGACATTGATGAAGCAATGTTAGTATTTTTATTTGTCACAATCTATTTGACAGATCTTTTTAGTGTCATCGATTTTTAATTTACTTAATTATGTAAGGGCTACTTGATCTAGTTCTTAGGGTAGGAAATTAAACACTCCAATAATGACTTGATTCACTATAATTCACTTCACATTAACTGTATAACTTCAAACTTGAACAAAGGATTTGCCTGTGCGCATGTGTCACAACCTTATTTATAATTCCCTACTCCGACTGGACCATCCCACTTCGGGAGATGTTCGAGTCAATTCGTAAACAGCCGAACGAGTCAAATGAGTAACTATTGCATATGCGCACTTGTAGCAATATCATTAAGAATAAAAAATGTTTCATAAAAAATGTTGAGAAATCAAATAAATATTAAAAGCTAACATTTGTTTCCACTTGAAATCGAACCAAGAGTTTTTTTTGACGTTATATTTGTGATTTTCAATTACAGCCTTGCCAGATACACCGTCAATCGAGAAATGGTTGAGTTCCAATCTGGCAGCAGGGTCCGTTGTGGGGTACGACCCGCATATTATGAGTAGAGAGGAGAAAACGCCTTTACAGGTACCACGTGACTTCAAATTCAAAATGATTTATTCATTTAGGTAACACAATGTTCACTTATGAACGCCAAAAAAGAAATATACATTAAATGCTTCTAATTTTACATTTACTGCCAGTTCTCAAATCAAGAACGGACAAAAAGAACTGGCAATAAACTCTCCGCCACTCTTTTTAATCGCTAAGTTATTTTGTTAACACACCGTTTGTAAGGAGCTGAAACCATTACACCATGTTCCACATGACATCTTTAAGTAATTAATAATAAAATAAAAATAAAAGATTTGTCCTCTATCAGCAGTAGGCATGGTGAAATTGGAGCACGCACTTACAACACACAATATTAAGTGTTACAACGTATGATACAGATATTCAAATTTCTTAATTGTATAGATACATATTTTTTTAATATGGCGTATAAATTTTATAAGAGAATAATAGAATTAAAATATTTTATAATTTCTTTACAGCTAGCCCTTAAGAAATCAAAGATCCAACTTCTAGCAATATCGAAAAATCTCGTGGATTTAGCAAGAGTGGAACTAAAGAATCCCCCACCAGAACGACCACACAACGATATTATGTATCTACCTATTAATTATACAGGTAATATTTTTGGAGGGGGGTTAAAGACAGGGGGAGATCAGATATTTTTTTTTAAATATATATAGTAAAGGTGATAAATAAATCAGTGGCGCTACAACCTTTTTAGGTTTGGGACTAAGATGTCTGGATCTGCTTCATGATTTGTCAATCTAATAGGCAAGTAGGTTGATCAGCCTCCTGTGCCTGACACACGCCGTCAACTTTTTGGGTTTGGCCGGTTTCCTCACGATGTTTTCCTTCACCGTTCGAGCGAATATTAAATGCGCACATAGAAAGAAAGTACATTGGTACACAGCTGGGGATCGAACCTACGACCTCAGGGATGAGAGTCGCACGCTGAAGCCACTAGGCCAACTGCTCATACGTTATAAAAGTGATACAGTATATACGATATTTTTTTTAATAGGTAAAACTGCGGGAAAGAAAATCGAAGAGTTGAGAGAGAAAATGACTGAAAAGCGAGCATCTGCATTGATTATTACTGCCTTAGATGAAATTGCTTGTAAGTGTATTTAAGCTCTATATATATATATAATTCTCGTGTCACAATGTTCGTTCCCATACTCCTCCGAAAAGGTTCGACCGATTCTAATGATTTTTTTATGCATGTACAGTAAGTCTGAGAATCGGCTACTATCTATCTTTCAAACCCCTTAGTGATAAGGAGTGTTCTCCCCAACATTTTTTTTTATGATACAGCCTACAAAAATACATACAACCTTTTATTTTCACCCCTCTACGATCAACTTCTATTTTTTATTATAGTAGATAGTTATTTTTATTGAACTAACAAAATTTTCCTAGAAATAATATACATGGCAAAACAACGTTTGCCGGGTAGTATATTATATATGTGTGTATATATATGGATAAAAATGTGTATTTCATCATGACGGAGGCAGAATACGAAATTCCATCCGTATCACCTCCGTCCGTCGTTCCACAACTGAGCGAATCTTTAGGCACTTCAAGAAAAGAGCGTACCAATTCTTACGCACTCTGGCATTTAGTGTCCATGGGCGGCGGTATCACTTAACCTCAGGTGTGCCTCCTGCCCGTTTGCCCACTGTTCTATTAAAAAAAAAATAACATTAGAACATATGTGTTTTCAGGCGTTTCATTCAATTGATTCTTGACCTTAAGTCAAGAATGCATTGACATTAGCTCACCCTTTGTCACGCGACCATTTTCATAAAAAATCGTCACGCCTGTCCAAGAGTGGTTTTGTTTCTCCTGTTCTCTTATACAATATATCAATTACACACTATATACTGTCTCTCCTAATCATTGATATCTTCAGATACACTAAATCTTCGTGGCAGTGATATCCCATACAACCCAGTCTTCTTCTCGTACCTTGTTATAACACCTGCAAAGGTGAAACTCTTTTGGCACGATGGAAAAATACCAGAAACGATTTTGAAGAGTATGGAGGAAGAGGGAGTCCAGATTGAAGGTCTTCCGTATGATCGAGTTGTTCCAATTCTGGAAAATATGGCTGTGAGTTCATTATCTATTTAATTGTACCCGAAAATGTTTTATTTACTACTTGTGTAAAAGTAACCAGGCTGATTATCGTGTAAGTCGATCTAGTTCTTAGGGTAGGAAATTAACACTCCAATGATGACTTGATTCACTATAATTCACTTCACTGATGTTACGTAAACTGTATAACTTCAAACTTGAAGAAAGGAATTGCTCGTGCGCATGTGCTATAAGTTACAATCTCTTTTATAATCTATTCCCTACTCCGATCTAACCATCCCTTTCGGGAGGTGTTCAAGTCAATTCGTAAACAACCGAACGAGTCAAATGAGTAACTATTGCACATGCGCATTTGCAGCGCGTTTTTCATAAAAAATGTTTAGTATTTAATTAAATAAATATTAAAACCTAACAATAGTGACTCGTTGGGCTCCCTGCTACTTTCAACGAACTTCAAAGTGCACAGACTACAGAAATAGCTGTTTATGGTTGCATATTGGGTTAAAATCGAGCTTAACTAGTAATGCTCGATCATGTTTTGAATAACTTCAATCGTATTAATTTTAATCTGTTAATTAATGAAACGTCACTGTCATGTATTATTTTATTTTGACATTTTATTTTCGAGGACTTTGGGAGCGTTCAAGTATTACGTCACGCAATTTTTGGAGATGTAACGCACCGTAACGTTTTTTTCTGTAACCACTAGTAAAACGTTTCGTGACCACCCAGTGTGACTCTTTAAACCTAAATGTTACCATTATGTGGTTAAAGTACTGGAAAGTCGAAAATAATATTAATAATAACCCGTAATTCAATCCCCGCCCCGCATCGTAACGTTTTACAAAAGGAGCCCCCCCCAAAATTCGTTACGTATACTTGAGCGCTCCCTTTATCATTGAATAAAAATACTATATAATTTCTTTGTACATTACAATCAAAAATTTCAGTGATTTTAAAAATAATTTCACTCTTGCACTTATACGCAAGCTCAAATTATCTTTTATTTTTCGTCTCTTTCAGTCAAACTCTGTACACTATGATAAGAGGGAGATAAGTACTTTAGACTGCAAATCACTTTTAAGCAATAGTTAAATGTCTATTGTTGATGTTTTTCTTTTGTAGAAAGAGCTGTCAGAGAGTGGTGACGGCGAACATGACATCTGGCTGTCAAGTGAAGCGAGTGAAGCCATACATAGAGCCGCTGGAGGGGTGAGATGATTGCACTGTATTGTATTATTAAATTTTTATTATTATTATTAAATGATTTTAATAATAATAAATATTTTAGGAGGATGTTTTGCAGAAGCCTCTGACTTTGATGTCTGAAGTCTCGCCCGTCGCACTTATGAAGTTGGTTAAAAACGATGTTGAAATGGAGGTAACTAATATACATTACATATACATAGTGTATCAGTCCATATGTTTTATATAAGAGGGAACGCACTGGATAGCCATCTGGCATTGACAGTGACAATGAACGGCAATATCACTTTTTTTTTTAATGGCTCTGGCATGATTTGTGCATTAGCCAGCGTCAAGTATAGGATTTTTTATAATTCGTGCTTGTCTTTAGAAATTCGCCCGTGTCCTCCATGTACGGTTTAAGCACTTGCCCGGTACCGCACAACCCTCCCAAAGGTTGAGAACAAATTTAAATTAAATTAAAACTTGCCCTCGAACCGGGAATCGAACCCGGTACTCCTAACATAGCTGCCACTTAATAAAACCGCTAGGCTATGAGGCCCCCGAATATCATTTAACATCAATAGTCAAATAAAATGGCACTTTTAAACGTCAAACAAAATACAAAGAAGATTCTAGTTGCCCCTTCCAAAAGGTAGTTTCGTGTGGAGAAGAATGGGCCAGAAACTCCACACTTACTCTTTTAAAATAGGTTTACAATATTTTGTTACATTTGTTAAATAATTACATGTGAAGACAATGTACTCCTAGAATGAAACTACTATACTAAAATAGGCACAAAGTATTACTTACAAATTAAGCAATGCAGCGGATAGATCATTATTGTATTGTTATACATGTTCTTCACATATTTACTAATAATTAAACTTTAGAATATTATACATTAAAGAATAATAATAATAAAAAAAACAATAAAACAGTGTGTGAGATAAAAATAAAAATAATTACAGTTTGTAGTATGGGGGCGTCCATAAATTACGTGAGGTGTTTTTTTAAATTTTCTATACCTCCCTCCCACCCTGGTGAGATGTCATGACTCATGAGATTTTATTCAACCCCCTCCCCCATCCCCCGATCTCACGTGTGATTTTTCACAATTTGGGTTTCTTACGTAAACGCGTTGGATTGTTATTGTAAAAAGAAAAAAAAATTGCTTCGTGCTTTTATTTACGACTAAAATAAAATAAGTGAAATTTAAAAAAAAAAAAAAAATATGTTTATTATGGAACATAAGATACATGTATCACTTATTCCACGTCATTAAATTTGAAGGCATCCCTACTCATCGGCAAAGAAGACAGAGGGTGTAGGCCGAGAGAAAAAGCCGGCGTAAAAAACTCTCGGTACTCTTTTAAAACAGCAAATCATCAAACAACACTTATTTAAAACAAATATCGCAAATTGATTAGAAGTAGCCTGTCTAGCACTAGTCCCAGGCCCTTTTATCAACTAGATAATCGTTGACTTTATAGTAAGCCTTTTTACACAGCTTTTCTTTAATACATTTCTTAAATTTATTGAAAGGCAGTGATAAAAGAGCCTCTGGGATTTTATTAAAGAAGAGTATCCCTTTCCCCAAAAAAGAATTACTATCTTTAGATAGTCTAGTACGGGGAAATTGCAGCCTGCGTTTGTTCCGTGTATTAACATTGTGCGTATGTTCTATTCTAGTAAACTTATCACTATTTTTGTATACATACATAATATTTTCATAAATATATTGCGAGGGAAAGGTAAGTATATTAATTTCCTTGAATTTATCTCTAAGAGATTCCCTACATTTTAAATTATAGATTGCACGAATAGCCCTCTTCTGCAGGATGAAAATAGTTTCGACATCAGCAGCATGACCCCATAATAATAAGCCATAAGTCATTAAGCTATGAAAGTAACTAAAATAAACAAGTCTAGCTGTATCGACATCAGTTAGTGAGCGAATTTTTTTAACCGCGTAGGCTGCAGAACTAAGTCTCTTCGCCAATCCGTTAATATGAGGGGACCACTGAAGTTTTGAATCCATGGTGATTCCGAGAAATACAGTTGTATCATCCAGATTCAATTCCTCACCGTTTATAATTGGTCTAGTATCCATAACCCTTGCATTTTTTGCACAAAATTTAATGCATTTTGTCTTTTTTGCATTAAGTAGAAGGTTATTCATACTAAACCAATGGACAATCGAAGACAGAGCATTGTTCACATCGTCAAAATTTGTTATTTGTCGTTTGATTTTAAAAATCAAGGACGTGTCATCGGCAAACAAAACTATCTGATGTTTTCTCTCTACCATGAAAGGTAGATCATTTATATAAACAAGAAAGAGGAAAGGGCCAAGAATTGAGCCCTGTGGTACCCCCCATATCTACTGCCGACCCAGAGGACCTCTTACCATTCACTTCAACCTTCTGAGTTCTTCCGTGTAAATAGGAAGTCAGAAGATTCAGTGCGGTATTCTTGATGCCATAGTGGCGGAGTTTCCCGATTAAGGTCTCGTGTTGGACACAATCAAATGCTTTGGATAAGTCGCAGAAAACACCTAAAGCGTCATGCGACTCCTCCCAAGCCTTAACTATATATCTATATAACTCAACACCGGCATCGGCTGTCGAGCGACCCTTGGTAAAACCGAACTGATTATTATGTAATAATTTGTTTACGTTAAAATGACTTACCAGTTGATTTAATATAATTTTTTCAAATATTTTACTACAAGTAGGTAGTACGGAAATTGGTCTAAAGTTACTGGGGTCAGACATACTACCTGCTTTAAATAAAGGAATAACTTTACTATGTTTCATTAGATCGGGAAACTCGCCACTTTTAATACAATTAATTAATTGCAAAGTTAAGTTGCAGAGATGGCCTTTAGGGTCAACCGTTTTCCTATATTTTTTTTTAAATCAGAAAAAAATTGCGTGATATTTGCCGAGACCCCCCTCTCTCCAACGTAAGATTAAATGAGATTTGACTCGACCCCCTCCCCCCTTAAACACCTCACATAATTTATGGACGCGCTTTATTATAAAATAAAAAAAATGATGAGCCTTCTGCCCGTTATAAAAAATATGATATGTTGTTACGGTCGTCTGGAAGAAACTGCTTTTACTACAGTTTTTTATGATTTAAAAAAAATCCTGTTTTGTGTTTTTATGTAAAGTAGTGTTATTTTCCAAAAAGTGAATTGACTTCTGGATGTATTTATTTTTTGATTTTAGGGTTTCAGGCAGTGCCATATCCGTGATGGTACCGCGGTGGTGCGCTTCTTCAAATGGCTTCACGATGAAGTTGCTTCCGGTTCCAATGTAACTGAGTTGGAGGCTGATGCCAAATTGTTGAAGTTCCGACAGTAAGTGCTTATATGAATAAAAAATAGGCTTTATTCGAGAACTATGATACAGTCCAGCGTCAGTACTAGATCCCAGGTGGAGTGACGGAGTGACCAGTGGCGTAACAATAGGTAGGCAGGGCTGGCAAACCGCCACGGGCCTCCGGCCCAAGAGGGCGCCTGCCCAAGAGATATTTTATTTATGAATGTGAAGTCTCCAATACGCATTGGGCTAGCGTGGGGACTACAGACCATTCCCTCTCGCCTAAGAGAGGAGGCCTATGGCCATTAGTGGGACATATACAACTTGTAATTGAGTACGCTGAAAATCTCGAAGTTTATTAAAATTAAACTTAGTAGGGACGATTTTTACTGATAGGGCCCAAAAGAATTTGTCTAGGGCCCCAAATGGTGTACTTACGCCACTGGTAGTGACGGCCTCCAAAGTCTTCGCTTGCCTCGCATCTTTGCTACTATTTTCCAATCTTTCCCCGCTATCTCTTTTATTCGTTCTGGTTTCTGGTGTTCGGGTCTCCCTTTTCTAAGTAATTTTTTTAACTTTAATTTTACTATAACCTATTCTCTAAACAATTATAGTCTGGCATAAAATACTTGTGTTTTACGTAATTTAAAGTCCACTTAATCTCAATTAAAAAATACTAGAACTGGCTGGAAGTCTTCCACAGTTCGCTTCACAAGACTAAGACTTGTGTGAACTAGCGAACTGTGGAATCGACTCTCGGTGAGGGGCTTCCCCGGGAAATAAACAGAGCATACATCCTGCAAAGGCCGGCATCGCACCCACTAAAATGGGTGCCTATGAACTCCGATGGCGACTCTTTTTGTTCAGTAGGCTATCATAATATCCTATATTTAAAATAAAATATGTTTATTATGGAACATAAGATACAGGTATCACTTATTCCACGTCATTAAATTTGAATCTGTAGGCATCCCTACTCATCGGCAAAGACTGAGGGTGTAGGCCGAGAGAAAAAGCCGGCGTAAAAAACTCTCGGTACTCTTTTAAAATAGCAAATCATCAAACAACAATTATTTTAAAACAAATTTATTATTACAGTAATAACATAGTTTATATATATCAGAGACGAAAAAGACTTTATGGGTCCCTCGTTTGAGACAATCCCCGGTGCCGGGGAAAATGGCGCGATCATCCACTACAGCCCATCGAAGGACGGTCCTCAACGCATCATTAGGGGAACAGATATGTTTCTGCTCGATTCTGGTGGGCAGTACCGGTGAGACAATTTATATATATGAATTAATTTTTGACATTATTTATTTTCTATACGTTATAGGGGACTTCCCCGATTATCGTCCTCTTTATAAAGAGGTGATTCCCCCTTATAACGCGGAGATTTCTCAAGTTATATTTCTGTGGTGTGAAATTTATTTGTCTAGTCCATAATTAGTTCTGCGTACCTGCTCTTGTTTCAATTGTGTTGTTACAAATATCATAACATTATTAAATTTGTGTTTCTAGTTTTTGAATTTATAAAAAAACGGTTTTACGAGAATACTCCTACAACGCGATTTCCTATAACGCGGTAGACCCGCACCGCTCCCGACAGGAGGGTTTACTGTACTCATTTGTTAGGTTTTTAAACGACTAAGTTTGGCTTGTATTATTTGAATTATCAGTGTAATGTAAAGCATGTTTGTTCACAAATATCTTGGAAAATAAAAGTCATAAATCCCACATCCGTCGCCCTTATTACAAACGAACAGAGTATGTTTTATGGAGTGGAGTCTGGACATGTTTCATATAGGTACAGATAGTGCACGATGACGCGCCCCACTATTCCTTCTAACCGTTTATAGTATACTAGTAGACTCGGCCAAGCGTTGCTGTGGCTAACATTTTTGTTATATTACATAGTAGTAAACTATTCAAGAGAAAACCAACTTTTTTGGTGGTAATGCCATTAAATTGTAGCTTATGTGAAACGTTGGTAATTATTTTGATAAGGATCAATTCCTAGGTACGAATAAGAGCCTTTTCTAGCGGTGGTATTTTAATAAAAAAAAATTAATAAAAGGACCCTTATTGTGACGTAACTATAAAAGATAGAGACATGCTGTCGTGACATGTTTTATAGATAGTGATGTGTCCTGAAAAATTTAAATTGAAGGAAGTTTTTTGTTTATTTTTTTACACCTTGGGTTAGATTATTCAAGTTTTAGTAAGCATTCCATTTAAAAAAAAAATGAAACATAGCCTATGTCACTCGGGAATAGTGTAGCTTGCCAACGGTGAAAGAATTTTTGAAATCGGCCCAGTAGTTTCGGAGTCTAATCATTTCAAACAAACAAAAAATCAAACCTTTCCTCTTTATAATATTAGTATAGATGTGTGCAAGCTTCCGTCAATGTCAACGCACACTACAATTAAGAGCTGACGGTTCGCAACTGACGCTCGGAGCAAACTCCCCGCACACTGCGATCCTCTTAACCAAAAACTGGTGGGCACGTCTTCGTGGATTGCAGTATCTATATCTATGCGGTCAACAATATTTTTTAGGGATTTTTTCCTAAAAGTTCGTGGCGGATTTTTTTTTTAATTTTAACTGAGTTAGGGAGCGTTCAACTATTACGTAACGAGTTTTGGGAGGGGGTGGTCCTTTTGTCAAACGTTACGATGCGGGGCGGGGATTGAATTACGCGTTATAATTAATATTATTTTTTACTTTCCAATGCTTTACACCACATAATGGTAACTTTAAGGTATAAAGAGTCACTTTGGTGGTCACGAAACGTTTTACTATTGGGTACACAAAAACGCGGCGCGTTACATGAAGGGGGGTTTGGTTAATTTCCAAAAATTGCGTGACGCTACTTGAACGCTCCTTTAGATGATATGAACATAGTACATGATGCAAAAACTAATAAAACGAATTTAATGGAACTTGTGTTTTTACACAGTCAAATTCATGTTCGCTATAGAATTCAAGATACATTTTTACAGAGACGGAACAACTGACATAACTCGGACGCGTCATATGGGCCAACCTAGCGCGGAGCAAATCAGTGCGTTCACACGTGTACTTAAAGGGCAGATATCCTTGGGCACAGCACTGTTTCCCAAAGGAGTAAAGGTACAATGTTTTTGTAAAACGAAGCCAGAGTCTCGCCTGATCGCGAATGCGTTGCCGACCTTTTATGAGTATTTATTAAAATAATCTAGACGTTTTGAAAATTCGATTATTGGTCTGCCAAAAACAGACCGGCAACGCACTTGCGAGGCTTTTGGTTATGTGAGTGTCCATGGGCGGTATCAGCGGTCACATCAAGTTGGTTTAACTATTTGGTTTTATGATTAGTCTATGGGGTAATTGATTTAACCACCATTTTAAAGTGAATTACTTTAATTTCATGTTTGGTTACAATATTCACTTAATATAATATAAAGAAATAAACATATGTGCGTCAAATACCAAGCCACTAAGCGCACTGGCTACGTACTACTGGTTACCTGCGTACACGCACACATTCACGCGCGAATCCCGCAAGACCAGTTTTTATGTAGTTCTGTGCGAGTGACGATATTACGATATCGATGTAAAATGTCGATAAAAATATGAAATTTATGTGAATATGAAATGTATGTTTATACATGTGTATGCTACATCACTCCCCTCCAGAGCCCATCAAGGGCGATAAAAATCAGGAAAATTTACCCTGCGCCCAGATCGAGTAATATTAGCTTGTTTAGGGTCTGAAGAAGTAGGAGGTTTTTCTGCATTAGACAAAATAAAAGCAGGTTTTAAACGATCGATTGAAACTGATACAACATTCGATTTTACTAAAATTTTGAAAACTTTATCACCTCTCGAAATGACCTTGTAAGGACCTGTATAAGAAGGTTGAAGAGAGCCTCGTAAAGCGTCTTCACGAAGGAAGACAAAATCACAAGACTGTAGTTCCTTAAAAACGAACACTTTATGTTTGCTGTGTCGTGATGCCGGTGTAGGACGTACTTTCTCAGCGAAACTACGTAACCTGGCGGAAAACTCAGATAAGTCTGTAGTTCCATTACTTGTAGGCTCGAAAAATTCGCCAGGAAGTCTAAGGGGTTCACCATAAACTAAATCAGCTGATGAAGACTGTAAATCATCTTTGAATGAACTCCGTATTCCTAACAAAACCCACGGCAACGACTCAGTCCACTTGTCATTAGCGTGGCAGACGATCGCTGCTTTCAGCTGGCGATGGAATCGCTCAACCAGACCGTTGCATGCTGGGTGATAGGCTGTTGTGCGCTTGTGCTCAAAACCAATCAACTGAGAAAGATATTTGAACAAAGCGGATTCAAACTGTCGGCCACGATCAGTTGTGATAGCCGTAGGACATCCAAAACGTGCTATCCAACAAGAAAGTAAAGCTTTGGCTGTGGTTTCAGCTGTAATGTCTTCAATCGGTATTGCCTCTGGCCATCGAGTAAAACGATCGACGGCAGTAAAGCAATAACGATAGCCACGAGAAAGAGGTAGAGGCCCTACTAGATCAATGTGGATTTCTTTAAACCTTGCTCGAGGCAAGGGAAAAGATCCAAGTGGAGCGTTAACGTGGCGACTAACCTTCGCACGCTGGCAAGCGATACAACAACGTGACCATTCTCTGCAATCTTTACGTACCCCAGGCCAAACGAAACGCTCAGAAATAAGTTTTACAGAAGCATTAGCTCCGGGATGGCTTAAAGAATGGAGACTGTCAAAAATTTGCTTGCGAAGGGAACTTGGAACATACGGTCTGGCAGTCGATAAACTGACGTCACAGTAAAGAGGAATTCGGCTACCAGGAACCATAAGCTGTTTTAAATTTAACGATGAACCAGCGTTCAAGAGTTTTATGAGATCTGGATCAGACGATTGAGCTTGAGCTAGAAGGTCTAAACTTACAGGTTCAGATAATTCATCAACAACTCGAGACAAAGCATCAGCAACAACGTTATCCTTGCCGGATATATGACGAATATCTGTAGTAAACTGAGATATAAAATCTAAATGTCTGAACTGTCTAGGCGAACAACTATTTTTCCTTTCATGGAAAGCAAAGCTGATCGGTTTATGATCTGTAAAGACTATAAAATTTCTCGCCTCTAACATATGCCTAAAATATTTAATAGCTTCATAAATGGCTAATAATTCACGGTCGTACGGTGAATATTTGACATGTGAAGGACTTAACTTCCTCGAGAAAAATGCTAGCGGCTGCCAAGCACCATCCGCTGTTAACTGCTGCAAGACTGCCCCAATAGCTTTATCAGACGCATCTGTCACTAAAGCTAGTTTGGCTGAACAATCTGGGTGAGCTAATAACGCGGCTTCTGCTAAACTATTCTTACAGTCTTGAAATGCAGATAACGCATTGCCCGAAATAAGGATGGGTTGAGATCCTTTAACAGAATTTGTGAGCAAAGCGTGAAGCGGTGCTTGAATTTCAGCGGCCCTTGGAAGAAAACGCCTGTAAAAATTTAACATCCCAAGAAAACCACGAAGTTGGCGAATGGTTGTTGGTGGCGGAAAATCAAGTATGGCTTGCACCTTGGACTCTAACGGCTTCGTACCACTTTCAGAGTATGTAGTAAGTATGGGGTTATTTATTTAACCCCCCTTTTAAAGAAAAATTCCTTTTTTTTCTTTTTTTCCACAATTCTCCCTAAATAAAAAAAAAAAAAAAAAACTTTGGTCCAACCCCCCCCCCCCCCCCCCCCCCGCCCCCTCCTTACTTTCAGAAATGGAGTATCCTAAAAATTCCACCTCCTTTACGCCAAAAACGCATTTTGATGTATTCACCAGCATACCGTATTTTGCGAGTCTTTTAAAAAGTTCACGTAAATGTTGTTCATGCTCCTCACTGCTTCTGGAAAATACCAAAAAGTCATCTATATAGCAGTAAACGAAGTCTAAACCACGTGTTATTTCATCCACAAACCTTTGGAAAGTTTGTCCCGCATTTCGGAGACCAAAAGTCATATATGGAAATTCAAACAATCCAAAGGGTGTCGTTATGGCAGTCTTAGGAACATCTTCAGGACTAGTGGGGATCTGATTATAGGCTTTCTCCAAATCAATGGTGGAGAAGATTTTACAACCAGAAATGTGTGAAGAAAAATCATGGATGTGTCTTATAGGGTATTTATCGGGTACTGTGCGGGAATTCAGTCTACGATAATCACCGCACGGACGCCATCCATTATTTTTCTTCGGAGCCAGATGTAGGGGAGAAGACCATGGACTTTCTGATGGTCGAGCTATACCAGCAGCAATCATGGATTCGAACTCTTTTTAGCAATAATGAGTTTGTCTGGAGCCAGTCGACGTGGAGTTGAAGATACGGGAGGACCAGGAGTAGTGCGTATGTGGTGTACAGTATTGTGTGGTGTAGTGTTACAAGTACCGGCTGGTTTACAAATTTCAGGAAATTCATTTAAAATTCTATGATATACAGATTTACCATTAACTACTAATTTAACAGATAAAACATCTTTACATCTAATAGTTTTAACCACAGCTGAAATTGACGTTAAATTGTCAATAAGACGTTTATTCCTACAATCTACTATTAAATTATAAAAGTTTAAAAAATCAACACCAATTATAGGTCTAGTTACATCGGCTACAACAAAACGCCATGGAAAAACACGTCTTAACCCTAAATCTAAGTCTAAATTTACAAAACCATAAGTAGCTATACTAGAACCGTTTGCAGCACACAAACTATAATCAGTCTTAGGTCGACGATCGTGTAATTTCGATCGAGGGAAAACACAGAGGTCGCTGCCAGTATCAACTAAAAACTGCATTTTCGACTTCCGATCCATGACAAAAAGACGACCAGGTGAGGTAGTGGGGCAATCGCCAGTCGCCATTATCGACTGCCCTGAGAGTTTCCCGACTTGAAGTCACACGGTCGCACACATTTGTGAGCTCCTTCTGCGAACTTGCTATGATACCAGCACACAGGAAACTTCCGGTAACTCGATGAAGATCGCTCTCTTGATTTCTGCCGACTGTTTTTTGAAGACCGAAATTGAACTCTTCTGCTGCGTAAGGACAGATTCTTGACTTGCTGACGAAGCTCTGCTATTTCCTTAGTCAACTCACTGACTAATGTAACGCCTTGTTGAACCGCAGAAACACTCGGTGCTGTAGACGCAAGGTCAACCACTCTATCAGCTAAGTCAGCTAAATCGTCTAGCGGTGCTGACACCGGTTGGCCTGCGAGCACCGTTTGTACACCATGTGGAAGACGGCTCATCCAAATAGTTTTTAAGAAATCTTCAGGTACGCCAGCGCCCGCCAAACTTCGTAAATGACGAAGAAATTGTGAGGGTTTTCTCTCACCCAACTCCTCATGCATCAATAACTGCTTTATTTTCTTCTCCCGGGATGCGCTGAGTCGCTTTATTAACTCAGTTTTCAGCTTCTCATAGCGGTCGGAAATTGGTGGGTTGATAATTATGTCTTTTACTTCACGAGAATACTCATTGTCTAAGTGACCGATGACATAATTGAATTTAGTCGAATCATTAGTTATTCCGGATATTGAAAATTGACCCTCAATTTGGGCAAACCAAATTTCGGGTTCCTCTGGCCAAAACGGGGGAACACGTACACCAACTTTAAAAACATCGACATTCGATGGCACAGCACTAGTGGTGTCTCTGTTGATCGACATGGCGTTCACCTTTAAAATTTCTCAAGGTTAAGTTGTTTTGTACTGAAGTCCAAATAGTCGTTGAACATGTGATATTATATTATACTGTTCACTTATCACTTTTTTACACTGTACACTAATAGTTTATTCACTTCAGTAATACGGGGTAATACTGTTCAAACGAATGTTCAAGAATCCAGACCGGAATCGCCAAAACGTTTATCGGGGTCACCAGTATGGGGTAATTGATTTAACCACCATTTTAAAGTGAATTACTTTAATTTCATGTTTGGTTACAATATTCACTTAATATAATATAAAGAAATAAACATATGTGCGTCAAATACCAAGCCACTAAGCGCACTGGCTACGTACTACTGGTTACCTGCGTACACGCACACATTCACGCGCGAATCCCGCAAGACCAGTTTTTATGTAGTTCTGTGCGAGTGACGATATTACGATATCGATGTAAAATGTCGATAAAAATATGAAATTTATGTGAATATGAAATGTATGTTTATACATGTGTATGCTACAAGTCTACTATATATTGCCGCGTTGTTATATATTCCGCTGGACTTTAACTTTAATTTATTATATTTACCGTTTATATCGGTTCAAAAAAAAAAATTCCCCCCCTTTTTTTTTTTCCTTTGGGGGTGGGTTTTTTTTTTTTTATACAGACCTCACAGATTATATCTTTTTAAAAAAAAAAAAACAACTAAGAAGATACCAATAAACACTTGATGTTGTAATACTCTGTGCATGTATTTTTTTAAGTAGTTTGGTTTGGGGGCCTCATAGCCTAGCGGTCTTATTAAGTGGCAGCTAGGTGACGGGTACCGGGTTCGATTCCCGGTTCGAGGGCAAGTTTTAATTTAATTCAAATTTGTTCTCGGCCTTTGGGAGGGTTGTGCGGTACCGGGCGAGTGCTTAAACCGTACATAAAGGGCACTGTCGAATTTCTAAAAGACGAGCACGAATTATAAAAAAGTCCTATACTTGACGCTGGCTAATGCACAAATCGTGCCAGAGCCATAAAAAAAAAAAAAAGTAGTTTGGTTTAATATAGTATTTTTATTTTTTTACCTCGTCTAGAAGAAACTTTAAGCAGTTATACTGACCTTGTTTTGTGATTTTTAGTTAAACGTAAATTAATCATTAAAGCTTCTTATAAATTTGATGATTATTATAATCATAATCCTTGGGATTGATTTGCTCCAATTCATACAATTTGTGTGACTCAAAACTTAGCGATTAAAGAGTGGCGGAGAGTTTCTTGCCAGTTCTTCTTGCCCGCTCTACCCTCTTGACTTGCGAACTGGTAGTAAATGTAAATTTAGAATCAATATAACATCTTTTCTATTGACGTTCATAATTGTAGGGGAGCGAGGGGCTAGTTGTAACAATTTTAACAAATAATTGAATATCATGAAGTGTATTGGCTAAATTACTACCAAATAAACTTTGATCGATACTCTAACTATTAATCTATGAAGTCGAATTGAAATATTATCAAATCTACAGGTAACTATCTCACAATTATGATTTTTTTGAAAAAGGGAAGTGTTACAACTTACCCCGTGGTTGGGGCTAGTTGTAACAACAACAAAAACAAAAAGGTGACACCTTCAATCTTTATTTTTCGCAGTTTTTTTAACTTTTCCTTTCCCCTTTCGCTTTTCTTTATCATCTTTTTTGCTTTTTCTTCATATTCTACTCTCAAAGCTTCTTTTTCAGGCGTATCTGTCAGAATAGGATACTTCCTTTTGCGTCTGCAAATTATATTTGTTTTTCGTGGTGGCGCCTTTGGTAATGGTCTAATCTTTCATTGGGAAAATTGATTTTGACCAGAGCAACTTGGAGTTGGTTTGTTCGCAGTTTCAATGTGGCGTATATTTCTGTTGTGCTGATATCCACTTCAGGAGCAGAATCTACTAAATAGTTGTGGATGTTCAAGATTCAACGATACATTTTCACTTTCATTTAGAACATTTTCTGATTGTTCTGTAGGATCTGGACGATCAGTAACATAAGAGGGCGCAAAGTCACTAGCTTGGAAAATATTAAAAATTCAAAGACCAAATACCAGAAGCTTCAAAACCACTGATAATATTTGCAGGGTTCAAGGCAAGTGATAATGACTCCTTCACTACACTTCGGATGTCATTAATTGCCATCGTTTTTCCTGGATTATTATACATCCATGCAGTCTGTGCTCTGTTCACGTGGTTTTTAAAAGGGCCGTAGACTCCTACAACCATAGGTTGCAAATTGTGGGAGCAATGGGGGAAACGATAACATGATAACATTGTTTTCTTTGGCTTTTTCGACAACTGCAATATTCATACGTGAGCCATGATTATCGAGCAGTAACAGAACTGGCTATTTCTTGGTAGGTTTCGCGTATTTGATAAAATGATCTATAAAAATCAAGAATTCTTTTTCAGTCATCCACCCTGAAGAATTGCCAGCTCCAATGCAATCTTGAGGTCCACCGCGAATGAAAATTTCTGAGTATTTAGCCGGGAAAAATAAACATCGGTCGTCAGTAACTTACAGCAATCTGGGGCAAATTGTAACATGTTACAACAAACCCCGAGGTTTTGTTACAACTAGCCCCTAGGTATAGGTCTTAATATTTATCACGATAACTATTAAATCAACTTAGTAATCTCGAAAACTGTTACACATCATCATAAATAGTTATATTTTAGCATAAAATAAAATACATAAAACTTCAAAGCTACGAAAATAGTAAAACTAACCGAAAATTTACGTAAGTAAAATTATAGGTTACCTGTCAACAATAAAGCGTTTGCACACACCCACTCACTACGCCGTCTGGTGGGACCCTGGCTGTGTTAAAGTGGCGTGGCATGTTATAAGTTTAAGATTAGGTAAAAAAAAACGTGAATAAAAATCAAATTCCTATTGAAAAAGGTCTGTTACTATTTACCCCTGTTACAACAAGCCCCGCGCTCCCCTACTTGGTTACCTATATAGTTATTTTGTGTTTGAAATATGGTATTATCACAGGGTAACGTCCTCGATACATTAGCCCGTAAGTCCCTGTGGGACGTAGGCTTGGATTACGCCCATGGAACGGGACATGGAGTGGGACACTTCCTCAACGTACACGAGGGACCATCAGGTATCTCCTGGAGGCCATACCCGCATGACCCTGGTCTAAAACCTGGACAGATATTGAGTAATGGTAAGTGTCTTATATATTTAGGTCTGGGCCTCAGATTTCTATATTTATTCCGTGATCATTTGTAACAGGCAAGTAGGTGATTAACCTGTCTGATACACACCGGTCTAAAGCATGCCGGTTTGCCATGATGTAGTCTTTCACTGTACGTAATACTGGTGCACAGCCGGGAATGCTATAGCCCTTGATGGGACATGGGCTCTACTCGCTGCGCGCAGCCGAAGTTGGGCCGATGTGTGACGCTTTACTCGCTCCTGGGGCCGTGTACGGGGAGGCCTGGAGTGCCACGGCGCGATGTTCTGGAGTTGAGAACGTAGAAGAGCTAAACAACAACTGTATTCTGTATTCGGCACAGCTGTATAATAAACTACCCACAAATATAAAAAATATTACTTCTTTCAATTCATTCAAATCGAAGCTAAGTGAATATGTTAGACAAAATTACTTTTAATTCATTTCTTATAATTACTTTTAATTCATTTTTCTTTGGTTACTTTTAAGTTTATTGCATGTACGGCTATCTTTTTATTGTGGTTATTTTTAGAACGACTACAATGTTATGTTAATCTAAAGTATTATTCTCATGTAAGTGACATTTTTTGTCTATTTTTGAGAAATAAAGTCTTTAAACCCAATTATATCTTCCTAATACAAGTAAAACTACAACGATATTGAGATACCTAGATATGTTTCAGAACCTGGGTACTACAAGGTGGGAGAGTATGGCATCCGCCATGAGGACCTGGTGGAGATTATTGATGTTAACAAAAATTCCTCTCATCCAAAGGTGAGTCCCACTACATAACTCGTATTTTGAACACTGTACAGTAATCCGCCCTATAACGCGGAGATTTCTCAAGTTATATATCTGTAGTGAGAAATTTAAAATGACTTTTACTTAGCCTATCTTTTTAGTAGCTACATACCAACATATGGAACATTTTGCTATGTTATCCCATAGACTGCACGTTCACAATTATAGAAAAAGAAAACTGGTTTTTAAGTTTTTCCCCGCAATTTTTCTCTGCATAAATACTCTAATATAGAGTTCAAGGAATAAAAAAATACTCCTTCGAGTTTTGAACTTAGCGACATATTTTGCGATTTTATTCATATAGATTTAATCAACAGGATCATCGTATGTGCCACAACTTACTTTTAAAGATAAATGTGTCCCCAGGCATCAAACCTGCTGGGAAACTATGACGGTCGAGGCGTTCTTGGCTTCTCCACGTTGACAATGGTGCCTCACCACAAGCAATGCATTAATTTGGAATTGCTTGATGATTTTGAGGTGAGATCGCCGAAGCGGATCTTTTTTGTAAAATTAGAAAATATTTTTTGTTGAGTTAAATATTACTAAATGTTGGAATTGGGAAATTAAAAAGGACGTGCATACAAAGTACACATGTCACATGTGAAACTTTTGGCAAACGAATTTTTAAGTCATATTTATACAAATCTAAAACTTTAGATTAACGAGATTGAGAGGGAGGGAAAAAGGAAAATATGTTAAGAATTTAATTGCCATTAAAATATTAAAAGTATCGAAAATTTCTTCTTTTTTCAATAATAAAAACACGTGGCATTTTAATTTACAATTCGTCATTTGGGATTTCAATAAATAATTTAGCATACAATATAAAATACTAACATTTCATAAATTCCCTTTACGAAATTTTAATTTTAAAAATAGAATGTTTATAAGGTAATTCGCCCTTCTCACTCTCTCTCAATCGCTCTCTCCCTTTTCTTCGACTAAAACGCTGCATATCTTCGTGACGTTCCATAAAAATTTTACCCAAATGCGCCTTAAGAAGTTTCTCTTCAAAAACACCTATAAAATATCAGTCCAATAGCTAATTAATTTTTATTGAAACACTATTGTTACTTATTCATAAACTGAAGCAGTCTTTCATCTCTTTCTGTCAAAATGTGAGTACGCTTTGTTAAAAAGAGATAGAAACTTCAGTTAAAGTACTATTTACACTATTTTACATTTACAATTAATGTTTAAAAATCTTAATATATATAAATTACGTGTCACGTTGTTTGTCCGCTATGGACTCCTAAACTACCGAACCGATATCAATCAAATTTGCACACCGTGTGCAGTTTGATCCAACTTAAAAGATAGGATAGCTTACATCTCAATTTATACCCGCAATATTATTTTATTGCAAAATATTTTATTTGATAGTCACAATTCTAACAGATGGCGCTGTGTTGAAAGTACCAACGTTTCACATAAGCTACAATTTAATGGCATAACCACCAAAAAATGGTGGTCCCAGCAACGCTGGGCCGAGTCTGTTTAAATGTGGACTAAAGGGAATTAGTTATTGTTACCACGGTTACAATGTCTTACCCATTTTAAATAACTATGGCAAAAGGTCTATACTAAAATATGGTATCAATATTTTTTCGCAGTTGTCATATCTAAATGGATACCACGCTAGAGTGCTGAACATATTGGGACCGATTCTTAAACAGCGTGGCCTTTTGGAAGATTATAAATGGCTTGCGCAGGAGTGCCAGCCCATGAAGAGACAATAAGTAAGCTAGACAATTCATTTCTAACCCACTGTAAAAAAAAGGGTGCGTGTCCTTATGTAAGCGCGTAAGAAGTTATACTGCTTTGGCATTATTAAAAATAGTTTTTGATTGCATGCAAATAATTAATTACAATTAAATAATCAAATACTGGAAAAGGAGTCATTATAGTCAATAAAGTTCAGTTTACATTTTAAAATTAAATATTTATTATTTCTTACATTAAGTGTAACATAAATTCTATTATTATTCGAATGTTGTTTTTAATTTATGTCCAATGCCGTAGCATCTTCCGTGGGCAACTTCATTCTGTTAATTTTGTGTCACGGTGCGCGCGCATCGTAAAATTTCACTCTCATCAAATTTTCATAACGCGCCTAAAGAAGTATAACTTCAATAATATTTTTCGTTAAATTTGTGATATTACTTGCAAATAAAAACACTCTATAGTCTCTAACTCTATAACATACTTTTTCATTCTGTCAAGTTTTGTAACCTTATATAAAATGGTGCTTTTTGTTTCAGCCTGAAACTTTCAGGTAATACCGCAAACAACGCATATATTTTATACCTACTTATAATTGGTGGCAGTAAATTTTATTTAGCTTAAATTGATTTTTTATTTAGTTCTCCTTATATAATAACTTATCTTTTATCTATATACTTTCGACGAACGTCAAAATAATTAACATAATCATTTTACACAGAATATTGACAATAAAAAAGAAACAGATCGTCATTACGGCTAGTCAAACTATATTAATTATTTGTAGAGTGAATGAGACATTTATATTTCACTAATGTGCTTTCTTTCTTGGTGGTCTCATTTATGACATTTTCATACTCGATCCAAACTCAAAATAACTTTATTCATATAGGTAAACAAGTACACTTATGAACGTCAAAAAATAAGTTAAATTAATTGTAAATTTATATTTACTACCAGTTCGCAAGTCAAGGGCAAGAAGAACTGCCAAAAAACTTTACGCCACTCTTTTTAATTGCTAAGTTTTGAGTCATAGAAATTGGTTGAACTGGAGCAAATCAATCGCAAAGATTAGGATCATTCAAATATTCGTCAAATTTATAAAAAGCTTTATTGATTAATTTACGTTTAACGAGGGCTTTAAATTTTTATAGTGATAATTCTCTAATTTCGCTTGGGAGTTTGTTGTAAAAACTAATACAATTTCCATATAAGGAGTGGTTTATCTTCTGGATCCTTTTCCGTTCGTATCTATACATTTATTAAATGCAGTTAAGGGATCACATTATCTCCACTAAACTGTGTTTGCCTCTTTCGTCAAATGCGACTCCAGAAAAGAACAAATTTAAAATGATGCGGGAAGACCACAACCCTCCGCTCCTCTCTTGATATTCTTCAGCACGTACAATGGATGATCACTTCTTTCAAATAAGAGACTTACAGCGTAATAATAGCCAACGATATAAAAAGGAAATATGAGGCACATGGAGTACAGACTTGGGAAAACCCTGCCTGAAAGGATATCATCAAAGAAACTACAAAAAAAAACTTTTTACGGGTTGCTCATAAATAGTACTCCTCATATTAAGGGGACTTTGAAGGGGGAACATTTTGTAGGATTTGCCATCAGCGACTAGAGTCTGGCTGATGAAAGAAGATAATTGAATTATTCGAAAACTTTCGGATGGCAACACAGAATGTCATTGAATTTCTTAGGTTAGTATTATTTATTGTCTTGATACTTCATGCAATTATAGTCCCACCAACTTATCTGTGAACTGAGTGGTAGTGCCACCGTCGCTTTAGTGTTGCAAATTAATAAAAGTTACCCATGATTGGGTATGTCAGATAAGAAACTAGGTAAACATAAAAACATAATTTTATTATATTAAACAATACCTTACATTGTTTTATAATAATAAAATGGTAATATAAGTACTAAATAGTCTTTAAAAATAATAAAATTAATGTAGGTAGATACATACATTAGCTTTTTCTCTGGCTATCAATTGATATAATGTAGGTACCACACTTACAAACTAAATGTTTAGCAAAGTAGGCAAATGAAATTTAATAACTTGCAAATAAACTTCTCCTTCTTGCCCTTTTCCCACTCTAGGATATTAAAAAAAAAGTGGAGTGGAGAGAATTTACGCTAATCCAAACGTACCTATGCGGCTCTCCCCTCAGATTATACCAGCGTTATTTTTAGTAGTTTCCTTTTTTTTTTTTGGAGAAAGTAGTTTCCATTTTCTCCATTTCACAGATAAGTTGATGGGTCTGTACTCATTTTTATTTCTATTATATATTTTTTCCGAATAGTTAACAGGTATAATAGCCTAAACTTTGTTCTATTTGATAAAATATTTCGTTTCTTTCACAGGATTTGATTATTCCGAATAAACTTGTGTTTTATAATAAATATAGTTTAAGTTTTCCATGCAATGCTAGTCATTTTATGTATCAATAGTAAAAGACTAATGTATACGTATAGTATTTAATTTCATAAGAATACAGTTACTATCAATGTAAAAAATAATAAAATAAAATTAAGTAAGTTTAATCCACAAATATATCTAACTTTTAGGGATACCATACTATTTTTTTTTTTAAATTTGCCGCGCTTTTTCACTATCTACTTTCATTAGCCAGACTCTATGCCCATTTGACTATAGAGTATAGACGATAACAATAATATCCACTATATTCACAAATGACATTAATGTGTTGTCAGTTGTAGTAGCTGACAACTGTTAACTGTCAAATGACAGAAACATTCTTTTCAAAAATCTATAGCACAACATTTCAATTTTATTTTACAAAGTACGCTCGTTCTCCTGCATTGCAGTGTCTTTAAAATTTATTGATTAAAACATAAAATGCAAGCCGTCAGAAGCCTTTTTAGGACGACTCAGGTCGTCAAGAATGCTCCGCAGGTCAGAAATATGAGTGTGGTCTGTATTCCAACCAGAAACAAGGTTTCCAAGGGGGTGAGTATCATATTATCATAATTAAGTCGTAATTATAGCGTTGTAATTGTCCTTAATAATATGTCCTAAAGCTTTATCCTCATGAATTCGACGTTATATTTAATCGATCAAAGTATTTTTGGTTAATCGATATATTACGTAATTTTATAAAAATAGGTTATCTTCCTCATCGTTTAAAGATTGATAACACTTTTCATAGGAGAAAATACCAAATATCCTTAGAGTACTAAAAAATACATTCAATTACTACTTCTTAATTATGGTTCTTCATTTATTATTGATGGTGGATTCTCAGACAATTCCTTGTTTCTAATCGCTGTAGTTTAGCATGTCTATTATTGGAGCTGCCAAAATAATCAAGGGGTTCTATTTCAATACTTTCTGGTCTATTCTGATAATTAAACTATACATTATTTTTAACGCCTTTGGGTACAAATGAAAGAATAATCTTTTTCAAAGCTCCTTTTATGCTTTCTAATATTAAATTCTCCTTTTCAGGAAATGATCACACTTTCCATTGGTATGGTGTGCGGTTGGTTATTCATTCCTGGGTGGGTTCTGGTCCACATGAAGGACTACCGTAACAAAGAATAAATGCTAATATTAATGTATTATTGTAGTGTATTACGTAAAATAAAATTTAAAAAGTATTCAAGTATTTTCATTTGTTGTTTTTAACCTGCGGCTACAGTAGAAAGAAGCAATTTCATTTGCTATGCAGTATACTCTCACCCTCAAACAGTGGCTTATTACACATAAACCACTCTCACCCTATACTGCCTATACATCATTACAAGTCTGGCTTTTGTACCTAATACTGCTATTTATATTTACACTCATTCATTTAGTATAGTTTTGGACCTAGACCTTGACATGTACCTTTGACTAACAAAGCTAAAAAAACTAGCCCTTTGAAATTATAAAAAGTTAGTGCCTTGGTGCAGTGGCTGACTATTAATTTTGAAATGGCTTAATGGCTTGAACTCTATGGCTATAACATTGTTTTTCAAAATTTTCCTTTCATTGAAATCCAGTAAGCATTTATTATAAAATATTCTTAGTCATAATTAGTAGTAAATGGTTTTCCCTATAAATATAGAGGGTTATTAGATGTATTCCTGTTTTATGCACATGCATTATGCAAAAGAGTTTAGCTGTTTTCAAAATAATTTAAGTTAGCTAGTTTCATTTTTTTTGTTTTTCTAAATCAGAAGAAATATGCTACACTATAATTTAAAAAAAATTATGTTGATGATTTGTTTTTGACTTACAAAACAGCTTAAAACTCAAAAATGGTTCACTTTTGCATTATGAATATGGGGTTTTAACCTAATATATAGTCACCCATATTATCTCCTTAATATGTCGAATTACCATTAACCCTATGTATGAAATATTTATTTGATCTTTCAAATAAATATGGTCAAAGTTTAGTATTTATTTATACCTAATAAATTGTCTACTCCAATAAAACTCAAGTCTCTTATCATATAGTCTTTAATTAGTAACAAAACATAAAGCTAACTTCTTAAAGTAACTTAAACAAAATGTCCTTTTACAATTCAAACTTCACATCAGATAATTACTGAGACACCTCCATCAATTGTGGTCCATCTGAAATAATAAAGATTACATTAAAACAAGTTAAGAATAGCATACAATCAGCTGAAAATATAATCTTGTAAGTTTCATTAATAATTTTTGTTCAACATTTTAACCGCTGAAAAAAATTTGTGTTGAAAATTTGTCTGTGGGCATTGCAGCTCCTAAAGCAATAGGGCGACTAAAATGGATCGTAAGCATGTCAAGGTCGTTTAGCTATTTTTTTTATAGAACAGGAGGACGGACAGGAGCCTCGCCTAATGTTAAGTGATACCGCAATGGACACTCTCAATGCCCGAGGGCTCGCGAATGCGTTGCCGGTCTTTCTATGTTTTATGGATAAGTATACCCACTTTATTTTCAAACATATATTTGACCTTACATTAGAGGCTTAATAGGTTATTTAAAATTTTCATTATATATTACTACCGAAAATAAACAGAAAAGATTTATATTCTTTTTTGTTATAGAAGTGGGGGCAAATGACCAGGAGGCTTAAGTGATACCACCGCCCTTGGACGAGCGAGTGCGTTGCCGGCATTTTATTCGATTTCAATTTCACCATAAGATACAAAGTACGCCTGAGTAACATAGGCTATATTTATTTCCAAATAATTTTGCAGCCATGTGAAGTCGGGAAGAATAAATAATTCTTATTGGTGCTGGTAATTAATATGACCTACCACCAGATCCAGATACATCGCTAAACATGAACTCATCCTGATATTCCTTAAGGAACTGCTCAGACCGATGCTCATCTAGGAATAAGGAATACACCTTCTTCACATCCTCCATGCTTACCTGAAAAATATGCTTACTTTAATAACAGGCTTTTTAGCCTTAAAAAAAAGTTTTTAATAACTTGGATAAATGTATTTTTTTTATGGCAATGGAGCCTTAGTGACGCCCAAAAAGGGCTGTCGTCGCTGTGCTTAGGATGGGCCATGCAGAATGGATGAACGAGGAGCAGTTTAAAGATGTCCGGATGGGTATCAAATGATGGGGACCAAATCCAACCAGTACTAGAGAAGAAGTTAAAAGTACCCAAATGGGACGATCATGCATGGTGAATGTCATGAAAGTGGATGAAGCGAGAGGTATGACAGGACTGTAGCAAGAGATCCGTGGTCTCTGCCTACCCCTTCAGAAAAAGGCTAATAAGGCCTCTATCTAATATATAAAATTCTCGTGTCGCGGTGTTTGTGGTTAAACTCCTCCGAAACGGCTTGACCGATTCTCATGAAATTTTGTGTGCACATTGGGAATGTCTGAGAATCGGACAACATCTATTTTTCATCCCCCTAAATGTTAAGGGTAAACCTCTAAATTATGTTTTTTTAATTTTTAGATAAATTTTATTTTTTTATGATACAGCATTGAAAAATACATACAACCCCTAATTTTCACCCTTTTACGATCAACCCCTATTTTTTTATTATAAATGATATACATGGCAAAACGACGTTTGCCAGGTCAGCTAGTATATATATAAAATTCTCGAGTCACAATGTTCATTCCCATACTCCTCTGAAACGGCTTGACCGATTATTATGAAATTTTATATTCATATTCAGTAAGTCTGAGAATTCTTCTCAGACTTACTGAAACTTACTGACTTACTTCTTAATCTATCTTTCACACCTCTAATTGATAAGGGGTTTCCACCCCAAAATTTCTTATTTTATTTTTTAGATTTTTTTTTGTTTTTATTTTTTATGATACAGCATACAAAAAACATAGAGCCCCTAATTTTCACCCCTCTACGATCAAACCCCATTCTTTATTATTGTAGATAGTTATTTTTATTGACCTAAAAAAATGTTTCCTAGAAATAATATACATGGCAAAATGCATGGTTTGCCGTGTCAGCTAGTAATATTATAAAAAAATAAGCGCCATGCATGATTGGATAAAAAACACTTACTTCGGTGGCCTTCCTTCGTTTAGCAACAAGTGAAGCAGTGGTAATAAGCTGTATCGCGTAGCGGAGTGACGTCTCTGTGGCGACACGTGTCAGCACTGTCAACGCGTCGGTTGACATCTGACAGTCTTCCTCTTCACACCTATGGAATTAAAAAAAAAAGATAATGAAAATTTGATTTGAATAAAGTTTTTACGGCAGAAACATTATTAACGTCATAGGGAGTAGTAGTAGTGAGCGTTCAAGTATTACGTCACGCAATTTTTGGAGATTATTGAAACCCCCCCCATGTAACACGCCGTAACGTTTCTTGAGCACCCAGTGACTCTTTATACCTAAAAGTTACCATTATGTGGCGTAAAGTACTGGTAAGTGGAAAATAATATTAACAATAACGCATAATTCAATCCCCGCCCCGCATCGTAACGTTTTACAAATCCGATAAACTTTATAAATTACCTAATATTAAGTATTTCTTTTAACTCCTGGGGAGAGTAAGGTGCTGTGGGGACTATGATCATTCTATCCAGAAGGTCCAATGGTATTCCATGGGGACTTTTATAATTTGTCCCTCGAATTCGTGTTATTCCCCGGTTTGTTGCCATAATTACCACTGGAGCACTTTCAGATTCAAGCGCTCGGTTGAGGAATGAAAAGCATTCTATATCCAGCATGTGTGCCTAGAAAAGATATTAAAGATCTGATAAAAATATAATATTCATTTGAATGATTCAATTTGTTTATTTTATTACTTGCAAGAACGTTAATAACATCATAATAACTGAACCAAATCTGATATAGTTTTTTCATTGTCAATTTTTTTTTTAAATATGGCAAGGAGCAAACGTGCAGGAGAAACTGATTTTACAATCTTAGTGATACAAAGTAATATAATAAAACGTTTGTGCACTGAACTATAGACAATAATAATACTACTACTAATATACAATAATAATAGATGTTGCTTGCCTCCAATCAAAAAATAAGTGCAAACTCCTTAGTAACAACTTCGTTGACATTGGGACCAAGCCATTATAGGTTCGGTACTTATTACTTCGATATTCTATAGTTATAACTTATAACGTCAAAAAGTATAAAATAAAATTTTCTTACCTCATCTATAAACAAAACTCCAGGAATCATTTCAGCCTTCCCTTCTTCCCTCCACTCGGCCACTTTGCTATTAATCTGCTCCCTTATCTCTGACTTAATTTCACCAGTGTCACCTTTAATATGTTAAATCAATGTGTAAAAAAACGTTTACCAATTACACTGATAAAGCAATAAACATTAACTTGTTTAGAAACAGTAATGATGTTACCAACTCAGTGCTTTCGAATCTAGCAGAAGTTTCATTCAGCGTTTAACAGATTATTAAGCGTCCAATAAATCGATTATCTAAAGCGCTTTTGGATTTAAGTATAAAAAAGCTCCTTCGTCCGTCAGGAGATGGCAACACTGTTATACCTGTTGTAAGTGTTCAATAAATAGTGATAATGGTATACATTCTTCTTGGATAGAAAAATATTAATAGTAGGGGAGCCCAAGAGGGGATTTCGGGATTTACTAAAGCGCGGCAGATTACTATATAGGGGGATACCTTGTACCCGGTTAAGTACCTCCACAAAATATGAGGCCCATATATAAGGCCGCGCGTGAAGGAGACAGGATCAGATTAGTAAAAAAAAATTGACCATCAGAAATTCCCGAGCGCGTCAGATTAAGGTAGGGTGAGTTAATTACATCCTAAAAAGTGTATATTCCACTAATCTGACAATTTGAGAGTGACGGAAAAAAGGGGAGGGCAACAAAGTTGTAAAAAAAAACGTCATCTCGACATTCTCGAGCGTAGCTAATTTTTCTTTTATTTTGAAGGAAATAATTCCAGAATAATGAAAAATATATAATCTGACGATTTCCGCAAGCCGAAATAACAAAAATTCGTCGATAAAGTTAAATGCGTGCAGCTGCGTGATGCCTACATTTCCTTAAACCGATCGGAATCTACTAAACGGCGTTCAAAATATTTCCCTCAAAATTACATTTCCTGTGAATTTGAACCGATTCGGACCGATAGATTTTGAGAAATTTTGAAAAATCTTAAAAAAATAAGAAATATTTTTTTTTAAGTGGTTTCTTTATCGATCAACTTCAAAAACTAATCCGCCTTTGAGCTTGAAAAACCACGTCGATCGCCACCAAGCTGGTCAAAAGCGGTTGATTCGTTCGAGAGATATCGTACATGAAAGAAACCCGAAAAAGTGTTTTTTCGGGATTACTCCGAAATTTGTGGTTCGATCAATTAAAATTGCAAAATTACTTATGAGAATGATAAAACTGCGTCGAATGCCGCCAACCGCGTGAAAATTGCTTGATCCATTCAAAAGTTATTGCGGTTTGAAAATTCCAAAAATAGTGTTCTATGAAACTTCTATCAGACTTTCAAGCTGGGAGAGCTCAAATGCATAGAAATGTTATTTCTTTGAACTCAGCGAGCTCAAAATATCAATTTTAAGCGCCCAGGAATGGAATTAGCGGGAAGTTGCAGGGATGGCCCTTTAGGTGAACCGTTTTTCTATTTTTTTTTGTCAGATCAGGCGAATCCCTCTAGATAATCGTCAGATTATGAGACAGTACGTTTAGAACATAAAGATGAACCACATATATCTTAATCTGACGCGCTTGAGTATTTCAAAATTGCGATTTTTTTTGCAAATTAAGAAAATGGCTGTGGGTTTGCGTCCCATCGAAATCGTCAGATTAGTGAATGAGAGATTTTTTTTGGTGCACTTAACACTCCCTTAGAAAATCTGACGCGCTCGATAAATTTTTTTTTTTTAATTTTCAACCCTTAAATACAACCACCCGCATCATGCAAACGATCAGATTAACATACGTACATTATTAAAAATACGTAGGGCATAGATGCTATCAATATCTGACGCGCTCGAGGATGTCCATGCAACAGTTTTTTTTTACATATTTAACTATCTATAGCCGCTTCCCCCACCGATGAAAAGGAATTTATCATATAACATTTTTTTCTTCTTTTTATCTAAGCTTTGTATCCCAATAGGTCTCTACGACGCTCGAGTAAATCCCCATTTAGCATCGTGGGCTCCCCTACCATAATACTGTCAGACATAGCCCAGACATAAGATGAAAAAATCTATTCTATTTGCTTATAAATTTAAAAAATAAATTGTTTGCGTCGTGTAGGAACGCGTTCATAAAAATTAATAAAATTAAGGTTTATTAATAAAAAAAAAATTTTTTTTGCCGCTATCACGTGGACTTAGTACGCAGAACAAATAACAAAGTTGCGTGATCAAATACGCAATCAAACTCGCTAAAGTTGTTTTGTTTCACCAAGATAACGCCCCCACAAACGAGTCCAGAGTTGCGATGGCTTCAAGAATCTGCTTTCGAATTGGTGGAACATTCTCTATATTCATCGAGAATTCATTCTATTTCTACCTATTTCCGTAATAATATCGAATTTTTAATATGAAACACTTTTTAAAGATGTTTTCAAAAACTTCAGCTTTAGAATAAAAACACTAAACACTATAAAACCCTCTTCTAAATAGCAAACCCCTAGTTAATATATAAATATTTTTGTTGAAAGAATCTCACCAGAGAATAAAGCCAAAAATCCATGCGTCCTCGAGTTGATGACATCTACTTCATGCAATGTGACGGTGTGGACTACTTCTTTACGCTTCTGAAGTTCTCCTTCGGGGCATTGAACGAAACGGGCTTGTTGACCTGTACAATAATGTATAGTATTTAAAATACACCCAATTGTTTTTATGTGTATTGGGGAGCGTTCAAGTGTTACGTAACAAATTTTGTGGGGGGGTCCTTTTGTAAAACGTTACGGTGCAGGGCGGGGATTGAATTACGCGTTATTGTTAATATTATTTTCGACTTTCCAGTACTTTACACCACATAATAGTAACTAAAGAGTCACTAGGTGGTCACGAAACGTTTTACTATACTTGGGTACAGAAAAACTTTACGGCGCGTTACATGGGGTCAATAATCTCCAAAATTTGCGTGACGTAATACTTGAACGCTCCCTTGGTAGTATTTCAGTCAAATTTAAAAAATAAATTTATTATCTACAAAAATGTTACCTGTAGCATCATAGTCTCTGGCTCTTGCAAAACTTCTGCCGAGTTTGTTTATCTTTCCCGTGGCTTTGTCTATGGTAATTACGTCACCTGCTTGCACCTGCAATTGTATAATGACCTCAGTAAAAAACTTTGATAATTAATAAAAACTGTTAAAAAATCAATACATATTTTTAACAAACACTAATGTTCTGCTTATAAAAAAGGGTGCGTGTACTTATGTACGCGCGTAAGAAGTTATACTTCTTTGGAATTATTTCATTATTTAAAAATAGTTTTTGATTGCATGCAAATAATTAATTACAATTAAATAATCAAAGACTGGAAAAGGAGTCATTATAGTCAATAAAGTTCAGTTTACATTTGAAAAATTAAATAAATAAATATTTATTAATATTATATTTATTATTATTTTCTAATATTAATTAGTATTGATTTAAATATTCAATTTAAATCACTTCTGATTATAATTCAGACGCACATATAAAATTAGCACTTGTATAATGAAAACAAAATGAAAACACGTGTTTTAAATGTAGAAACGCAAAGCATGTGGATAAATATTATAAATATAAATACACAGTGAACAGAGGCGGCGTGCGCCACTAACTTTCTGTTAATTTTGTGTCACGGTGCGCGCGCATCGTAAAATTTCACTCTCATCAATTTTTCATAACGCGCCTAGAGAAGTATAACTTCAAAAAAATCTCTAGAAAATATATATAAATACACATTATACTATTTACAAGGAGACAGCTAACTGTGTGATATACACAAATAATAATTATTAATAATAATTACTTGACAATTCAAAAGTGTACTTGGTTACCCACTTGAATAAAGATATTTTGAGTTTGAGTTATAACTATATAGATTTATCAGTCAGTCATTAAAATGTTGCCGCAAATTGCTATTTACATTGAGTTATGTAAACAGTGTTGCATTATGCGGTTAAAGAAGTTTTATTTAAATGTAGAATATTCATGTTAACCAAAGATAATAATAAAGTAGTGCGCAGACAACGTTGAAATACCTTTTCTTTAAGTAGTGAGTCGATCATCTTAGTTCCCATATCATAATTAGTCTCCATATCTGTGGTCTTTAAAGTGAGACGACCAGTCCTGGCTCCGCCACCACCTGCTGCCCTTTCCACCACTACTTCTACTACTTCTCCTTCTATTATCTCTGATTCTTCTCTGTTTAAGACAATAATCAAATGAACTAAAACTTAGAACAAAGACTACTTATTTTTATATTTAAAGTCCTGTAAAACCCACAATATTGTTGAGGGACACAATCTGTGAGATTAATTCTTGTAGCCAGACATTTTTGTTTTGCTAGAATTAAAAACCTTTGATATGGAAGCCACAGGTAAACATACTCTAATTATTGCATGTTGGCGAGCAAGATTTTCGTCATCTTCGAATTACCGAGGGGACTAATTAATATTAATTTTACTCTATTTATTTTAATTTTACTCAAGTATTTTTCATGGGAACAGAAAAAAAATTAAATCATAGAGAGCGACTCAGATTATCAAGTGTCAACTGTATTTAAAAAAACAAACAATTAGTAAAAATTTAACATTGTATTCCTAACTGTGGGTAAATACTGTATGTAATTCTATTAGCTTAGAAAAAATCTAAATTGTCTTGTCTTTATTTTTATACAAAAACAATTTTAATACAAAAATTTACTGAAAATACTTACTTTATTCTTATACCAATAGATTTCCTGATGGCTTGAGTTAATGCTTCAGTCTTGCTCATCTCCAATGAATATATTTCAGATCCTGAAACAGTCATGGATGGACCATTAGATACAAGAATTAAAAAAGTTAATACAATCTAAATTCATGTTGGATGTTGACATCCTTCTTATTCATAAAAATTATATTAGTTTTATTCTCTTTTAATTAAAGAATTCCATCCAAATGTGTGTACAGTCTGCTGAAAAGACAAATAAGTACTTTTATACCTGTTAAGGCAAATTTGTAATGAAACCATCACAGGAACCACAGTACCATTGAACAGTACATACAAAGTCTGATTTCTTATTAGCATCTGTTATTTTTTAATACCTGCCATGCTGGTGAATGGTGTGTCAGGTCCTAAAGCTTGTGCCAATCCCATTGCAATGGCAGTCTTTCCAGTGCCTGGTTGTCCAGCTAATAACACTGCTCTGCCTGCTATTTTACCTAAAAAATTAAAAAAAATATGATAAAAGCAGAACATTATTCAGTTTTAAGACTTATCTAAAAAGTCACTAATAGACAAAAAATTTAAAATAACCTGAATCTGATGTTTATTTCCTAAAATGCTTAAGAAAAAAATTATTGTTTATATTAAAAGGTCAAATTTTAATAAGCATGATCGGTTATCTCACACGTTTTAAGCTATGTGGTAGTCTTGGCAACAAACAGATTGATCAATCATACCTTCTCGTATCATTTGTAGAATGACTCCAGCTGCCTTCCTTGCCATCTTCTGGCCCACCATACCCTGTGACACTGCTCGTGGCTCCAAGGCATCATCAAGACCTAAGCCACGTATGTGGGAATGCGCGCCAATTCTTTCTATTCGAGTTATTGAGCGTACCTCTTGTACCTGTGCTGCTGCTAGTGACTAAAACATTACATATTTTATGATACAACAGAGTAGCTAGTTTACTTATTCGTAAGTTATAGTAGTGATAGATTTAAGAGCCATAAAACAAATAATAGAAATATCTAGCATTCAGTTTAAACAGAGATTGAAGTATAAAACTGATTTCATGTTTTAGCCGACTTTGAGGTTATATTGGAACAATAAACTATTAGATATGTCATCTACTTCCCAAACATATTCAATAGTTATTACAAATTTTGCATTACTTACAGCCATCTTTTTGTTTTATTTTCCAGTAAAATAAGAATTAAGATATGCCAAACAAACACCTAGCAACCACACCAATACTAACGCAAAACAACACTGTTTTTAAATTTTGAGGCAAGAGTATGGACTATGGACACTTAATAAGTTGACATTGACGGATACTGTCACATAGCCACAGACTTATTAATTACTGGCCGGTAACTATAGAAGAAATTCTTAAAATAATGTTATCCTAATTATTTTTTTACTAAGTAACTTGATTAGAGATGAATGTCTGTGTTTGTTGATGTTTTTAACCTAAGTAAAGCTGTATGTTAAGGTCAATCCTTTTAATCCTTCATCTACCTAATCATCTGAGCCGACAAGTGTTGCGTTATCTAAAGCAAATCTAGACAAAACATACTTGAGCTTTTCTCAGCTATATAAAGGGGATTTCATGACTTCATTAGGGGCTGTCCATTAATCACGTGAGGTTCGAAAGGGGGGGTATAGTAACTAAATTACGAAATATCACAAGATGGAGGGGGGGTTATAGTAAGATATCACGTGTACTTATTTTTTCGTCAAACGTGTAATTTTTAAACCGAAAAGCGGACAAGAAAAACGATCGATCAGTAGATTGAGAGAGATTCTCTGCGAGGTGCGCGTGATGACGCCGAGTGGCTTGATGAAACCGACGTTGATCTTCAACAAAGTACTGCGCCAACAACTGACTTGCATGATGCTTATCCAGTTGTTAATATTGAAGAAAGTCTTGTTAATCCGTGGCAATGTACATTAAATATGTTCATTTACAATATATGTTTTTCGCATTCCTTTAACATTATTTTTATTCGTGTCAAAAACAACCTGCAACGTTTCTGTCTAGACATTTTTATCATGGTCCTTAATTTTGCTGGAATATTAGATTATACTTTATACCAGTACTTAAAAATTATATTATAAAAAATTTAGATTCTTTGTAGGTTCTAAAAATACACGTGATTTTTGGTGCGGGGTGATGGGAGGGGGTTGTCTTAAACCTCACCACGTATTACCATGGGGGAGGGAGGGGTTAAAAAAACATCACGTGATTAATGGACAGCCCCTTAGTAATTTGACTGAGGAGGATAAGTTTAGGACACAAAGATGTTCCTTCTCTTCAATGCTTAATGATCGTCCGATTATAGATAGGGATAAAATAAAACACAACTTTAAAATGTTCCTATATTCAGTACGTAACGAAACTCAAAAACATAATTTTTGTGAAAGAATGGCTAATTTATACTAGGTGAAAAGCCATTATCTGTACATAATTTATTTTTATTTAGGATTTATAATTTTTTTACACAAAATACTTGAATTTTCACAAATTTATTTCAATGATAAGTGTTTCTTCTGATGTACAAAGCAAACATTAGAGCCTAGTCAAAAGTAGTATCTAAATAATTTAGTTCACAGGAAACACTGAAACTAATAGTTTTAGACATATTAAATTATACCATAGGTACAGCAGAAATGGAGATTTTTACACGAGAATTGTACATCAGGTATTGCGCTATCCTTACCCTGCTATTAATGCTAGGGATAAGATTCAGAGTAGACTTAGCGCTAAGTAGGACTTCTGTGTGTCAAATACATATTGGATTTGACATACTTAAATCTCAGTCTCCACTCTGGATCTTACCTTGAGTTAGGGATTGTTTTAACTGTGGTTAGTAAACACCTATTATAGCTCGTTATTTTTTAAGACTGAACATCTAAATTAATTAGCTGGTTTTGATTTATTTAAATTGAATTAATAAAAATTGGCTTTACACATACTTAATATAGTGCTCTTTTTTTTAATATTTTATTTAACTTAATGGATAGTGCATTTTATAAACATGAATCACCCCACCTTATTATTAACATGGAGTAACACAATTAGCATTTAATGAATGAATTAAATACTACCCCAACAACATTAATAAATCACCTAAGATTAATCTTGAAGCAGTTATTTTAAAAGAAAACTATACTATTGACAAACAATCAAATATTCATCTACCCTCCAAATTTTTATCTCTGTAGGAATTAAACTTAATTGTGAGGGTAGATGAAAATTTTCTTAACATTAATAACGTGAATTACACTAATAATGATTATTTAGGAAGCAAAAAAATACATTTATAATATATTAATATCTATACTACACGTTTTATTTTCAGTTATGTAATTAAGGAGTAGAAATTGAAGATTTTTAGTCGGCTCCTTATTTGAGTTGATTTTACACAGGAATAATTCTCCATTTAGTATTTGCCATGTATCTTTTCACACTAATATCAATCGAAAGGACCTTTTTACAATAACTGCTGACCCTGTTTTAGAGAGAACCAAGCGTCTTTATATATGTTCCTTTATTAATGGCTTTTCTGTATTAGACATTCGTTGAAAAATCATTTAAATAGACCTAAAACAAAATGTTATGGGTCATCCAAAATTCTATTCAGATAATTTATTATTTATTCACTGCCAATCATTATGACCATGAACCATAGACGGTAGTATTTTTAATATTGCAAAATGCTCATCCCTTCGAAGAACAGATACCTGAGGTGGAATTGAATATTAAACTGTCAATCTAAATTCAATTTTGCCCAAATTTCTGAATCAATCAAAACGAAATTTAATTAAGTATGTGATATCTAAATGAATACAAACTGTCACTTTGGGAGCGTTCAAGTATTACGTCACGAAATGTTTGACCCCCCCATGTAACTCGCCGTAACGTTTTTCAGTACCCAAGTATAGTAAAACGTTTCGTGAGCACCTAGTGACTCTTTAGTAACTATTATGTGGTGTAAGTCGAAAAAATATTAACAATAACGCGTAATTTAATCCTCGCCCCGCATCGTAACGTTTTACAAAAGGACCCCCCCAAATACGTTACGTAATACTTGACCGCTCCCTTTGCCATTTTTAATGAAATTTCCATCTCAGGATCTAAAACCTGTGTACAACTCAAACGATACAAGTCTATGTAACAAAATCATAACCTAAGTATTTTTTATTTTTTCTCCTCACCCTGGCCGCTTTCTTCTCATCATATTCTTCATCTTGCTCCTCATATATATTACTGTCGATCACCCAGTCTTCGCCAATTTCAGTTTTTATCTGCTTTACTTGCTGTCTGACGGTAGGAGAAGTTTTTTTTTTCCTCTTTCTTTCGGGATCACGTTTTCGCGGTCGCTCCTCTAAGACCAAGTGGGGATACTCTTCGACTATGTAGTTCTCCTGGTCGTAGCTGGTGGTGATTTCAACACCAACTGAAGGGTCTACATCGGGGAGGATGTAGTAGTTTTCGAAGTCACCTGTGACATCATTTAATTTTTAGTCTAAAATTAACTTCTTATTACAACGCCATAGCAAACTAGTCCATGATATCATGTAGTCACGATAAAGGATATCACAAATAATGCATGCAATATAAGACGGCTCAATGGTCTAGTGGTTAGTACCCCTGACTGCGAATCCATGGGTCCCGGGTTCGATCCCCGGAGACAAACATCGATGAGATGAGCATTTAGTGTTGTGCTTAGGACTTGGGTGTTTAAATATGTATTTATATGTGCTAGGTCTATCTATGTATAATATGTATGTATATCCGTTGCCTAGTACCCATAATACAAGCTTCACCAGCTTAGCATGGGACTAGGTCAATCATAAAAAAAAATACAATGTTTAACATACAGAGTTAGATACATTAATGTTTAGTTTGTTTAATATATTTCAGTTAAATAATAGAAGTAACAATTACCTTGTAAAGAGATGGTATTCATTTCTGATGTGAAGTGTCTCTTCTTCTTGCCCGAGTTGCAATGTTTGATGTACGCGTATTTGGGCTTAGAGTCATCCGGTATTATGTTAACTGTCCACTCCTAAAAAATAAATGTATAATAACTATTTGTTGATTACTATATATACAAGTATATTTTAAATGTATAAAGTATCTAAAATATATAAGCTGCCTAACAAATCTTGGGTTTTGAAAATGATCTCTGGTACTGAAGTAAATTCTACCTTTAAATGTAGTATACTGTAATCTTAAAATATATAAATTACGTGTCACGTTGTTTGTCCGCTATGGACTGCTAAACTACTGAACCGATTTCAATCAAATTTGCACACCGTGTGAGGTTTGATCTTACTTAAAAGATAGGATAGCTTACATCTCAATTTATACCCGCAATATTATTTTATTGCAAAATATTTGTTTATTATTTGATAGTCACAATTCACAGATGGCGCTGTGTTGAAAGTACCAACGTTTCACATAAGCTACAATTTAATGGCATTACCACAAAAAAAGTATGGTGGTCCCCATGATACGCGTTGCAGACCAAGAGCTAAGCTACGTTAGTTTAGCTTAGCTCGCATAGCTGACCCAATTTTCCATACGTCTGCGCAGACCGCAAACTATGCGAACTAAGCTATGTGAGCTAACTAAAATATGCGAAGCTAAGTTAGTTGTGTACGCCGATGCGCAGCTACACGAGCTAAGCTAAGCCCCTCCCGCTACCCCGCACACCCTTTGCACATAGTATGCAACACTGACTGAGCTTTGGGTTAGCTGTTGGTGTTCACGCTATTTATTTCTAGCTTAGCTTAGCCTAGCTTGCTTGGCATAGCTTAGTTTAGCCTTGGCATAGCTTAGTTTAGCCTTGGCATAGCTTAGTTTTCGGTCTGCAACCGGCTTGACTGGTGTTCTCCTACCGTTTCCTTTGAATAATTTATCATTATGTGATATAACAAAAACCTTAGACACAGCAACGCTTGGCCGGTCTGCTAGTAAATGTAATATAGCCCTACTAAATAATTATACCAATTTAAATAAATTTTAATTGTTTAAACTTTATTATATTTTCATTTCATTGCTACCTGCTAGATAAATATTTTTTTTTACCAGACTAAAATCAAACAACTGACTTGTAATATACCTGATTCTCAGCAGCGGGTATTTCCTTCACTTCATCCATGGATATCTCTTGTTCTTCAGCGATCTCGTATATGAAGTTATCTCCAATTGTGCCATCATCTATCATTTGAAGCACTTCAGTCTGGTTTTGAAGACTATTGTCTACTGATTGAGATGTTTGTGGGATTATCTGTAAGGTTCATTTAATATTAATATGTACCATTACATATAGATATACACAACAAATTGTATATTGAAGTTATATGTTTGAAACAAATTACTATATTTGAAATATTATTTCTTTGTCACTGTATATGTGATTATATGTGTACCTTATTAAGAAAATAAATTTATTTTTATGACATAAATCTCATTCAGAAAAGTATTGATAATTTCTTTTTTTATATTTAAAATAAAATCATTTGCTAAGAGGAAGTCAGCACTTTTGTTTTAGGAATTTATTCTAGTATTCATAGAATTTTCTAATATACATTAATGTATAAAGAATTTTTGATATATAAAAAAACCAGTGGCGCTATAATCTCTTAGGTCTGGACCTCAGATATCTGTATGCAAGTGCCTTATAACTTTTTGGGTCTTAGGCGTGCCTCACTATGCATTCCTTCGCCGGACGAGCTAGTGTTTAATGCGCATATAAATAGTAAGTCCATTGGTGTACAGCCGGGGATCGAACCTACGACCTGCCTTTGGGTTAATGCTGCTTTCTAAAATCATAAAAACTAAACTAAAGTTAATTGTACCTCTATAATCTGTTTAGGATCCTGCATCTTAGTGATGACCTGCTCCGACTGAGTGATGGAGGCTTCAGCTTTATCACTTTCCACTTTCACCACCCACAATTGCTTCTTCTGAAGGTTCTTGAGTGATCTGTAATAAAATATTAGTAATAATTTAGTTAACATTAGCTTAAAAAATACTTTACTGATATTGAAGTTATACTTCTTTAGGCGCGTTATGAAAAATTGATGAGAGTGAAATTTTACGATGCGCGCGCACCTGAGACACAAAGTTGTCATTGTGATTATAGCGTGCGCGAGCGAGATGGGAATAAGACAATCTACAAGTAAAAAGAAACAGAATATGCGTGAAGTTAGCAGCTATGCCAAGAATTTTGAATGACCATAATGACATTTACCTTTTAAACAAATAAAGGAGTTTTTATTATTTTTTCAAAGAAATTTAGCAATGCTTTTTCACAAAGACCTATTGTTACTTAGTTAAAAGGTAATGAAACATACCTAGTTATTAAATTGAATTAATAATATAATAAAATAATAAATAATAATTATTATTAATATTAATTAATAATTGAATAATATACTAAATATTAAATATTATTAAATTATTAACGTTAAATATTTGTTATTAATTATTTAAAATTAAAAAAAAATAAAGAAAGCCAAAGAAGTATAACTTCTTAAGCGCGTACATAAGTACACGCACCCTTTTTTTTGTGACCTATGTCTTTTGACATATCCTCACTTTCACATAATACACCCGAATCAGGTATTACTCAGTTAAATGTATTTAATAATGTTTTTTGTTTTCCTTTCGTAAATGTTTGAACCTTTTTGTTGTAAGATTATGAAATAAATATCAATATAACATAGCAATTTCTTGTGACATATCAAACTCAAAATATCTTTATTCATGTAGGTAAACAAGTACACTTATGAATTGTCAGAAAGAAGTTAAATTAATTCTAAATTTACTACCAGTTCGCAAGTCAAGGGCGTAGAGCGGGTAAGAAGAACTGGCAAGAAACTTTCCGCCCCAAGTATTGTCAAATTGTTTGAATCGAAGCAAATCAATCCCAAGGATTATAGTTAAGTATTCCTCAACTTTATAAAAAGCTTTATTGATTAATTTTCGTTTAACGAGGCCTATCAATAAATGTATATATTACAAATATGACCTAAACATGTATTTAAATTATATCCAACTTAATTAAAAACACAATATTCCAATATTTCAGAAAAAAATCTGGATTTTTATTAATAAGACCGCACGTACTGACTTTTTTGTATGTGATAACTATAGATAATATTGTTTGTGATATAAATAAAGTGTAATTCATCTATCTTTTTCGTTTTAATCATGTACATGTGTGAGTGTGTGCAAATTACATGTAAAATAGGTACTTACAGATAACCGAGTGTATCAACCAATTGCCTGACATTCAGACGAGAAATAGATTCCGGCTCCTGCTTGCATGCCTCCATACTATAGTTGTGTTCCACGCGAATTATTTCCGCGGCTGTAACAAATAACTATAATTTTAATACAAATCAAACGGAAGGTAAAAAGTTAATTGTACTAGTGGAGATGGACTGATTGGCATCAGGAACTCCTAAGGAATGTTCCCCCCCAGAACGAATTCAATTCAATTCAAAATCATATAGGGAACACAATGTACACTTTAGGAACGTCAAAAAATAAATAAATATGAAATGCGTCTTATTTTACATTTACTGCCAGTTCCCATCAAGGCCGTTGAACGGAAGAGAAGAACTGGCAATAAACACTCCGCCACTCTTTTTAATCGCCAAGTTTTTTTGTTACCAGACCTTCATCCCTGAGTACGTACGAATCGCGACTGAATTTGTGCGCTTGAGCACTTGCTCCTACGGTAAGGGCAATCATCCTGACCGACAGGTGTTTCAAAAGAAAGTTGACATTTATTTATTTAGCGTTATGTGATAATGTTAGACGACTTCTTGGTGCCTGAACTGCAAAACTTTCCTGGCTATAACCAAAGAACATGGTTGGCAAGACGGAGCAACGTCACACACGTCCAATACGTCTCTGAGTTCGTGAAATTTTCTCAGGCAAATTGATCTCCAGGAGAGGTGACATAAATTGGCCTCCACGCAGTCCTGATTTAACCCCTTTGGATTTTTCCTATGGGGTTATCTTAAATCTAAAGTCTACGCCAATAAGCCGACTTCTCTGGCGCAATTGAAAGAAAATATCCGTCACAAAATGGCAGCCATCACTACGTCCACCGGCGAGCAGTCATAAGTATTTTATTGTTAGACTAGTGGACCCCACAGACGTTGTCCTGCATGATATTTAAAGCGATTAGGATATTAAGCAAAGTATGAAAGTACCGACTGCAGTGCCATCTGCCGGGCTGATTTGTGAATCTAAACCATTCCCAGATCCCCTTGAACACACACAAAAAATTTCATCAAAATCGGTCCAGTCGTTTGAGAGAAGTTCAGTGACAGACACACTCACAGAAGAATTATATATATAAAGATTAAATCAGCGAACGCGAGGGTCTACATTTGGACGATATTATTTTTAAGGAATAAATTCCCAAAACATGTACTTTAATAATTAATAAACACTTTTTTGATACACGACTTACTTTTTTAAAATCGATCAACTAAATACGAGCTTGTCCTTTTGAGACATCCTGTATTATGCTATTTTTATAATTCCACGTTTATTCAATGAGGAATCAAATTCGGACATCAAATATTTATAAGATCCCGTATCTAGGGGACAATGAATGTTTTACACAAATATTTGACGAACACGGTTTCCAAGACAAATGAATACGTTTGATACTTTCTTACTAATGCGTAACATCTATATTACATTGGGTTTTAGTACCTTTTTGGTTCCCTTTAGCGAATTTTGCGAAAAGGTCTTGGAAAGTTGACCCTGCAATAAGAGGGCAATCTAAGTATCTCACTTTATTTTCGCATATCTAAACATATAGATGAAGTCTGAATATTATTATATCACATAAACGAAAACACAAACAAAAGAAACCAGTTTTTATGAATCGTTCCCACGATATTACAAAAGATTTCTTTAATACATAGAATATGGGTTCTTATTTCTCCGAAGTAAGAAAAACTTTAAATATAATAATTATGTCAATAATGCATGAGAGGTGGCTTTTTACTTTTGGGCGAAAGGCAGAGCAGACGGAAAGTAATAAACGGCAAAAATCTACACTTTCATCCAACTTTGATTTTGTTCCCTTTGGAATAGAGACTCTTGGGCTGTGGGGTTCAGCGTGCAGCAGGGAACGCTCCTATTTAAGGTTTATTTAAAGGAAGGGGGGGGCTAAATGTGCGTTCAAGTATTACGTAACGAATTGGGGGGGTCCTTTTGTAAAACGTTACGATGCGGGGCGGGGATTGAATTACGCGTTATTCTTAGTATTATTTTAGACTTTCCAGTACTTTACACCACATAATGGTAACTTTTAGGTATAAAGAGTCACTAGGTGGTCACGTAATACTTGAACGATCCTACGGGAAACCCATCAAAGGCAGTAATCGCAAGCCATAGCAACCCATTTTAGTGGGTACGTTACCGGCCTTTGAAGCCAGAGACCACAGAGCATCCTCCTCATGCTCTTTTTTAAATTGGAAGTCGTATCTCCCAGGAAGGACCTACTGGGAGTCGATGCCACAGTTCGCAAAATGCCTAGTGAAATGGACCGTATTACAATGCCATTTGGACTAAACTCTTTAATTTATTTTAGTATTATATTTATACATCTTTAATAATCATCAAAAATCAAATATAACGCTGAATCGATGGTATGACGAAATATCTTAAATAGCAAATAAATATACATTATGAGACTGATTTCGAGTGGCTTTTGTACTCGTATTATGTGACTTTATCTCACAAAGCGAGCGTTGTTGAAAGGTTTTGTTTGATAGTATGATTTTGACGTAAAGTTAAAGGCCATATTGTGATGTGACACGGAAAGATTATTAAAAACATACTTTTAATTTCTCTGAATTGTATTAGCGTATATTGCTTAGTGTAGAGGCACGATAACTTGCTTTGAGAGCTCTTCCAACTCTTAGATGTGTTTTAAAAAACAATCTCTTGTTTATATAAAATACTGTAAATATTAGATCCTTACATATGAAATTGGCGTATTTCGTACTGGCCACTTTAATCACGATGTTCTCCTCTTTGGTAAGGAACTCCAAATTCAAATTTGTACAGCTATTTACTCATGTATTTGTGCTTCGATGACCGTCATTAATTTGTTTTTTTCTTCTGTATTTTTCTGTTTGCGTCACTCATTTTACAAAATGGAAAACTTAAAGTATCGCATTATTTACGAGTACGAGTTCCGCCGTGGCACTAGTGCTGCGGAAACGACTCGAAGGGTGAATGATGTGTATGGCGGTCATGTTGCAAAAGAAAACACAGTTCGTTTTTGGTTCCAACGTTTTCGTTCTGGAAATTTCGACCTGCAGAACAAGCCCCGTGGACGGCCTGAGACCCAAGTTGATAATGAAGTATTGAAGGCTATTGTGGAAGCGGATCCACCGCAAACCACGTCCGAGTTAGCTGCAGGCTGCGGTGTTAGTGATAAAACTGTTTTAATTCCCTTGAAGCAAATTGGGAAGATTAAAAAGCTTGAAAGATGGGTACCTCACGAATTGAATGAAGCAAACCGGCAAACGCGCTTCGACTGCTGCGTTACATTACTGAACCGGCACAATAATGAAGGTATTTTAAACCGAATCATTACCTGTGATGAAAAATGGATTCTTTACGATAATCGGAAGCGCTCAGCGCAATGGTTGGATCCTGGCCAGCCAGCCAAATCCTGCCCCAAGCGAAAATTTACCCCAAAAAAGTTACTAGTAAGCGTTTGGTGGACTAGTGCCGGTATTGTTCATTGCAGTTTTCTCAAATCTAGCCAGACTATTACGACTGATGTCTATTGTCAGCAATTGCAAACCATGATGGAAAAGCTAGCGGCTAAACAACCTAGGCTGGTCAATCGCCCCACGCCTCGACAACGCTAGACCACACACTGCACAACAGACGGCTACCAAATTAGAAGAGCTTCAATTGGAATGTCTAAGACATCCTCCGTACTCCCCAGACCTTGCTCCAACAGATTACCATTTTTTTCGAAATTTGGACAACTTCTTGCAAGGGAAAAAATTTAACTCTGATGGGGCAGTCCAAATCGCCTTCATAGATTTTATTGATTCCCGTCCGACTGTTTTTTTTAGTAAAGGGATCAATGAACTACCTATGAGATGGCAAAAGTGCATAGAAAACAAGGGTTCATACTTTAATTAATTAAATATATTATATTTAAAAATATTCGACTTTTTGTTCCTCCCATACAAAACGCCAATTTCATATGTAAGGACCTAATATACATGGACGATTTATTTTACCTATTCCATTTTAAACTCTAATTAAATACTTGCAGTAATAGGAACTATTTGTAATCTAAGATTGTATACATTGTAGTTAATAGAATTACAGTGTTTTAACTAAGGGAGCGTTCAAGTATTACGTAACGAGTTTTGTGGGGGGGTCCTTTTGTAAAACGTTACGATGCGGGGCGGGGATTGAATTACGCTTTATTGTTAATATTATCTTCGACTTTCCAGTACTTTACACCACATAATGGTAACTTTTAGGTATAAAGAGTCACTAGGTGATCACGAAACGTTTTACTATACTTGGGTACAGAAAAACGTTACGACGCGTTACATGGGGGGGTTAATAATCTCCAAAAATTGCATGACGTAGCACTCGAACGTTCCCTTAAGTACTTTTATCTGTCCCTTTACGTCACAGCTTAAACAAAATTTGAGAGAAAGAGACGATAGACTTTAGGTAAAAAAGTGTATTTTAGATTTCGTTTTTATGAATATAAAAATAAAGAGGAAAGATTTGCTCCACAATTACTGCACCGATTTGAAAAATTCTTTCACCATTAGAATCCTTCATTATCCCTTATTAAGATAGGCGTAACATTATTCCAAAAGTTAGAGATTCAGATTAACACTTCGATAATGAAACCCAAAGTGTAAAAACACCAATAAAAATGCCTATTACGCTGCGATAATAGACCAAAGTGATGTACAGTTTTATAGAAGACAAAGTTAAGAGTCTGCGATAAATATTCAGTCGTGCGAAGACGAACGCAAGTTATGAATGCAGGATTATTTTTACTTCAATAAACAAAAGAAGCTCGCCTGGGTTTGCTACCACAATAACAAATCTTACTATGAAAAGACCCCCACTGAGTCTATTAACAATATTATATTAGGGATATGTGTGTAAGGGTGATAACTGACATACGAAGTCAAGACTAAATATTACTGACTTATGTCACAAAAGTATTGTCTCATATGAGCATTTATTCTATACATTATATATCATTGTCTTTACATATAATTATTTAACTAATGTATACAACATATTGTAAAACTACTTTAAAAGGGTAAATGTGGAGTTTCTGCCCATTCTTCTCCACAAGAAACTTTTGAAAGGGGCAACTAGAATCATCTTTATATTTTTTTTGACGTTCAAAAGTGACATTTTAGGTTGTCTAATTGAAATAAATGCTTTGACTTGACTTGACATACTTAGGTCCAAAATCCAATTTGTATCTCAAGTCAAATGTTGTCACAATATGTCAAACTTCATACAGAAACAAATGGTTTGACAGCCTGAAATTAGATTTCAAGTTTTATTGACGATCTAGGATACAGGTCTTAGACTCCGAATTACCATGTGTGGGTTTTATTGGGATTCAATTGGGTAGTATTGGGATAAAACATCCAATGTTCATTCCTGATTGATGAGTGGGGGAGGCCTTTGGCACTTGGCAAGCAGATGAGAAGCTTATATATGTATTATTTATTTAGTCACAGAATACATAGGCCAGATTTTGATTAAAAATTAAAACTATTAGACACAAGCTGCTTCCACGAACTTCGTTTCGCCCTTATATATTTTTTTACTTAGCCTACCTTTTTAGTAGCTACGTACCAACATATGGAAAAATGTTCTATGCTAACCCATAAACTGATTACTGTTCCGGAATAAAAACCTAAGTACTAAATAACACAAAATTGAATTATGTTTTTCCAAATTTTCTCTCTTAAAAACCTTTCTCAGAGTTCAAGGAAAAAATTTAATAAAAATTACTCGCATTGGCGCAGCAGTTTTCGAGTTTTGAGCCTAGCAATACATTATTATTTATAACAATTATATCATTAGAAGACTTAATATTGTAAATATTTTATTATTCAAATAAAAGGTTATTATTTTTATTATTATAAGTGAGTTTAGTCAGATGTTCATACGAAATTGGTACTATTATAGTATTCTTAATCAGAATATTATTTTTATAAGTAAAGTACCTAATACATTTATCTTCGAAACACATACACACACTAATGGCGCTACACCCCTGTATAAGTCTTAGCTTTAAATAGCATGAATATATTTGTTTATTTTATTTTGTAATGAAGTAGGTGATCAGCCTTCTGTGCCTGACATTTTGTTTCCTTACTGTTTTTCTCTTCACTATATCAATAAGTGTTGTTTGCATATAATTCAATTGAGCAGTCGGGAATAAATTAGGGGACAAGGCCAACACTCTACCCGGTAAAACAATATATTACCTTTTTTCTCTTCGGGGGTTTGTCCCATTGCAGCTTGTTCGTGAGGCGACAGGAGCTCAGGTAGCATTGGTGAGTCTATCCAAAGTCCCTGAGAGTCCAACTCAAAGTGATACCTGCAAATTTAATTAATCTCTCAACCTTTCTCTCTATGTCATTTAAATCCATCTCATTATCTGTCAGATTAGTAGCTCATTTCAATCATAGGTAACCATACCAGTGTTCACAGGGGAGCGTTCAAGTATTACGTAACGAATTTGGGGGGGGTTCTATTTGTAAAACGTTACGATGCGGGGCGGGGATTAAATTACGCGTTATTGTCCATATTATTTTAGACTTTCCAGTACTTTACACCACATAATGGTAACTTTTAGCTATAAAGAGTCACTGGGTGGTCAAGAAACGTTTTACTATTGGGTACAGAAAAACGTTACGGCGCGTTACATGGGGGAGGGGGGGTCAATAATCTCCAAAAATTGCGTTACGTAATACTTGAACGCTCCCTAGGTTAATATGACTACTTACATTAAGTATCGACTCTGAATCTCTCCTCAGACATATATAATTTGTATTGATGAACTAAATTTACTGATGTCATGTTAAGACAGTTTTGCAAACTATTACATTTCAGTTTAACTTGAAAAAACCAGTAGGATAAGTGGAAACTAAGCGTGCCTAATAAATTACTCCTATTTAATAATTCCTGTATTTGATACTCGGGAAAACAATTGTGTGTTGATGTTATTAATACTTAAAAATAATTCTTATGGCAACAAGGTAAATGTTAAATGTACATACCCACACAACTGTAAGTTAACATGTCGCCAGAGACACTCACTCTCCTCTTGCATGGCCCCTTCAATCCAATCCTGTCTCTTCTCATCCACTTCTGATGAGGTATTAACACTAAAAGAAATATTCCCAATATTAATGATTTTGTTGCATATATTCACTTCTATTTGGAGTGTACAAAATACAAAAGCCTTTATAGCTGATAAACAATAATAGTAACACATCAATAATATCTATTTTGGTTCTAAGTCAGTGTGTCCTAGAGACACATAGGCCTCCTCCAGCTTCTTCCACCTTAATATGTCTCTGGCCACCCTCAGCCAGTTGAATCAGCTAACATTCTACAACCATCTATTGAGCTGTTTCCACAATTACGATAAGCATTCAGCCTGGGAATCTATTCTGTGGTTTTCCTTGTCCACTTCCCTATTGTATCTCTCGTGATGTGGCCTGCATTCTTCCATTTGATTTGTCTACTTTTTCAAACAACACCCTCAAGTTCGTGATTTTTTTTTATGTGGCCCTTTCTTGTTACTCCTCCTGTATCCTAGGGTGCTTCTCTCCATGCCTCGCTGGAAGGTTCTTTGTTTATTTTGAAGGACTTATGTAATAGCACAAGTCTGGCAACCATATGTGAGTATTGGTAAGATGCCTGTGTAGAAGAGTTTCCTTCACTGATATGGTGTTGTGGGCATTCTTCCTGTGCCATCTAATTGTTTGTTCATCTAATCGTTGAAATGTTAGTTGTCCAAGGTAAATGTAGGATTTTACAGAGTCTATCTTTTTAATGTTGGTTAGATGTTGGTTTCCAATCTATTACACATAATTTTAGTTTTTGACCTATTAATTGTCAACCTCACCTCTCTGCTTTTCATGAACGCAAGATCTTGTAACAGTGTTTACCAATTCTTCCATTAGGGCTGCCCATAATTATCATATTTTTGAAACATGTTTCTTAAGTTTAGTTTAAGTTTCTATAGAAGTATAGTATTGTCTTTTATTAACATAAGTTTTACACATTTAAAGAAAACACTTTTTTACCGGATTGAAGTTATGTATTATTATAAGCTTAAAATTTTATGTATGTAAAATAATTATAATTGTAAAAAAGTGTTTTCTTTCTATAGAAGTAGTTTTTTAGTTCATAGGTTGAAGCCTTTGTCGTACATGAATCTGAACTACTAGTTATTGTTAGCACCAGGTAGCCTAATGATTAATTTCCTGCTATTCTTCTTACGCACAACGGACTTAATGAATGTCTAAGTGCGGAAATTGAGTCCACCATACAATACTAGTATTCTTATGGATTCACATTTAAACTCCATAATTTTCTTCCATAGTTCTTTTTCTATCATAACACCAACTCCATACTGTCCTTTTGTTTCTTCTTTGTAGGATATGTAGTCCCTATGCTCTTCAATTGGTCCAGGAGTGCAGCATATATTAAATAGAAAAATTAATCCATACATACTATACTAAAATAAGTTGATGTTGCAATTTTATCCTTATTAAACTAATGAAGATGTTAGAAATAATATTGGTTATTTTAGTAATAAACAAAAAATACAGTCACAAGACCGAGAGTTTTAATTGACAGAACTACATATATTGCAAACATTAAATTTTTCATTACTAAAATTTAATTTTTAATACTAACTCATGGGAGTTAAATGCTTTAAACCAATTACTTTACCACTGAACCATGTAACCTCCGTATTTTTGTTTAAGAATACAGTTGGTTAATAAGAGTATTAATGTAGTTCTAATATTGGTTTTATGCTTCTCATTAAAAGTAGTTCAACTTTTTTTTTTAACTTGAAAGTATATTTCATAATAATAAACAAACATTTATATTCATAAATAAAGAAACAAATAGAAAGTAACTTTATTGCAAGGATTAAGAGAAATTTAATGATGACAAATCCATCAAATGTTAGTTTTATTTATGACCTTTATACCAATGTAAATAGAGTTCAGTTTTCAACCAAAAAATACATGTTATTTAAATTGAACATAATGCATTTTGAAATAAAATTATCATGAAATCTCTCAAGTTAAGACACTTTATAGTCAGTTAACATGTTGTTATGGATTGAGACAAAATGTAAACATCCAATAGGATCTAAATGTATAGGCTAGCGTTATCAAGCGCTTTTGGTGGGAACAACGCTTCGAGGTCAATGGGCGAAGCCCGAGATATCCTATACAAAGCAATAAGGAATTTTCAAATACAATTGAATAAAAGGCGGGAAAACACTCACTTGTAGAAGGAGAAACTGCACACTACATCATATTCCAAGTTGCAGCCCTCAACAACGCATTTCTGGGCACTCATCTTGGGTACCTTGAACCGCGCTAACCAAACACGGGTCCTGTTCACTCACATTCTTATTTTAACGTAGAAACTTAAAAATATACACACTTAGCGCCTAAAGTAACTTTCAAACAAACTAATTTGATGGATCTTTGGAAAATTATCAATCAAATGTCGAAAATGACATGCTGTCACGAAAAGTCCAAGTCCCAAATGCGTGCCACTGCCATGAAAATATGGTGATGTAATTTAACATAGAAATAGATTATAGCAACACTGAGTAAGAGTTCGATAATCGAATACGGACCAATGTCATTTTACAGAACGATAATTGTTTATGATTTAAGAAATTGAAGAGCCATTAGAAAAAAATCTTGTAATAATAATTTTTAAGTGTTACAGTCTGTTGTGCTGTAATTGAATTTTTGTAAAAATTGTCACTGGATAAGTAGACCAGTAGTAAATTATTAAAGTGTTATTGATGTTGTAGACTTTTTCTTTAATATACAATACTCCTCTTTAAAATATGAACACTTTCCTTTAAACGTAATTTTATTTTTAACTCCTATGGTGTTATGTCGAATAAATATATCGATAGTAAATTATTGTATAATCGAATCATAGTATTACAAGATGCAAAAATAATATCATAAACAAAAAAATATTTTTTTATTCGCTAACGAAAAAGTTTAATCTAGAAATGTTGCCATCAAAAAAATATGAAGAAATGCTTAAATAAACCCTTGTTTTTACATTTAAAATTAAAGTATTACCCTAAAAATTTAGCATATATTATTATCTTGTATCCATACTAAAAATTAATATATTTCTTTAATTTAATAATTGTTAATACAAGTCATAGACAGCGTATTAGTGTATTGATCCGATAGCTCTCATCGCCGTGTAACTTCCGGTGCATCAAGGCTATTTTTGGAAATAACCTATTTGTACGATTTTCTCTAATTTACATGCATTTGTTACCTTCAGCTAACGTAAGACATTTAACTTTTGGTTTTCATAAATAACACGTCATTGTCATTTAAATAATGACAAAAATTGACAATTATTGCGTCAAGATGTCAAGGGACAATAGCTGATTTGTCCTTGAAGATGTTACGTGATAGTAAAAGGAAATAATATTGTCTATTTTATTATTTTATAGTAAGACTGATGTTCTAAACAACAATAAAGAAACATATTGATATTGTAAATTATATATATGTAATTCGATATTTATTTGTCTTCGATTAATTTAACTAAGCAGTATTAAGCTATACTAATACCAGTACCCAGCGATTAACGTTGCAACTCTCAACTCTGCGGTAGCGGGTGTGAACCCGGCTGTGCACTAATGATTTTTATTTCTATGTGCGCATATTAAACGTTTTCATGCAGTTAAGTATACAGCGTGAAACCTATAAGGCATGTCATTATTCCAAAAATGAATGATGCTGTAAGGTCGATCAACCACTTGCCTAAATTATCAATGTTTCATTGCAGAAATCTGAGGCCCTATTATTTTATTATTCAATTAGCGAATTACTACGACTTAGGTACTTTCACTCAAACTCTATTCTTACTTTATTGTAAAGAAATTTAAATATACTACAGAAAATTCTGGCATCACCCACAAAACATAATTTCCTGTCGTAATATTCGAGAAAAAAATATTTTCCTTTAAAACTAGAGACCAACGATTGCTTAAGCCTTTTAATGTTTAAAAAAGGTCAGCATTGATCCAACCAAGAGATAAAAGGGTTTATTCTCGCAAATAAATTTTCGAGGTGCCTATCATTACCTATCCTGCCTATACCTATAATTTTGTCTTAATCTACTGAACATACGACTTAATACAGCCGTTACCTAATAAACTGTGATCAATCTTTGTCACGTAAGTATAGAAAGATGCCAAATTTGTTTCTGCAATAATTATAACGTGAAATAATAATTTACCTATGTAATTTTTATTTATTTTAAACATAAATTTTTGGATTGTTGTGGATATCTTCGAGCCTCGAGTGCTACTGTATATGTTATTTTGATAGTTCCTGCCGTACTGTAAGGGTAAGATCTAGTAACGAGACTTAAGATTTTATGGTGAGCCTTCACGCAAAGGCGGATTTAGAACTCGCATCGACAAGGGTCAAGGAGAATTTTTAATGAATAAGACCGTATTCACAAGTTTAAATGTAGGTAAAATGACCCAATTGAAAAGTTTTTATACATTATCTATAGTCTAGCGATTTCGTAACAATACAGTTAAGTGATATGGTATGGGCTCGAGACACCTGGATCTATTGACCAAACTATTAACGAATGTAGTACGTCATGAGGCGGGAAAATTCGTCAGAAAAGGGTTTTTCCTTAATTACGTATATGTCAGAGATAGTAAATGTAACATTTATTCGTTGGTACTGGATATTTCCCGAAATAAATACATTAATATTATAAATAAATTTGACAGCTCTTAACTCAGGAATTCTTAAATATAAATTGTCCTTAAAGTTCTTGATAAAAATTAAGCAAGACTTTAGCCATCATATTACGCTGAAATCGAACACATGTAATCTATAAAATAAAACTCAACAATCCATGGATAAATTTATTATCTTTACTTCTTAGCCGGCACTTTCTTTTCTTTATTTTCCTTCTTTTCTGCCTTCTTCTTAGGAGGCGGTGGCGGGGTCTTCTTAGCTACGGGCTTCTTGGGTAGCTTGGAACGAGCCAATTTGATGGATTTAAGGCGCTTCTCACGGAGCTTTTGTCCCTTCACAGCCACGTCGTCATCAGGCAGTTGAACCTGAAAAATAAAGATGTTTATTTTTTTTCTAGTGGTAGTAGGTTTTTTTATTATTTTGTTGTACTAATAATCAGAAAGTGTCAACGTGATAGGTAATCATGGTTTATCATAACCCAATGCTCTGATAAGAGAATATCATCATAAATTGAATATGTATAAATATCTAACAGAAAAAAACAGGCATTTTAGCGGCTGATCAAATTTAAAACAAAACTATTTAACGAGAATATTTGAATGGTCTTAATCTACATTACATATACTTACACCACGCTTTTGAGCGAGTGTAATAGCTCTGATATTCCTTCTCCTCTGCTGGTCCAAGATGGCTTTCCTCTTGAGTACAGCAGCGTAGGGGTTAAGTCTCAACATCGCGCGTGTGTTGGTCAGAGGGTTCAACTTACGCTTAGCATGTTCCACGCGTTTGCTGAAAGATTATTTTATTAAGAATTGAGCCATTCGAAAAAATACCTTTAGTTAAATAAGCTGTAGAGAATGTCAGAAATTGTCAACGTGATAGGTAATCATGGTTTTTCATAACCCAATGCTCTGATAAGAGGATATCATCATGTGCAAAGCAAACAGTTCAGAACAATTTTAATATAAATTTACCAACAAAATCAGTTTGAACTGTCAGGTTTCAAATGTCCATAAAAAGTTTATCGAGTACTTACTTGGCTGGTCTGAGGACTTTTCTGATCTCGTCGGATTTAAGCAGTCTGGTCAAGTCAGTGTTGGCCATCTTAGGCTGAGGCAGGTTGAAGTTCTTCTTCAACTTGGATGGGGTCTTCCATGAACCAAAGAGGGCGTCTGTTAAAAGATATGATTTTTGAATAATGCAGATACAATCACACATACATGCGCTATCGTCAGGTCAACACATATAGTCGGGTTCTGTACGCTTTTGTGTATGTTGAACACAAAATAGTTTACATAACATGAACATGTTCTTACTACATATAAAAATGTAGGCCTCATGTCGACACACCAATAGACAGATTGTCTCTTTGATGTTTCCTTCGGGCCTAACTTAATATACCCCTTTATTTGTAACCTGAACCAAATTTAAAGATACAGGTAAGGCTTATTGGGGACAATGGTTGGTTTTTTTAACGAATGTAAGTATGTACTTTCTAAAATTGACAAAAGTTTTCTTACCTAGCCTTTCAAAAGCAGAACGGGTCCAGATGATGAATCTGCCAACATGTCCACCAGGGGCAAGTTTAAGCAGGTTCAGCTTGTTTACGTTAAGCATCTCAACACCAGGGATGTTTCTGAAGGCTTTGCTTAGACCCTAAACAATGTTGATAATATAAAACACTATTCCCATAAATGAATAATACAAGTACATAATATTATAAAATGCCTTTTTAGTTTATGTTTGAAATTATTATTGCTAAGCTTCAAATTCACAATACTAAATTTGGTAAAATGCATAAAATTTTTAGCAAAAACAAAAACAGCTAGATTTATGTAATTTTACCTGATCTCTGAAATATACAATCAGTGGGCCCTTGCGTTGTACGCGACGACGGTTGCGCATTTTACCTTTTCCTGCGCGGAGACGTTGCGATTTGTATACCTGAGAGCAATTTTTTAAGGTTGAGCTACATTTAAAGGATTTAATAGCTATTATGTTTCATATAGCATGTTTGTTTTCCAGGCTGTATATCATGTTATAATGTATTAACACAATTGTTGGGCCAGAACTTTATATTGTCCCTTATGGAATAACACACAGATTATACACTGAGTGATATAGAATAGGGACTTGGGTTAGTGACCCAATTCTTTCGGCAAATAAAACCCAAATTTTTACCTTTTTTATATTAATGATATACCTAATATTATTAAATTGGTGATGCAGGCATTGTACATCCATAACAATATGTATTATTCATGTCAGATTCAAAGGAGTGTATTTAGTAAGATTCTATTGGAAGAAGACTTGAACTAAGTTGTTTAAGTTTTAGTCTTAAATTATGATAAATAATTTGTACCTTAAGCACGTCAGACCAGGCCTTGACGCGTCTCAGGAAGATCACGGCGTCCTTGGTCTTCTTAATTTCTTGCACCTTGTCAGATACTACCAAGGGCAATTCTGGGATCTTTTCGATCACGTGTCCTGAGAAAATGATAATAACTTTAACTAGTCTCAGATGGTATTCCATAGATAATGAATTTAGTCTTTAATTGCCGTGTATTATTAACAATATGATATAAGTATAAAATAAAAAATTAAATCAGTGCTACAACCTCTTTAGGTCTAGGCCTCAGATTTCTGAATCTGTTTCATGATCATTTTTTTTTAAATCTAATAGGCAAGTATCAGCCACCAGTGCCTGACACACGCAGTCGACTTTTTGGGTCTATATAAGCAAACCTTCATCTATTTAGTATGTATAAACAAACAAACAATATTTCCATGTAAAATGATCTTACCTCTAGCCTGAACCAGTGCAGGAACTCCTGCAGCGGCAACAGCGGCGGCAGCAGCAGCCCTACGCTGACGTAGGTTTACGCGGCGGTGCCACCTACGCCATGGCTTGGTCGGCGCAAACATACGACCTCCACGACACATGTTACCGAACGCTCCCTGACCAGACCTGAGGAAATAAAGATAATTTGAATATATATATATATTTAATACAAACATAGCTTCTACTGTTCATAAGATTGTTGTTCTTCCTAAAATACTTTAGCGAAAGTTCTTTCTCTGCCTTTAAACGCAGATACATATACAAATATATATTAAAACAGGCGTTTTAACCCTAAATAAGTATTTATTTCATTTAAAATGTTTAATGTTTTCCATATGTCGACACACCATGAATAAAAACATCATGCTGTTTCCTAAAGGAAATTTTAATTTTCCCCCATACATGTACCTAGGAGACAACAATGCACAACTAGGAAGAGTTTTTGGGGGCTGTTCTAATAAGTCTTATTTTAGTCATATCAAGATCTATTTTATTCTAGTCAAGATGGAAGATTGAAAAAAATAATTTTAATTTCATATTACCTGTGAGTACCACCACCACGGACACGGGGAATACGGGCTACAGCACGACCTGTACCCCATGACTCAGCACTTGTCTGGTGACCTGTAAAGAATGGGAATCAATATTAAATAATTACTTCATACATAATTGCAATAATTATTTAATTTGAGGGTTATACATTGAATTTGTAAACAGATAACTTAAAAACTAGGGGCCTTCTAATCTCTCAGGCTAGTTTTTATGAAAGAAAATATTTTGTAGTATACACAATGCACCCATCGCTTCTACAGAGAAGCTATGGAACGCCTAGCAAATACATTAATATAGCACTATTCCGCAGTAACACTCAATGATATTTATAATCATTTGAATGTGGACATTTAGTGCAATTTTTTTTTTTATACTACTGCATAAAATTAATTTATAACTTTGTTTTCTGTTATCACAAGAAACAAAACAATTAATCTCAAATATTCATAATTATTCTCACCAGCTTCTTTGCTAACAGAGTAGGGTTGTCTAGCGTTCTTGGACATTGAGACATGGACATCATTAACAAGGTCGGGGCGGATTGGTGCCTTGAAAACGAATGGAAGTGGAAGTGAGGCATCTTTGACCACCTCACTTTTCTCTGAATAAACCGACACTAGCGGTCGGGCAACTGATAGACTCTGAAATTAAAAAGTATTTGGCTATAAAAACAATGTCTTATTGTAAAATCAACTAATATAAATGTATGGAATTATTTTAGTAGCTATTAAAGATTAGTGACTAATAAGAACAAAGATATATAGAAAAATAAAATGGACAAAATGTTTTCCATATGTCGACACACCATGAATAAAAACATCATGCTGTTTCCTAAAGGAAATTTTAATTTTCCCCCATACATGTACCTAGGAGCCAAAAATGCACAACTAGGAAGAGTTTTAGGGGCTGTTCTAATAAGTCTTATTTTGGGTTGGATTGAGACAAAGACACCATTAAGCTGTCAAAAAACCTTAAGAAGATGAAAAGAGTTATAAAAACTTCTCAACATTTCATCAGAAAAAGAAATATAAAAGAACTATAACCTAAAAAATAAACGAGCAAATATATGTAAAAATCCAAACGGTATTAATAAAATATAAAAATATTTGATTTAAGCGTTGTAAATCAGTGCTATTCGTAGCAATGCCGACTTTTCGTCCACCTTTTAACAAACACAATTCCTCAATGACACCATAACCACAACAACAAAATATTCATTATAACACGACTATAATTTCAACAGTTATAAGAAATATGCAACAATTAGCTCTGGGAAACGCCAATCATACCATAAAATTCTCTTATTTACTCTTAAATTGAAGTTGTAAATGTATTTTCCACACCAACACGTGGATTCCACAACGCGATTCAAATAAAATTTGAAACAGTCGATACTAAACGATTTATACCACTAATCTTATATTAACGGTTTTTGCATGTTTATTTTAGCTTTACTTACCATTTCGCTTGTTTAGCGAAGCTATTTCTCCAAAAACACACTATAGGCGGCGGTATAGACCATCCGCCATGCCACGGAGAAATAAAAGGACCGGAAGAATCGAATTGTCAAATTCACTATAACGTCGCTTTGACAAATTTTAGCGACCCTTACCATATAACAAAATAAAAAACCATTAGCTAAATAGCACAGAATACATTTTACTGACACAGAATAAAAATGCAAATCTGAATATTTTGCTAACAATTAAATTTTTACAGGTCACTGCCATAAAAATTATGACAAATTAAATGTTTCATGTCAGAATACTATTAAATATCAATATAATATATATTTGTCAAAGTTTTGTACCTCTAAAAATGTAATGTGTACTGCATAATAAGCGTATCAAATATTTTAAGAATGGAAAATATAAATCGTCAAACCAATTCAGAAGACAACAACCCCACTTCATCACAAGAAATTCAAACTACTCAAGACAATGACGACTCGTCGATAGTTTCCAATGAATTGGTTACTAATACAGTTGACTTCACGTCCACTGAGACTGAGCAAACGATGTCTCATATATTACCAAATCGAAATGTGGAAATATTACCAATTAGTAAGCAGCCTACGACTTCAATACCATTATTAATTTTTAGTAGACCAACATCGGTGGTAATGCAAAACCCAATGGCACTATCATTTAAAAACAGTATAAATAATAAAACCATTATAACACCTGAAACCATTTCAAATCAGCCACAAACTTTATTTTTACTGACTTTAGCAAAGTTAAATGAAAGTTCTATTAGCTTAGCTTTCGCTAATAATCGGAAAATTAGTATCTTGCTTAGTAATACCCTCAAAAAGGAAAATAAATCTAATTTACCAGAACTTTCACCACCTGACTCCATAACAAGCGCACCTCCTTCCTACTCTTTTGTTCTACGCCAAATTAATGCTAGACGAAGACCCAGACTTATGGGAACATTTATTCCATCGCCCTCTTTTATTACACATCCTCCTCCGCCGAATTATGCTGCTGCTTTTGACATTTATATGGATAGTACTTTACCAACTCCAACCACTCGAGTTTATCATTTTGGATTTACTTCGATGCCTGTAATTTGTACAGAATGTGGATATACAGGAATGACTATGGTTAGGACAAAGGTAACATTATGTACACATTTGTGTGCATTTGTCTTGTGTATATTTTGTTGCTGGATTTGCGCTCCTCTTCCGTATGTTTTACGTTCTTGTAAAGATGTATATCACTATTGCAGAAATTGTCGTAACTATTTAGGTATGTACTGTCCCACAAACCCAGATAATCATCCATATTCGTAATATCTATCGCAAAATTCCAGCATTTTTTAACGCTTCTATTATATTATCTACATTAATCGTTAATTTGTAAAGACTATCGTTTGTTAACCTACTTTTAATATTATAAAATATTGTATAATTCAATATAATTTACTTGTTATAAAGTTTTTGATAAATTGAAAGACCTCTCGTTTCCAATTCTTTCTTCCATAAAAAGCTATAGTAGCTATTAAAGTCCTTTACCTATATGCATTTGCATAAACATTTATATCTTTAACCCAGCCTTGTTGTCTTCAGTTAATAATTATACATTTTAGAAATGCATTCAGGAAATGTAACAATGAATCCATATCGTTATATTGTCTGTAACATTACGTTAAATTCGAATAATATTTACCGTATTAGAGACTAGTACATCACCTATAGTGAGAGTTCAATTTTAATCTGTATACTATAGATTAAGAAAAGCTTGTTGAATGTTGCCATTAATTAATTTTTTTCTAACATATGTATTCAAAATTTGAGTTATAAATTTTATAACAGATAGCTTGCCTCGATAGATGTTTGCATATAAAAATTTTCTTCGACTTTGCAGACATATTTGATGTTGAATAATGGATATTGAATAACTTAATTAGGTTATGTTGAAACGAAAGGTCAAATAGAAATGAAATGTGTTTTTTTAAATTAGATGCGTTCAAGTTTAATATGAAATTTATAACTAATAAAAATTAAAAATTTTAATAAGCTCATTGTATAGTAATATGACACATAGTTTTGAGCTAATTTATTATTAATGAATATATATTTAAAAAATAATTCACTCAACATTGCTTAAATGGATGTTTTGCTTCAAAATATTTGAACGCATCTCTATTCAACCACTTTAAGCGCCCTCTGCTGTCAAAATGTCGTTTTGTAAAATTAGAAGTCAGCCTTTTGCGAGTTCCGTGTGTGTTGCGGAAAATACCCTTTTTGGGCGTCCGACCACATGTGTGAATTGTGAACAAAATATGGTTTTTGAGTGATTTTCGGTTCTGAAAGACCTGTACGGTGGTGTTATATACTTCCAATTGTTACGAAAACGACTCCTTGTGTTCAAGTGCTTGAAAAAGTTGGAACAAATCGACGGAAGTGAATTTTTTCGATGTAAATACGATCGGTACAGGGTCAACCTAGTGAGCATTGCGATTTGTGCGCATATATCTCAGTGACCAAGTTTTTGTTGGATAGATTAGTGATACAGATTTGACCTTCGATATATCGGGAAAGTTTTTCGATTGCTAGTTTTGTTGCAAGCATGTGTTGAGGTTCCATGGCGTCGCGCTCGTGATCGTCGGTTGGCGCGGAGCGCGCGCCTGCACTTACATAACTTAGCAGTGGTATGGCCACACAGGTCTCCGTTGAGGGAAGCGGACCCTCTTATGCGTCAGTGTTAAATTTCGGTGGTGCGGAGAGTAACAAAGAAAACATTGAGTCCACGGAGGTCGTGGAAACTCCTCCTCGACATGAAGACGAGGGGGAGGAAGGTTTTGTGCCTGTGGTTTCGCACACGAGAAGGCCAGGAAAGAGCCGCAGAGAACGGGAGCGTAGGGCGGCTCCTCGGGCTCATAACAAGGCATCGCAGTCACATTCAGAACCCCAGCCAGCTCCTGAGCAGCAGCAACAATCAACAGATCCTCAGCCTAAGAAATTTGTCGAGGCTCCAATACCCAAAGTTAACCCTTGGCAGGTTAGTGATTTCTCAGTGCTAAATCTTTTTTATTGAACCTTTTCATTATATGTATATTAATAATCTACATATATTTTTGATATATACACACTATTGATCTATATGCATCCATAGGTGCATATAAATGACTAATTATTGTGTAAGTTTGTATGTGCATAATGTATAACATACAATTTATATTATAATAAGTAGTTATGATGTAATGTTAGTCGGAGCACAATAATATTTTAAGATTGACGTGTTTACATAGGTTACATAGTAATATGAAATTCTCAAAACTTAACACTTGCTGTTATCACCATGTTTTTCTGACATAACCTTAAAATTTATTTCCTGATAGTATTGCCTAATGTTGAATATTTAAGTGTTATGTAATTTTTGCATCATGTTTATATGTTAAAATAAGTAAATATATCCCAAATTATGTCAAAGACCATTAACATATTTAAAAAAAATTATCTTAAATTGAAAGCACTTTGCCATCATGCCAAATGACAACTTAAATGCTCCACTAATAAGAGATATATTGTTTACTACAAGACAACTTCTGTTTTGTCAAATTATGATGATTTGTCCATCACTCGTCAAATTATGGACTTAAAAGCAATATTAAAAATTATACATTGCTGTGTAATAAGTTTTCAGGGTTATTTTTTTAAGAGTCGTAAGTATGTAATGTAGTAAGTTGGGTGACATTATTTGAAATAAAAACTTAAGAAATTGCTCTGAACTGGCTAGAACTCCCTGGTAGTAATATCTCCTGTGGCACAAACTCAGCTTTAGGGTTGAGACTTATCTCTTAGTTTGACTACTTTATGTAGAGACTTCTCTTAGTTTGACTACTTTATGTCGAGACTTCTCTTAGTTTGACTACTTTATGTTGGAAATATGTTACTTTTGATGTGTCATACTTAGCACTAAGTCTTGAATCTAGCTCTTACACTTATATGACCATAAATATACAGCCTCTGCTTATTCACCATGTTTACCATAAGTATTTCATTATACAACCAGAAAATTACAGTAATTACTATTAAATTACTTATTCTTGATCAATGTGCATAGGAAGTCCCCTATAATGAATCAATGGATTTAATGTGTATGGAAAATTTATTTCAAAATAAAATCTTAGGTAGTTTATCTTCCATAAACCATGTTGAGGGTCTGTAGGGTAGGAGTCTGTCCTAAGATCAATTTGCATGAAAATCAAAGTATCATCATGTCACCATAATTGAATAAAGATATAAAGTCAAGTTTAATATAACATTAAATAGAATTTATTTTTTTGCTGGAAGTAATATTTTTTATCTGAAATTGCATTCACTGCTTTTAAAGATAGTGTTAATGTCTGTTATCTTTTTGTTAGTTAAGTATAAGATGTTTGTATAATTTTATACCAACAATTTGAAGAGGGGTGTTATTTGTTTGCAACTTTTCTTTTTTGAACTTACCTACTTTTTTACATTTATTAGTATTCTTGTGTTTAAATTTTATCTTGAAATAATCATTAGGAGCAATACAATTCATGTTAAATTTTAATTAAAATCATCAAATTTTTGTCCTTCTAATGAAACATTTATTAAAAAAAGGCAATTTAACTTTAATTTAATTGGCTGAATTCATTATGTGGAATCATTATTGGTCTAATTTACATTTTAGAGGTCATTTGTTAAATGGAAATATGTATATTCCTATATATCAATTCTGCTTTTATATAAATTTAAAAAAATCAATTGCTGAATGACTGATGAAATTTTATATGGGTCATCATATGGAATAGAACATATAAAGTTACAGTTCCTTGTAGATAAGTCATTACTTTGCACTTGAAGATGAGAAAGGCTAATTATAAAGATACATTACAATAACTAATAATCCTTAAAGTTTAAGTAAGCTGTTACTATAACTGTTGTTAGATCTTAAGAAACTATTGTTACTCACTCACTAATCAATCAATGGACTGTATTTGTCTGATTAATAAAAATTATTATTATTATAACAACTATAGTTTGGGTTCCTATAGAGAAAAGTTTTATTGTATTGTACACATTTATTCAACGCTGCTGTTACCTTCAACTGCATACAGTTGGATAAAAAGTATCTGATATTTGTTACCAAGGTTACAAATACTAATAGGTAATATGTTTATTATCTACTTCATTTAAGTTAACTTTTTAAATTAATTCATTTAATAATGATATTATATGTTAATAATAAATAATAATTATATTTTTGGAAAATGTGTCTTGTAAGTGGTACTTTTCAAATATTAGATAATGCATTTTTATGCAATTCAAATTTTATAGACAATACAGTGATAACGGATTACATATAGTTCATAGTTTAGTGGTGAAATATTATATTATTCAGGATGAATTTAATTCCCAGAAAATAATGATTGTATTAAGTTGCTTGTCACAAAAGGCAAAGCACTGACTTTCTCTTAAAAAATATCAATGAAGCAAAAACATGTCTGACTATTGTCCCATGGCACTGCACTTGTTGTTAGGTGTTCTGACCACATAAATAGTTAAATAGTAAAAAATGTTTCTATATATTTTTTAATTACATAATATGGTGACCAACTTGTGATTAATTGAATAAGCTTGAAACCAGTTATAAATATAATTTTCCTGTTACTATAATTGTTAACTATGGTTCACATTAGATAACCAATGTATTACAAAAGATTCTTTAGACTATAATAGATTATTATAGTTAAATAATTGTCAATCAGCTTTTAATTGGAGGTAATCAACATATTAGTACAGCCATGTGCCCTATACATTATGCTGTACACAGGTCTTGTACATTGATATTATATCCCCTTAGGCTCAATAATTTTATTGGCAAGTAAGACATACTATAAATTTTTTCTGACTTTGTACAATGTCTTTCATTGAAATCAAACTCAGAACAATGTTTTTCTTTTAAATCAAATTTAGAAACTTTGCTTATATTATTTATGACTTTATGATATTTTTTTTTAAAGAAATAGTAAATTTTTGTTACAAAGCATGATATCACAAGATATAGGTTCATTTCTATAAGTTTTTTGTTAGTGCTTTATTAAAAAAGACAAAACATGTTACATGTTAGTCCGACAGCTAGATATCCATACAATTTTTAATAACAATTGTTACTGTTTCATTACCTTATCTTAATTTTTTGGAGTAGGCTGAAAGAAGAAATATATATTTATGATTGTGGGATCTATATATGAGAAACTAACAAAATATTAAATGACTCTTACTCGCACACTTGGTCAGCCTTCGTTTTTTGCCACATGCATATTTCGTAAATACGCTCTATTTTGTATTATATTACGTATTGTGTAACGAAAGATTGGCTTTCGTCTGTGGATTTGTTCGTGCAAAGTATATCTAGCTATACTATTTAGTAGGTTTTGATAGCACTTAATGTATTTTTTTATTCATATAGGCACTTCCTGACAAATTATTACATATGAAAAACCACAGAAGTGCAATAATAAGTGTGCACGACATATATAGAGACATTACAAAATAATAAAGCAAAAGACCACAAATAAAATAACTTCTAAGTATTAATGTTGGAATAATGGCTGCAGCATTATACGCTTGACATGAAGACTATAATTTTAACTAATGTCTATTATTGTAAGCCTTTGGGGAACACCGAGATTATTTATTTAAATAACAAGACTATATCTAAAAACAATTCTGCGATAGAATAATAACTAGGTAGAGTTATTAATGACAAACTACTTGTAGTTTTTATATCAATTCGATGTGTAATTTCATTATTATGTTTAGACTTATAGTTAGTTGATTGCTTCTTAGGTAGTCTAGAATTTATACATATTTGAAATTTCATGAATGACATGTTTGATTATAACAAAATGTGTCCCATTTCACTCAGTGACGCCAACTCTTTTAGAATAATTTACCTCCTAGAACCAATTTCAAATACCCTTAAATATCGGGTCAAAACTCCTAAAGGTTTTATTTGAACACTCAGTTTGTGAGGTTATTTTAAATGTGTGCACGACAATGTGTATGTGTATTAAAAATTGTAGTTTATACTTGGTTTAGTTTCGGCCATACAATTCGTAGAGGCGATGAGGACTTGGAGAAACTGATCGTGGTTGGTAACACAGAAGCCAAAAGATCACGTGGTCGTTTACCAACCAGATGGACCGATCGAGTGAAAGACTCATCGTCCTTAAAACTGTACACTGTCATAAGAGGCGCTGAAGCGAAACCGGTGGAAACAGATAGTCAGCTCCAGACGCTTTCTTGCTGACCACGACGTTCAGACATGAGCTGCCGATTAAAGAGAGAGTTGGTTAGTTATTAGGCTCGGTATAAATTGTATAAAATAGTGAGTTTTTTTAGTTGTTTCAAGTACCCCCTAAAAATCTTCCCAGACACTCGATTCCTCCTAAATTTGGGGGGGAAATCCCCTGACTTCACGTATGTTTGTCGTAAAAAGACAAGTTTTTCTTATGTTTAACAGTTAGAGGGACTTTTAAATAAAGTTTTAAGTAGTTGATACGTTATCACTTCGTGGTTTGGACATAAATATTTAATAAACTCATTAAACGGTTAAAAATCTAATTATTTACAGTGAATCGTGCATTAATGCATTTTAATATGAAGCTAAGCTAAACACGAAAGGTATTGTCGTTATTGACGCAAATAAAAGCAAATTTTAATATAGAGTAATTAGTTAATAATAAAGAAAAGAGCGTACCAATTCCTTAAAGGCCGGCAATGCACTTGCGAGCCTTCTGGCAATGTGAGTGGCCGTGGGCGGAGGGATCACTTAACATCAGATGAGCCTCCTGCCCGTTTGCCTGCTATTACATAAAAAACAAAAAACGCGTATCTTATTAAATAATTTCGAAAATTATACATTTATAATACATGACACAAATCAATCGCGGTGGTATAAGGCCAGTTTTGTACAGCAATGTGGGTGGGTTCTTTGATATTTGTATGCATATGAAAGCAAAACCAATAAATGCAGTATTTCGTAATTAATATATTCTAGTT